GCGAACTACTCGTACTCACTTCGCCATCTCTACTCACACCGCCTGACAAGACGCATTTTTGTCCCGAGCAGCAGGGATCCCAGTTGCAAAAGAGGCGACAACTACGACTGGTGTCAGCGTCATTGCGGCTGTCAATGGGACTGGCAGATATTGACGCTGTCAAAGCAGCAACAACCGGGAGGACGAAGTAGAAACGCATCGTTTGTAAGGATGTGATATCGGATCAGATAAATCTGAAGGGAACGGCAGAAAGACGGCTTGCTTTTATGTCCTGAATATTGTTATGGCAGAACTTTACGGCGATGTAGGAAGAACCTTTGATTCTTCCTCATATCTTCCCAAGATCTTGTGAACTTTGTTCACGCACGGTTATACGGACAATCCGACCGTAACGTGGTTTGCGAACTACAACCTCCCACCTGACTCGACTCTGCATTGAATGAAATACCCACTCCGTTGCGACTTTCATTCATCCGGTGCGCATTCGTTTGATGTAACGATTAAAATTGTGCCATACCCATTGAGTAAAGTCTGGGCAAAGTTCGCAAGCCAAAATCATGTCTTCACCCGCCCCTGCTAGTCTCCCCTAGTCAGACCGTATAGAAGGAAGACAGTCGTTCCTTCTATTATGCGCCCCTGCGAACTAAGAAAAATCAGCGACAAAGCCCCGCCACAAGATTCAAGTACACACTGAAATAATCTATGATGTCCTACGCCTGCCTGATAAATGGCGAATCTGCGGGTTGGATGGTTCATTTCGAATCTTGGAAAGTGGAACACAGGTCGGGGATGCCTGGAAGGATGAAGAAACTGCAAGAGTGCGAGTGCTCACCCATAGCATTGTCACCAGACGGCAAGACAGTAGCAAGCGGGAGTGGTGATGATGCAGTGAGGTTGTGGGACGTTGACACGGGAAAGGTCACAAAAAATGGACGGGGCACACCAAATATGTGTGGTCTGCCTGCTGGAATCCGGAAGGTGGGCGAGTAGTGAGCAGATCCGAAGATAAGACATTCAGAGGGTGAAATGTCGGGAGTAGGAACACTATCCTTGGACCAATCGAGATTCGAGACAGCTGGATGTACTCGGTTTGCTACTCACCGGATGGCACGATGATTGCGACGGGCACGAGCAAGCTGAAAATCTGGGATGCCAACACATGCGAATCACTCGAAACACTCGAGTCATCGGAGCTCGAGTTTACTGCCTGGCATGATGGACCTTAGATAGAAAGACCCTTATCGCCGGCGGGCCACTCTATATCAGAAAATTCAACACCGCCACCTGGGCAGATCATGATGCGCACAAAGGCTAATTGCTGTCTACGGAAAACTTAAGGCAGTCCTGAACTTTGCCTTCTGTTGCTCACGCTGTTAGCTTGCTGATAAGACACTGAGAATTAAGACTTCCAGCAAAAACCCAAGACTGCTGTTGTCCATGTCCGAATCCATGCTCTACGTGTGTTACAGGTTGCCCTCCTTCTATACATTATTTACGCAGTCACGGTTCAGCCAAGCAATCCGCCGATCGCAGGTGGTAATATCTATCGAACGTTGGAACAAATTTGCTATCTAATCATAATCATATGTGGTGTCATGGGCGTCAGCGCGCATGCTCCGGAGAACCTCCTTCTGCAAAATCCACAAAATTAGTATGGTCTGGATCAAACCAAGTAGGCTTCGGCTTCGCCGCAGTCATCCTATTTCACTTCCCACCAAGGGCGAATGAGAGCAAGCACGATCTTGTGCTTCTTGTCCAATATATATCCCTTGCCCCATCTTTTGCCGCAACTTCTCGAACCACAGCCTAGAACGCGGTGCCGTGTTGCTACATTCAAGTTGGCCACATTTGAATTGTTTTACGCTCTCTTCACTGTTCAATCAAATTATATCACGGTGTGGCCTGATATAGGTTGATTCCAAGTTGCGATCAAGATTTTACAAATTGATCCTGATAGCCTATTTCGAGCGACAACCATGGATCATCCAAGTTGATTTCATAAAAGTGACACATCCAGTGCATGGAGCTATTGATAACTTACCCCGCCTCATCGCCACTAGCCCGCTTCAGCACATGTGGTTCCGTCCGCATAGTCTTCTCACTGGGGGCGACATGGCAGATATTTCATTCCATCATACATGGTAAGTACCCCTATTTATGTCTTTCATATTCAGATTCCGAGAAATTTCATATTTGACGCCAGCCTCCAGGGTCCCCCGCGTTTCGTTCGTAGCCGCAGCCGACTTAGCTATGCCTATGTTTACTCCCTATCGCCGTGATAAGATAGTGTTTGAGACCATGTGGACGGGCGAATCATATCTGGATCCCACCAGGTGAATTTTTGGCATATTCGTCAAGAACAGACTGATGTCATCTGTACGGCAGAATGTGAAGAGGAACGGTACATCAGATTTAGGGGAATGGTACAGATCTGGGAAATGCAAATGCTGACTCAATCGGCTTGATATGTACGTACACCCAGAATCTCCTGCGGAAATCTACACGCAATGTAGCCCTTACTTTGCATCGTGTTTATCGTGTTTATAGTGATAAATAATGGGTTACTCACACATTGGACGGAGCAGCGCTTGACCTTCGCACTCAGCCGTTTGAACTGAGTAGCCGTCATCGTTGATATTCAAACTTGTTTTCGCAACAGTGGAAACGAAATCAAATGTCTTGACGGAACATATTTTCTTACGCAAATCTGTTGTCGCAATGCATATCGTACTCTACAACTCCTCGCAACCTCCGACGGCGAGCAGACTGCTTGTGAAATATAACCCAACGCCCGAATCAATATTGGTCCACACATCACTACATGCTCATGACACTAGGGAGGAAGAGCATGAAATCCGCGCGTTGCCCTAATGTCGCCTGTGTGTATTGGATAGAACACAACCAACCTAGAGCAAGAATCGAGTCCAGTATCTGGCCTTACTTGTAGGTCGTACGATAGTGGCGATTATGCTGTTGCATGACGAGAGGATGTGGTAACTGTCTCCGTGTGATAGCTCCTTTGCTTGAAAATGAGTCAGAAGATCTGAGAAGGGGAGAAACGTGCGGCTTGACCCCTGTGCGCACTGCGCAGCATCTCGACTATTTACTACTGATGCTCGCAACTAGATATCCCATCCATCTTTTGTGCCGGAGACAAAGTTCTTAGCTGCAAGGGCGGGATGGAGACTAGATGTCGCGCTCAGTTTCCCCACCAAGTTACTCGGAGGGGTAGCGCCAGAAGGAGGATCAGCTACTGTGGAGAGTGCGTTGAACTGGTGTGATGGTCACGTCGCTCACGGGATAGGACAAGATGGGACAACACTCCAGGTAGAGAAGGTATCGGTCAAGGGAAGCAGTACGTTATAGATGGAGGTCACGTGCATCGTGAAAAAAACCCTTAAGGTATGCAACGAACATCCTCAATTTGTGCAACGCGTCAGTGTAGCATCAACCTAAGGTATAGATACTCAACAACAAGGGGAAATGACAAGAGACGCATCACATACATCTAAGACTAACTTTTTGGCGGTGTTCTGTATTGAGCGATCGCAAGGTTGTTGAATCCAATGCAACATACATACTCCCTAGGAGGTTGAGCGGACTGAAATGCATTCAAGTTTGCGTTGTGTGACAGAATTTGGTGGAAGCAACTTGAAGCTTCTCAGACGATAGGGGAGATATTCCATGTGTTGTGTGTGGTAGCTATAGTAGTAGCAGTCTTTCGCACCCATAGAAAATGGCCAGGTAAGTTCATGGTGGAACTTTCCGATAGGTTGGTCAGCGTCGAAATTCCAATTGCCCGGCAATAAGCGTGACCAGCTGGCAGTTCGCTTTCAGTGCTCTCGCAGCGCCCTCATCATACCATCGGGTGGGTAGCAAATATCAAATCCCAACCATGCTTGGACCATGCCATAGTCTAAGTTACTCCCTGTCTCGATTGGTCTCACATCTCTTTCAACTTTCCACACTCCGAGTCTCAGGCTCAACTCAGGCTGGTATGTAATACGGCATTCCCCTTCGATTAAGCTAGCGCTCGATTCCTCATATGCTGCAGGGTCATCGATTTCCATGCTTTTGCTCCGATCCCATCATCCAAAGGCGTGTTCCATTCACCGCTGCCGTTAACATATGGACTGCCTGAACTACGATAGAGACAGAACCTCAACAAAGTTGTATTCCAGATCCTGTGGATTCATGACGGGTGTAGATTCTCGCGGACGTATTCATATTACTCCAGGTTGAGGTTGATGGTCTGAGCGCTAACCACCTTCATGATGACCTGCTGACCAGCAGATTAATCTGATTCGGGAGAAGCTTCCTTGTCGTTTTTGCTGCCCCATTTCTCCTCGAGCACATGCACATCAGGAAATGGTCATAAGTTGGAAAGTTCGCCGCCGCCGTCGAGTTTCTGTCTCTTTGGAGATTTCAACGAAAATCGCTGTATATGGCCATCTACTATTGCTAGAGCGGCTGAATATTCAATGGACTGAATCGGTTCCCAATCTTCGTTGCCTGTCACAGAACCCATGATCGCCTCCAGACGCCCATCAGCTCCCATCGCGTTCTGGTAACCTAAAAAATCTCCTCCACATGGCTAAACAAAAAAATTTGGAACCCACAAGTTCCATGTTAGTGGGCCTGGACTCTTGTTCTGTGTGCAGGTTGTTTATCCTACTGAGATTCAAGGTACTCTCTGCCACTTTCCCTGGAATGCGAACAAATTATGCTCCATTCCTCGCTTGGCCCTGGGTTTGCATTATCTCTTCCTCAGATCTCCTCATTGCTCTGTCAGTATTTGGACGCCAGAATTAACAGGGAATAGCGTCATGGCCTCAACACAATGGTGTGATCGGAGCAAGGAGATAATTGATCGAAGTTCATCGGACACTGAGTTGCCCGGCTGGCCGTACCTTCCATCGAATGGAAGGTACCATTAGAACACCGTTTTGTATTGTGAATATCAATGTACATATGACATTCGTCGCAGTGGTGCGTAACATCGATCCTACATTTGGATGTACTGACACCTGGCCTCGCATATATAAGGACCCCAAGTCGCTCCTGCTACCCCATCATCAACATTGCATCCTTTCTTGTGAGTCATAAATCCTCGTATTCGATATCTGGTCTAAAGTTTTCCCCCTCCAGTACGATGGTTACTACTACTACTGCGTGTTCTGGCTATGGCGGGTGGCTTCCTAAGCATCCCGAAATCTACCAGAGCTTCTTTAGAAATCTCATCCGGCACACCTTGGATCGTGCCGAGCGATCTACCACGCACGAACCTGCTGTTGCAGATTTCGAGAAAGCAATCAAAGATGACCCTATCATGACGTCTTTGTTCGACCAAATATTCCAACAAGTCGATGAGACGAACAAGGCATGTAGCTACTAGTAGCCAGCAGACCTATGTCAAATATTTACCCTCTTTCCCAGGTCAAAAACTTCGACCACTTGTTGTCCATGCTCGACACTATCGTCGTGAAAGCGCCTTCGTATGAAGTAGCAACAGACGGGAATGGCAATGAACTCAGCGAGCCCATCGGCGTGCCTATCTACCTCATTTTCGATCTGCTCAGCAACACGGCTGCGGGCTATGACCTGTTCCGCATGGAAGCGTTTAACCGTGCGCTCAAAGCCTTGTTGGACAGTTGGGGCAGATTCCTCATGCAACCTAGATCGAATGAGACGCTTAATACGACCAAGACCGGCTGGTTCGGAGAGGCTGGAATTAAGGCTCTCTCGGAGTATTTGGGGCAATATACATTCGAGGAGACATTCGAGTGTCCTGACCCAGCGGCTGATAACAGAGGGTTCCTAACCTGGGATGCCTTCTTCACTAGAGAGGTTCAGCCAAACGCGCGCCCCATCAAAAAAGATCACATCATATTGAAGCCAAGTAGACCCCCTCACACTGCGGAAATCCCTCTCCCACTAGCGACTACCATCTATAGCGCCTGTGAATCCACCGTCTTTCGCATTTCTAGGAACGTTAAGCAGCATGACCAGTTCTGGCTCAAAGGCCAGTCATACTCCCTTTACGACATGCTCAACCGCGACGACCAATACGCCAAGCTGTTCGAGGGCGGGACTGTCTATCAGGCATTCCTCGGCCCCACCGACTTTCACCGCTGGCACAGCCCCGTCAAGGGCGTAATCGAAAAAGTTGTGTTGATTGACGGATCATACTACGCTGTGATTCCCGATGCTGGGGCGGAGCCGGGTGACCCCGAACGCCCGGTGGGTGACCCCCATGGTGCATTGATTCGTTCCCAGCCCTTCCTCACCATCGAGGCCACTCGTGCATTGATCTACATCGCGTCAGACCTCGGCATGATATGCTTCATAGGAGTGGGGATGGCGGAGGTGTCAACGTGTCATGTGAGAGTGAGACAAGGTGATTTAGTGGAGCCGGGCACGGAACTCGGGATGTTCCACTTTGGTGGGTCTTCATCCGCTATCATCTTCCCCAGCGGGGTTGCATTTGTGGAGGACGCGGACAACGGGGTCGTAGTAGGCGAGCACGTCTGGGTTAACTCGGTCCTTGGAGTCGCTCAGCGAGTCTTGCCACTTGATGCGTAGAGCGTTTTGCCAAACATCCTTTTATCGAAGTGTCATATCTTCAAACTGGAGCTATTACGGAAACCAGATGTATACGCTTTCTGTACGATTAGGTCTCGTCAGTCGGTCTTGTACTACTAATATGATGATGTCATGTTTGATTTGTTACCGCGCTTTGCTATACAACCTTCAAGTGCCACGCCGAAAACACTTGGACAAACCCAAACATTTGAAGAAGGCACCATGTATGCTTGAGCACGACGCCAACTTGCTTTGCTATGTCATAGCTCATGCCGTCACAGAGAAGAAACTTCAATTCATACTCTGAGAGAATACTGGCATGCTGCACTTGCAGCGTCGACTCTCACGGACCCTGGTACTTAGGCGAGCATAATACACAGCCGCCAAAGCATTCGCAACGAGTCTGGTGCCCTTGGATCGGAGTGTGGAAACGCACTGATGTTTCCAGAATACCCAGCCTGAGGCGAGTGATTTCACTCATGACGATGAAAATGAACTCACCGTAATCTTTTAACGTGGCCTTTCCTTCGAAGAGGGATGGAGTCCTAAGGTATGAGTTCCTTGTCTGAGCTGACTTCTGACCTTCCCAATATTACATTCATCCCAATGGTCACCCCGGGCCTTGTGAAGGATCTCTATCGCATGAACTTGCTTACGACGTGCATCTGCGGCAGAGATGGGGCCAATGCATGATTCCGAGATGTTAAATATACTATTGCATCTTGAGCCCTGCTCGGTGAAGTTATCTGCCTGCTCTGAAGCGGTAATGACAATGTGGCCTGGGGATATCAGCTACCTGCCCCGGTCAAAACAGTACTACATGAGTTCTGCAGTGGATGATATGAGTCAACATTATGCCAGAGTAAAACGTGAAACTTAGTCACCAAGCGTCGACAGTCGAACATGAGTCACGAGTCAAATCGCATGCGGCATGACCACAGAATCCTAGTAGCCAGTTGAGAAACAATCGAGGGTGAATATGGTGAACTACTAGTGTTCGATGGCATGAAGCCTGGGACTATTCAACCAACTTGAATCCACATCCCACGTTTCCAACAGCGAGAGACGCCTAGCCGTACTGACAGGTATGTTAGGAGCAACTAGGTCGAAGATTTTCCACCGAAGATACAGTGAGTAGATGCAGGCAAGAGTGGTGAAACACCGGTTCCGCCGTGAGCATCTTCAAGTTCACGTCAGTACATTTCACGTTCATCGGTTGCACAGCCACACACCTCAAAGCGTTTTGTCAGTGTCAACAAGTTCTTGCGTACCTTCTACAATTCCGTTCGGGGTTTGTAAGCCGTACAAGCCAGCAACCGGCCTTACACGCCAGTGACACTTTTGTCAATGAACAATTACCCGCATCACAGTCTTTTCGCAGTCCATGGGTGCACCGGTGAATATTGTGAATCCCCAACGTTTGAACTTCAAGGTAGCAGGTCGGGTCGGAAGGTCAACACCGTACTCTAATACTCGTACGAAATCCCCAGACGTGACATCTGACATTTGGAAAGTTCGTACGCATATTGGATATCCCCTGCGCTAAATGAAAGTGCGCAGCGAAACAACAGCGAAAAGTGCCAATAACGGATATTCGAGAAAGGTCCAACAATTACCCATCAGTCCATTGGACTACCCCTCCGCCATGAAGACTCTGAGGTGAAGTGCGCGACTTTGTCGGCGGACGGAGAGTTCCTGGTCACTAGCTGCGTCGACGGCTGCAAGAGAAGCTAGTCTCAATGACCTTCTATCAGAACATGCGAGCTTTAATTCCTCTTCAATCACATCATTCCAACAACAGGTCTACTCATCCTTTCAGGTGGTATGTTTCATCGGGTTTCAGGATTCTTCAACAACCTCACTCACTCATTTTCGTCCATCGCAGCACGCTGTCAACAAATCAGTTTTGGACGCATGTAACGTTTTCTTTGCAAATTTTTCGCTTTTGAGTATCTGCATCCTAGACTCATGCTACACGACGACGAGTCCCGGAAGAAATCAAAGCATGATGGTCCCCGAATACTCCGGTTTTTTGACGACGCACAGCTCGTGCTGATATACATGATCTCAATATATAACCGAACAGTCTATTTTCAAGATTAATATGTTGACAGCTCTCAACATCACGCGGAGCAACTGAGCGTGCCGCTCGATCCAGATCTAGCCCTCTCAGTTGGGCTCAAAATTTGGTATCTTGACATGCTACGCAGACGCCGAATGCACGTGCCACCAGAAATCAATGTCCTGCTCGCAGCGGGCAAGCCTGTATGTTTTTTCCCCTTTTCGGCTCCCCATCACTAATACACGCCTTGAAGCAGAGGAACTATCATGCAAGAGGAAAGAAAGCCGCTAGGTCCCCTCGGCCTTCCAATTCTCATACCACGCAGCAACACAGTCGAGCGACCCAGAGCAATCTGCCATTGTCACTGCAACCACCTACCGCTACCACAGCATTCATTACGCTTCCCGCAGTTGCTGAGACTACCATGGGGACTGGAACAATTTCGCATCCTGACATCACCATAAGACGGGCTGCATGGCGGGCTCGTTTTCTTCTCTGGGTTTGCTGCGTGCCCACTCAGAACACCGACAGTCAACATTAGGGAAGAAATATCTCACTTTCCACCTTCGTTGCCACTTGCTGTACCTAATCTAATTCTCTATGGTTGCTGCTATTGTACGGTATGCGTTAATGAGTAGTTCATCAGTGTGTAGCAATAAAGAGGCGGAATATTGTTACACATGCACGGCTCAAGGAAGAACATAATGGTCGAAATACCTTGCCGTTGTATGCAAAGTCCAGAGCAGGAACGCCGAGTAAGTATCTCCTGCTGCGGAAGCAAAGACAGACTTAGCCATGTGAAGGGATCCCACATTCAGATCTGCATGAAAGGCCAGAGCAGATGAGGAGAAAGTGGCCCAGGTATAGGTGCTTGCAACTTATTAGATGAATTCAGCCGCAGAGCTACGGCTTGAGGTTACGGACATCCGAGAATTGTGACAACAAGTCCTGCGTCGATGATGAAATGATATTTGGAACAAGATAAGCTGCTCGAAAAAGTTGTCAATATTTCAACGTTGAAGCGCGTATGCGAAGTGAAAGTTAGAACTACTGCTTCGTACTAGACAATCATGGTACGTAGTCAATGGTGATCATGACACCCGATATCCTGTATGCGCGAGCTATTCCCCCTCTTCACTGCCGCTCGTCCAATATTCAATCTCCTAAAAATATGACAGGGCCGTCATGCTCGAATACATTATTGTGTCTTTCATAAAGTGTGTAAAATCGGGGGGCGTCCAACTATAGGGTAGTCAAAGCTACGGTTCGAGGCTACGGAGAGTGTTCAAGGGCATAGCATCGGAGGCAAAGTGCATCCCAGATCCGAACGCCGTCGTCCCAAAATCACCTTGTCGTTCGCACGCTTTGCGCAGTTGAAAGAATATACGGCAGGCAAGGGTGCCGTGTAGTACTATTTCGAACCTTGGGAAAATGTCAGAGCGGCTTCTGGAATAATTCATATTGTTGATGTTTACAAATCAAGCATCGCAGTTTCTCCGTCCTGCAGCTGCAAGATTGAATGGTCGGGTAGGAAAGTCAGCAATTTCAGCAGGACATGCAACCGAAGGTGCGCACAGGAAGTACGAATAGAGTGATGTTCACGGTCGAAATCACTAGAAAAAATGAATATTCCAGGGAAGTTTCGTGTGCAATGAACATTAAATCTCACCTAGCAAAACGGAGACATAGAAAAGACTTCCATGCGTGAGCGCTTTCACGAGCCTCCCGGTGGAACGCAGGCGAACGGCGTGGATGATCGTGGATATAACGATCACTGGCAGGTCAGATAGTTTCGCATGAATAAACACATCTTTTGACTCACCGAGCTCAAAAAAATATACGGAGCAGAATATGCCGAGGACTAGATGTGTCACCAACGCAGTGGCTTTGAGATTAGACGTGGATGTGGTACAAATGGCGCTCATCAGAGAGGCAGATGCGATGTGACATGCTAGCATTGTCATAACCACGATCTGTAAGAGGATTGTTAGTACAATGCCTCTGAAAGTGTCAAAGATTGTGAAGTACGGTATAGAGAACTAAGAGTGTCACTTTTACAGGTCGGCAGTCATGCCAGAGGGCCAAAGCACGCATGAGGAGCAGCCCTGCCATATAATGAGTGGGCGCTAGTGGTATTATTGCAAGACTACCTTCAGACGCCATCATGACTAGAAAAAGAGCGGCTATCCAAATATCAATGATCACGCTTCGGTGCACTACTTCTTAGACTCACTGTCCGATACTTTGTAATTAACTACGCACTGAACGGAGGTGAAAACGTGCTCGCTCAAAAAATGCGAAATCATACCTGGCTTTCATCTAGCGAAGGTGACAAGTCGTCTGCAGGGGTTCCTAAGGCTGTGTCAGGCGCCTCGAGTTTGGTATTGCTCACTATAGATGGAGACGCCAGTCGAAACAGCTGGCATATAGCGTGCTAATACGAAAAGGACGTGCGCCATGCTCCACCCTTTCTTCGTCGTGAAAAAGTGAACCTACGGAGTTCAGACACGACAAAATGGGTCAACACAACGCACACAGACCTCCTGGTCCAGTGTGAGGAAGTAGTCGAGAATCTGATGAACCATTAAGACACGGCCTGACCATCATCATCCTTTACTGCGGACTCACCCAAACTGCGGTAGAAGCAACTTTCCAGCGGTATGAGTACACGTGTATGTGGTTGATCCATGCGGCTACGCACCTCGAACATACTGTGTCATATTCATCAGCGCGAGACGGCTAGAGACGAACATAGCAACCTACCTCGGTTGTTTGTTGGCGGTAGTCGACGAGGACATTGAGAATGTGTGGTTTGTCGAAAAACTCGTGAGTCATATCCGAGTCAATGGTTTGTTCGGTCCTTGAGCGAGACGACGACGACAACGAAACTGAACCGAACTGTGACTGGCGATAGAAGGAACGACTGTCTTTCTCCTATTGGTCTGTCTCTAGTAGGAACCTTAATTGTCGTATATATCGATTCGATAAGCTACGAACCTCGGTTTCAAGCCGTGACGCACGGGGCAAAGTGACTCACGTCAAGGAAAGGAAAGGTCATAACTTACAAGGTGTGGCGTCAACAATCCCCGCGTCTTTTGAATGGCTTGAGATCCCGGGGCTATTGATCTTGACGCGCGAAGCGCTGAGAAAAGCGTGGAGCACGGATATACTTACGACACGTTGAGCCGACGGAGAATTGGTGAAGAAGCCACGCTCAACTAAGTTTAGCATGCCATGAGGCTTATGTTGGTGGTTGAAGCTTGCAGTCGGAGCACCGAAAGCGGGCGCTCTGATTGGTGGGTTGTAATGAAAACGAAAAAGCTGTAGGCATCAGGAAGCAAGATGGTGTTTGACTTCCAAACAATCTGATGTTGTGAGCAGGTGCAAAATTGTATACTTGAGGATTATACGTACGTGTAGCATCCCTCAACCGACCAAATGACCACAAGCATATCAGGCCTCAGGTTTCAGTGTTTTATCAGCAAGCTAAGACATAGCGTGCACAACAGAAGTCCAACGGCATGTTCGCGGGAGGCTTGGACAACACTCCATAAATTACGTACACTGGGCTTATACCCTCAATGAACTATAGATTACATGTTAAACACAATGCCTTTCGTTTTCGTGACGACAGTCTGATACATCGAGGGAGATAGTTAGCATCATATTAGCTCGAAAGACGGAAACACACTCACAGACTTGGTTATCAGTAGGGTAAGAATCACCATCCTCACCTCGTCTAGTGCAATATCCGAAAGAAGGTCTCTTGGAGTCTTCCGAGTCGCCGCTCGAGCTTTGGCTCTTAATAGCCTCCTTGATATCTAAGCTATTGGCGACATTGCGCCTTCTGCCTCACTTCTTGTGCGTGATCCACTTCACTCCCGTTCCTTGTTCGATGCTCTCCATAGCGTTCTTCACACCTTTATCAACCGACTCTCGCCCAGCAGCAGTGCCTTCTTTTGCACGCTCCCAGCTGGCCATTCCGCTGCGCGCAATGGAGGTTCTTCTGATTTCTCCAAGGTGAGGAACATAGTGATCTTCAAGCTCCTCGACATATGCGTCGACCCGAGAAGCAGTACCCGGCAGGAAATATGGGAATACATCAACTAAGGCTGCGGGCGGAAGTGGGATGCCTGTGTGGAGTGCGTGCGAGCGAATGAAGACGGACGTTGTCAGGGCAAAAATTCTGGTCTCCGGTGAGTGGGGATGCAATGGTCAGCATAGGAAGATATCACTCACAACTCCACCATTTCTTCAACAGAGGTCTACCGGTCTATGGTACATTGGGCCTTGGAGTGGATACAAGTAAAGTAGTCCGTGATTGCTCGAGGCACCTTTCTAATGCAGATGGGGTGTCGAAAAGTAAAGTCTGGGTATGTGTTTATGGTATCTGTGGTTAAGACATAGAAATTAGGCTTCAGAGCTATGCTCTTGTTGACATCGATTGACATTTTAACAATGCTGAGGTACACGGCGGCCACTGTATCTGCAAAATGAACCGTACGATTTTGGTTGCAATAGATGAGTCGAGTACAAGTTCACGTAATTGACTCGGTGGGACTGCAGGACGCGCTGCTGTCAGACAAGCAAGAAAATCAAATCATGAGTCATTCACTCCAGAGTGGCGGTGGCGATTGTTTACCTCGTCGTCGAGAGGACCTGTACGTGGACTCGGTAAACTTCAGTAGTTTTGGAATATAAAGGGTTGAAGAAGGACATGCATGTTAACAACTTCGATGGGATCGGATGCAAGGCATACATACGTTTGTACAATCTGCAGAACGAACGCCTTGAGCGTCAGGCTTAAATTTCCTGTCATGGTTGGCATGGCTGGACATTCAGCAATATCACTCCGCAGTAAGGCAGAAAGAGAAGAAACAGGAACACTTGCCTTTGATATCTGTTTGGTGATTGCTGAGCCCTGGTGTTACGGTTCAATAGGAACAACACTGTAGTGAACCTTGGTTGACCTCGTGCTCGCCGCCCAATTGTTCAAATACTACATTCAGGTGGCGAGTCCAACATCAGCTTCATAAGACGCTGCGCGCATCCAAAGTCTGAGACAGCCTCATTATCGTTGGGTCCGTCAAATGTTGTACTTGTCTTTGGAGGGTGTGCAGTTAGAGCCGTATAAGATTCCTGAGCTCATTTCAAATTTGCCCATGATGGACCCGATAAGCCCACATCGGCAACCATAACATCAATTCGTGTCGATTCGACAAACACGTGGTCAAACCAGTCCCTTGCAGCGGTTGTTTCTTGATCTGCTGTGGAAGCTAAGGAAACTGTCTTGAGTGATGTTGCAGGGGTGGCTTGTTTGTTCAAAGTGCTTCTGCAACTATTTGATGTCAGGGATGCTTATAAATTTTACATAATAACGAAGCACGATATGGTTGTGAGAATCGTAAACAACGACAACGCCATTCTGCGATAGCTTACAGCCATTTCTCGCTGAGTCTAAGAATTTCTTGTTCATGCAGGCGAATAGCTGCGAGCTTCAAATCGGACGAGATCTTTCTTTTGCCCATAATATTGATGATTGTGATATGCAAGTCTTGTAAAATTTACGCTATGTCCTTTTTCGGTCTATGTCATCTTTCAATTTACATCGAGGCGCCAGTACTTACCATTACATATGCAAACGGCTGTAAGTGGGCATCGATGTTTCGCTCGGAAAGCTTGTCAGAATTGATATAACGTCGAAGAGTCTAAGTGATCAGCATCTACAGGACGAAGTGGAACCAAGCTGGATCGACATAAAGCAATACAAAAGGAACGAAAAACATAGCAGAACAAGGAAATACAATATAATGATGAAGGGTAGATACTTCTTCCCTATAGTTGATGGTTTTCAATAGAGATACAACCGATCCAGAGCCAGAGCCGCGTCCAGCATCCAGCCTGACGTATAGTGACATCAAGGTGCGAGGTTCCAGTCGCCGCCGCGGTAGTGGAGACTGTAGGAATTGCAGCTGATGTCATGGCTTGCTGTGATGACGATGGTGGGAGTGTGCTTTGGGTTGCTCTGCCAGTATGTTGCTGCATGACATAGATCTTGGGAGGTCGAGAGGAGCTGGCTGCTTTCTTCCCTCTTGCATGATAGTTCCTCTGCGTGAAAATGTGTCAGTGATAAGAAGAATAGAGGTGGGAAAAAGCGTACAGGCTTGCCTGCGGTGCACGGGACATCAACTACCGGTAGCTCTCGCAACTGGATGTTTGATCCATCTTGTCTGCGTTGTCTGCCGGACACAATGTTTTTAGCCCAGCTACGAGGGTGGGATCTGGACGGGGTGTCGTGTTCAGTTGCTCGGCATGAATTGGAGCGGGGGCGCAGGAAGGAAGGTAATCGACCAAGGAGAGTCCATTGATTTGGTGTGGTGGTGGCATTTCGTCCTCGGGAAGTAGAGAACTAATAAAATAATGGTCAAAGGGGATGTTAGATTACAGATGGAAATCATGTACATCGTCGAAAAATCCGGGGGGTAGTCGATTCGGATGAGCACTGTCGATTTTCGAAGGTCGTGTCCATGTAGCACCAGCCTAGTATGTAGATATTCAAAGCCGTGCAAAAGTTCAAGAGACACATAACATACATTAATGTTAAATGCCTTCTTGACTGTCTTCTGTGATAATGTGATGAATGAAGATGAGTAAGAAAGGCTGTTGAAGAGACCTGATGCAACATACCACCTGAAAGGATGACCAGTTGTCAGCGTGATTGAGGATGAAATGTACACAAGCTTACATTGTCTGATAGAAGGTGACTGAGGCCAGCTTCCCTGACGATAGCAGAGACATCCCATTTGTATATGTCGTTGTCGTCGCAGCCAGTGACGAGCGACCTTCCATCCATGGAAAAGGTCGCACACCTCACCTGGTCTTCATGGTAGAAGGGTTGTCCGATGGGCTGATTGGTTTCTAGGTTCCACAGTCGCGCTGTCTTGTCCCGTGATATGCTTGCGAGGATGCGTTCATTTGGAGACAGTGAAATAGCATTGACCCAACCTTCGTGTCCCTCCAGAACAGCGGTTTCGGTCCAGGTGGCGGTGTCAAATTTCCTGATACAGGAGGTTGACGCGGCGGCGATAAGTGTCTTTCCGTCCGAGATCCATGCCAGGCAGAAAACTGCGAAGTCGAGTGTTTTGACCAATTGGCCTGTGTTGGCATCCCAGACTTTCAGCTTGTTCGTGCCCGTCGCAATCATTGTACCATCGGGTGAGTAGCAAACCGCCCACATCCAGGTATCTTTCGCTGCCTCGATTGGACCCAGGATTATCTTTCCGCTCTCGACGTCCCATACTCTGAATGTCCCACCGCCGCACCCGCTCACCACTCGCCCTCCATCTGGACTCCAGCACACAGACTTCACTGACTCTGTGTGCCCCGTCAATTTTTTGATGACCTTGCCTGTGTCAATTTCCCACAATATCACTGTACCATCCTCACTCCCACATACTACTGTCTTGCCATCCGGCGAAAGTGCTATGGCATTCACACTTCCACTTATTTCGTCCATCCAGGCCTTCAAGACCTGCATACCACTCTCCAAGTCCCAGACTTGAAGTGTGCCGTCCCATGAACAGGTGATGATCCGCCGTTTATTGGGCAGGCGTAGGACGCCAGAGATGAGATCGGTGTGTCCTTGCATCTTTTGGGGAGGCTTTGTCGCTGATTTCTCTTGCTTTTCAGGGACTCGTGAAGACATGATTTTGGCTTGGGGACTTCACCTAATAGGAGCGGGGCAATTTCAGCTCTTGCCCACCAAACGAACGCCATCACTCACTCAGAGGTACTTGATTTCACACAGAACACACCCTTCCAGGATGAATGAAAGTTGAAAAGGAATGGACTTATTGTTTGATGCTCGGTTAGAGCTACAGGGATATTGCTGTTCAAGTCCTCTACGGGTTTGCCTTCATGCTGTTTACTAAGCACTTCACAGCTTGAGCACGGGCTGTGCACAATCAGGGCCCCCAGTCTCGTTTTCTCACAACATGCACGGTTTCTACATCGATATCTCAACATCGCATTAGGTAGGCATGCTCTCAAGTAAGTTCGCATTCCTGTATTTCTTCACTGACCCTTCTCGGAAAAATATACATGGCTTCGTCTGCCGTGCCATCAGCGTACGTCTTGCAAAGGATGTCTCGGCAAACCGGTCCCGTATCTTTCGCTCAACACTGCTGCTACCGACAGCATCACTACACCCTCCACGACTAGTGGTCAATGAGCATCAATCATATCAATCGCAAGGCTAATTCGAAGGCTCTGGAAATGTCTATGCAAATGTCGACGACACTCACATCAGATTGTGGATTACATTTCCCCGTGTCTTGCATTCAACGACTTTGTGACTAAGTTTTACCTTTTGCTCGGACACAGTACTCGCAGGTGATGGAATTGGGTGCGTCATGCAGTTCTTCACCCGACGCACAGCTAGGTCATCAACTTGGATCAATGCATTGTGCACAAGACAGTCAGATTTCTTCTGTCTAGCCAGTATGGGGACGGTTTGTGATCCCGGGGTGACTAATGTTGTGCAGGAACTACTGCATGATACAATGGTAGATATGTAGACTTTCCTGTACTTGGTTCCGTCCTTTGTCACCGGTCAATCAAAACAGTGTATGAATCATGCGAGCGCTATAATATTCCAGCGTCCTGGAACATTAATATCTAAGTATTGTAATGTGATTGGAGCTGTGAGAGACATACAAATAAGATTCTATACAGACAACTTGGTCGTGGACCACCTCCATGTAAGGGAGGTATGTTGTCACCTGCACGTCTGGTTCAATAGCTATTGTCGTAGGTTCCCGGATGACCTGGTTGATTCCACGCACCACGGCGGAGGTATTGAAGTCGGTCATATGCAGTCGGAATGATGAATTGGTTCGATCTGCGACGGAAACTTCCCATACAACACGAGTTCCTCCCACACCAAAGAAGCCTGCCCCTTGCTCGAAGCAGCGAGAGTTCTGTGGACCCCATGAAGACCATGGAACAGATAGTCCATCTTTTGTGGTTGCATCGAACCATGCCAGAGGGATATCCATGAAAAATATACGAGCGGATATAACAAATACCAACGAGGGAGAAGACCATGGTACGGATGACTCGATCTGCAGGGTTTGTTGACCAACTCTATTGATTGTCTGGAGGCGTGCACAGCTTTGAGCACTATGGAACACAGAAGGAAATACAAAGGCGGCCAAACCCTCACGAACGAGCCGTATAAACCTTGCCTGAAGCCGCAGTGTCTTTGATAGATCCTCAACAGCATACAACTTTATATGGCCAACAACTTCTCCTTGGTAAGAAAACAAAAATCGCACACATTATTGCATTCACTGAGCACATACACATCCTAATTTAATGGCTCAAATCAGATGTGTGGATGAAAGATGGAACGGGACACCTACTTCGGCTTGACCACCTTGATGCCACCTCGAGACGTGCAGCGACCAATATGGGTCCCCGTTTCTGTCGGGTTCGCCCATACAGATTGCAATGCAAGACAGAGACGACAACATTGAATTCCTCATTTTCACTGCAAACGGGTCTACCAGTGACTATACAGGAGCCATTGGCCAAACGATGTTCCTCTGCCGTGGATATCGTACAGAACAGTATTTAGTACTTGAAGTCGCATGTTCCGCCGCCGCCGGGAAATGTAACGGTGACCAGAAGGTCTTGTGTCTCGTCCATGTATGTCACTGTGTGAAGACCAGGATTCGGACGATTCCTCTATAGACGATCAGCACACGTCGTGTATGTCTTGAGACCTATAGTGTAGGACCCGAGTATCCGCATCGACGGACAGATCAGAAAAACCAAGTTGGTGATGGGCGATGGTGTTGGAATCGAACACGCTTGGGAAATGAAACGCTTTCACTGTCGTTGTAAAGAATTCCACGTGCTCGCCTTGTCTCGGAGGATACGCAAGCACTCCGCTGTGGATAGAGTAGGTGGCCGTGGACGAACCTGAATTAACCTTTGGGCACCAAGTTCGATGATGTATTGTAGCTTAACAGAGCATTTGACTGTATTTGACAAGTCTGCAATGACAGAGATCAGTGCATTAATGCCATAACTCGATGGACAGGGATAAATATATGACTCACCAACGCGCAGCGTATAATTTCATTGTATGAAAGAAAACTGAGGATATGACAGCGTGCCTCCTCTGGGATATCTTCTAGGGTGACCCTTTCAAAACGAGAAGAAAAAATTCCGCAACAGATAAAAGGCTCTTGGTCTATCATCTCGGAGGAAAGAAGAATATCAACATCGGACAATTGATATGATGGCGTATGTGGTGTAGGAGGGACCGGTACCTTGACCTGGCTACTATGAGGAATGCCATGAATACCAAATTCATTTTCAGCCTAGACCGCAAAAGAGGATGAGAAGGCCGCACTCAGCAAACGTTTGAGAACCCACCTTTTTGCTATTAAACAGTTTTGGGGGGCAATTCGATGACGAATCATGATGAAATCGCATATCATAGTAAAACGATTGGGGTTTTCGAAATATTTCAGAATGATACAAAAAGACATGATTTGTTGGATGAGTAGAACATATGGAATTTCCCGAGATGACCTCATCCGGACGCTGAGCTCACCATTGTTCCACTGGAGTCCCTCTGTTATATTACTTAGAGATGTTGCCGACGGATGCCGCATTTCTAGAGCATATACAGTGTAGAAGGTAGGAAACGCAACTCGGAGTGGTGCGCACGAGACTAAATTTATCACTGCAGAAGGCAATTGATATGAGCACGAATGCAGCGCTAGAAGCATTCGACCAGAATACTATCTACTTATTCGCATGTCTGTCAGACTGTCTTTGCATGCGTCCATGGTATTTATTTACTTGCAATTGGGCCGATCATACCTATATAAATACATTATTTGCGTACATGCGATGGGTAGACTGTATTTGCTCATATGGGAGTTGATAAATAATACGTCATACTTAGCTAGATTCCGAGTGTCCATGTGGCTGTGCCCCGGTCATCTCGGGAACACTTTTGAATCTTCCGCTCATCCGTCATCCGAAAGTTAGTACCCGCTCACTTGTAAGAAACCTACACCTGCGCGCAAATATGTCTTTTTACATTATTTTCACCAACTACAACACTGTCACCTACTTACAAATCGTTTCACCATGTTCAGAAACTTGCTCAGGAACGTCATCAACCCATTAGTGGGTTACTCAAACGAGCTGCTTGAACGACCAAAGGTGGGCAATCAAAAGTTTGCTGAGCAATATTCTTATCCTCTCTTGTGGTTTAGGCTCGAATCGATGCTGGTGTTCATGGTGATCTTTGCCACATTAAGGTGCCGGTCCCTCCTATGCCCCCTCGTATTGGAAGGGCTACCCTAGAAGACATTCCAGAGGAGTTACGCTGCCATATCCTCAAATTTCTTTCATATACTGACATTTTACGCTGCGCGTCGGCGAGTCCACATTCATCCCTGTCCTTCGACTCATACACTAATGCATTTATCCGGCTTGTCACAGACTTGCCGATCGATGTACTATACAGTCAAATCGTCGGTCGAACTTCAATATCTCGTCGAACTAGACGCGCAAAGTTTAATTCAGGTCCATCCGCGGCCACCTACTGTCTCCACAGCGGAGTGCCTGCGGATCCTCCGAGACAAGGCGAACGCGTGGAATTCTTTCGACCTTGATGCTACGAACACTCCAGCGCTTCATTTCTCGAACGTATGCAACATCCACTCCGTCACTCATCAACAGCTTAATCTGTCTAAATCATCCATTGATGCGGATGTTGAGTCCCACACCATGGATATGAAGTCATGCACGACACGTAGTCGATGGTTCGATTTCGAGGGTTCGAACCCCACTCTTAGGACACTCATTTATATGGACCCGCCACAAGACCTTATGGTCATCATTCAAGCTCCAAACGGTGGCCGAACGCACGACTTCAAGTACAGAATACTGTTCGGCACGATATCCACGGGTGAGGAACACCCTTTGGCCCATGGATCCCGTATAGTCGCTGGTAGACCTGCTTCCAGTGAAGCGCGGCAATTCGGTGTTTGTGTCTCTATCCTCGGAGATCGCATTGCAGTCTTTCTCGCTGAGCATGGCGAAAATGAGGACCCATACTGGTCGCTGCACGTCTCGAGCTGGCATCAAGGTGGTCGATCTGATGTAGGTGTCACGTTCCGTCTTTCATTCACCTATCTGATTTGAGCCATTAAATAGGAAATATGTGTGCCTAGCGAAGGCTACGGGTTGCGCGACCTCCGTTTTCTCACGAAGGAGAAGCTACTGGCTCTCTCACCACAGGGCCATATCCAGCTATACGATGTCGATGACCTGTCAAAGACGCCACGGCTTCTGGCAAGATTTATCCTGCCCGTTCCTAAGGATTCGGGCGTCTTCGTATTTCCTTCGGTGTTCCATAGTGCCCAAGGCTGTGCCCGCCTCAAGTCATCAGATGATAATTGGATCTGGACGACAAACCCAGCAGATCGAGTCATATCCGTGATGTGGTTCTCTCCCTCGTCGCTTTTTGTTATATCCGCTCGGATATTTTTCATGAACATTCCTTTGGCATGGTTCGATGCGACTTCAAAAGATGGACTATCCGTTCCATGGTCATCATGGGGTCCACAGAATTCTCGCTGCTTCGACGGGGAAGAGGTGCTGTCCTTTGGAGTTGGAGGATCTCGTGTTATTCGGGCCGTTCCCTTTCCAGATCCAGATGATTCATCGTTCCAGTTGCATATGACCGACTTCAATCCCTCCGCCGTGGCGCGTGGCATCGGCAAGGTTGTCCAGGAACCTACGACAACAACTCTCGAGCTGGATGTGCCGATAACAACATACCTCCCTTTCGTGGAGGTGGTTCATGACCAGTGTCTCGATGCCTCCCTTTGGAACATTGTACTAGACGAGGAGAAGATGGTGATTCTTACCCTACCGACGACTGAGTCTGTGAGTAAATTTCCCTTCTTTCGAGCTAATGAACTAACAATTTCCTTCGATACATTAGACTGTGGTAACACACACGGAGGGCACCTTTTTTAATATGTAGTTTATGCCTCGTTGGAGGCATAGTACGCAGACTTTTAGAGCGTGCCATTATGCCACTTTCTATTACGCACGCTGTTGCATACTACTCAACTTGTTAGCTTGAAATAAAACACTGAAACCTAATACGTGAAGCAGAACTCAAGATTATTGCCGTCTGTGTCCTCCAGGTTACTTACATACAAGCGTTCCTTACACCTTCGGACGTTTTCCATCGTCAATCACAATAAGATATGTCTGTATACAACGTTTACGAATCTGTGCGCAAGTCAAGCACAGCTTTCTCTAGCGTCAGCCCTTGACATCCGTTGAATGTCGTCGCATAAGCAGGTCGCAGAGGAAACTGTTTGCGAATTACAGTCCAGCTTGAACGTGCTGGATTGAAGGTGAACGTGATCCGAGGCAAGCAATGTATCTCTCCGGTATGAGGAATCTGAACTTCGACAACTCTGCGATTCAAAATGCTACTCCAAAGCATGACGAGTAGCATTTTGAATACCAACGACGCCGTGAAATGAGCATGCAGACGCCATGGTGGTAAAAGCAGAGGAATACAGTTAGGAGAGAAACATGCGATCGCATGTGGAGCTCGGTGACGTGCAATTGCAAAGGAGGAGTAGACAAGGTGTGCCGACGCCAACGATAGCATGCTCAAAATCAACTTGGAGCTTGTAACACGACAAAGTCAGCGATGGTTCCGGGTCAACGTTCGCCTACATATATAGACATCATGCGTCATTTAACGTCAGAGAATAAGGATGTGGTATAGGTGATGCATCGATGTCGTTCAAAGACTCCAACTGAGTATGCGCATTAGCATGGCCTTGGTACCACCTCGTCAATGAAATCGTCGATGTCATACGAATGCTTTGAACAACAATTACTCTTCGAGCTCGAATGCAGAAGCAAGTGTTCTCCAGAGAACCCATCGTTCCAACACGCAGGTTATTGCGATTTTGCCCAATCTGCCTTGCTGTAAGGAACGAACCCTCTGAACATCACGCAGCGGCTAAACTCGACAGCTTGCAGGATCTAGTCCAGGAAGATTGACATCCTATAACACCGTCCAGAAGCTGAGATTAGCCCGAGCCCTTCGGAAGGGGGCGTCTAAGCAATCAAAAACTTGGAACAAATCACTTTCGTATCTTTTTTTGAGGTTGGTATTATAAAGGAACGCGCCGCATCGGACCGTAGCTGACTCCACCAGCGAGAGCGCTCGCTTCAGTATTCGGGAGCGTGCCCCTTACACTGGGCGTTTGCACACTCTCAGGGAAGTCGTGGTATCGACTGAAATGGTAATCAGCACGATCGTAATAGACGCTGTGGGAGAGTATATTAGCGACCTAGATAAGCTGGTCGGTAATCATGCAAGTTAGACAAAGAGATTTTCGGCATGTGGAACATCAATCTATGGCCTTCGACTAGTCATGACACGCACCCCGGCGGTCCACAAGACTTGTGCTCCTCCAATAATGCTCTATCCAGTCGGATAATACAAGACAGCACCAAATCAGCGCCCCGGAGAAAGAGCAAACGTACAAAACTACAATGTTATACGATCATTGCAATATGGAGATATCATAGCTTACGTTGACAAGTAAATCCCTTCCATAGAAAGCCCACCTAATTCCTATTGTCCAAACGGCTATGCAGTGTGAGAGTGTCGAAGAAGAGACGTCTCCAATGAGGATATAGGATATGCTGAACAAATCGAATACCGACGTTCGAAACAATCGATATCGAGTACGTTTGCAGTCAGTCCTGACCTAGTGTTGACACACCTCAGTATTGTGACGGCGAAAGTGATGGAAAATCGAATTCACTACTAGGTTGACGATGGTCATTGGTGTCGGAGTTTGATCGATAAATAACTTTACATAAACTCAGATCTAGAAATGTTCCATTACAATTGTTACTAATGTTGATATCATTACCGATACCATTAAACCTGGATCTCCATCATGGCACCCAGAATCAGCGCACAGGATAGGGAAGCTCTCAGGACTCTGCCCCGGTTGATGCAGGTATGGCTCGGATCTCTTTAACAGGCAATCTGACAGTCTGATTTCTCGTTTTTCTTGCTTTAACAGCGCAAAGTTGCCGGGGCATTGCGTGGCTCAGTCGAAGACCTCCGAGACGTTGTTGGTAGTCTCAATCAACTCAAGGATGTCATGTCACTATTACTTCCCGTCTTTCATGCTCAACTTGAGGCGTACCCCGTCCCGGACGGAATTAGTCCTGATGTCGTGCCAGTGATCATGCTCGCCAAATGGTCCATGGGTGGCATTGTGCAAATTTGTCATAACCTCGGCAATAATATCAGTCTCGGAGAACGCCTTGTCCATGACGCTGTGGCTTCAAAGTGGGAGATGCTCTTCCCGTGGATGCAGTTCTTCAGCTACAACTTCCTCCCTCCTTCACAAAGACCTGCTGTCCTCCCGCATGGCCTGTATGTTAGCACTTACGAGGCCCTTAGGATTACCATACATCCACTGTCAACCTTATGTCAATTCACAACAACTGGCAGACAGTTGATGAGGACAAATCCCACTGTTCAAGCATTTTTTTTTCGGGCTTGGGTCATCGTGGACGGGCTGAAGAGCGATGATGTCGCCGATCCTCTTCGAGAAGGCGACAAAAATCTCAGTGCACTGATACGGGCGAATATGTGCTCGCTCAGCGTTATTTGCATGGAAGACACCCCAGCATCTTTGCCAGTATCCATCATCGCCTCTGCTGCCGGCGGAACCTTCCCCATGGCATCATTAGCCCTCCGATATATTCGTCATATGACTAAAGAGGTGTCTAATATGCCAGAGCCCCGGTTACGAACAAGAGAAAACGTCGACTTCTCGTCCATGACAGTATGTGCTACTGGCTTGGCGCAGGCCATCCTCTTCATGCAATCCTTGGGCGATCGAGAGGGTGGTTGTCAAGAACTGCTCCTCCAAATTGGCTCAATTCGTACCGTCCTACATGCTGTCAAGACACTCTGGGAACGGCTCCTAACCCCTGCTTGGAATAGCTCGGATAATGAACCAGATATAGGGCTTGCAGCGCGACGCAGAGTGCTATACATTGCGTATCGCTATATCGGCTATTCAATGAATTGCGCAGATGACTCTGCTTTGGTGATATCCCAGGCCCTTCAACACGGTCTACTTGAATGTCTTCTGCGGACTGGGTCATCACGAGCTGAACGCGTTGACAATGCCAAACGCTTTGAAGATGACCACGACATTCAGTTACTCAAAGAACTTCCCCGGTTCTTCGTATTCTCGAAAGTGCTACGTTCTCTTCAACCCGCACTTCAGAGAATAGATCATGTCGACCTTAAAGAACGAGCATCCCAAGACCCCGTGCTGTGGGAGGTATGGCAAGCCGTTGACTCCGCAGCCCATACCTTCACCAATTTTCACGAGCTTCCTGAGGGAGCTCCTTTCTACCGATATCATTGCGGTAGCCCAACAGTACGTTCGAGGATGCTTCACTTCTTCTCGCCAACTGAAATCCTTGAGTTATCAGTGCTCTCTCGATTTCTTCGAAGACGATGTCACAGCATATCGTTGTTCAGGGTGCTTTTTGACGCGTTACTGCTCAAAGAGTTGCCAGAAGGACGCTTGGGAATCCGGTCACCGTATTCACTGCCGCATGCTGCGTTCTGCTGTCGGTCAGATTCTTGTCCTGCGCATCTATAAATTCTTGTCTGACGATTTATTCCAAAGGCAATCATGATGTACGCGAGATCCGCAAAAGTTTACCCGTTATTGCGATGATCGAATCTTGGATATGCGAAGAACGCGTCAATGAAGTCAGGGCTCTCTGTCATTCTGCCAAAGACCCGGTGAAAACCTCCGACGACGATCGCTCCGTCGTAGAGGTGGACTTGTCCGTTTATCCCATTGAATTGAATATGTATTCCCTGCGGGAATATTTGCTCGTTTGCGGCTCTCACACTTTCGGACGTGGAGTTGCTGATTCGATCACGACCTCAGAAGACAGCCCGTACGATCTGGTTGCGGTCAAGGTCAGGCTTGGGAGGGAGTATTATTCTCTGTTCAGCCCAGCCACAGCTTTGAACATCGCGTTTGGGTGGACGTCGGGCATTCAGGGAGGACGATACATCCATGAACATTGTCGGACACCTGATCCATGAGATTCTGTAGGACGTCCTCCGACGACCGAGGTACAGCCACTTGGCACGCTGGGTCTCAGACGAGGTGCGGTACTGTTAGGACCTTGAAGGAGGATATAAAGGTCCCAGAGCGTAGGTGAACTGTTGACAAAGCTATGTTCACGGATTCATTTCGTTGTGAACGTAGTTCGCAGGACCGCATCAACTGGAGGCCTTCCACATTATGGATACGCGGTATCTAGTGCCGTAACGTATCAGGAGATGAAAAGATTGGTCCCTTAGAAATATCTACACCTTTTCCAATGATTTACATCACAGCTCTGGCTAGCTGGGATGCAATAGACCAAACAACGTTACAAACTGAGAAGTGAGCAAGCCAACATCGGTGTATACCATCTTTCTACCTAACATCTACGTCTTTTCGAAGTTCGTCATCAACAACTCATTGTGAGTGATGCCGATAACAGGGAACTGTCTCATACACATGGTATGTCTCATTTACTGAGCTCATCGTATAATCACGCGGCAGTAGCATGCAGCATATTGCGGCTGGTGCACCGAATGACTCAGTCGAAAACATGGTAGAGCTCATCAACCGTACCGGCACAAATCGATGTGTTCCTCCTCCTGCCCGTTATACCCCCTTTGAGTCCAAGCGAAGATGTTTACTTCGACTCATCGCATTGAAGATTTTACCAGCCGAGTCAGAAATTCTGTGGCATACTATAGCTTGGGGAGCCATGTATGTGCAAAAGTGACATGCATGGTCACCGTACAGAGGAAGGGGAACTCAAATCTCTGACTTGAGCGGAATCTCGTTTACGTAGTCTGTTTTCGCCGTGTTCCGCTTTCATTGTGGCCCCCGGTCAAGATCGACGGTGTGCCGGGCTTCCGCTCTTCCGGATTCTTGGTTCTTCATTAATGCTCGAAGACATGTCAGAAAGCAGCATGGAAGCGTAACCATCGGGGGTACTCGAATTACGACCAGCAAGTCCTGATACACATTGGCTCTCCACACCCTAAATTTGAAAAAGCTAAAGACACGCCTATGTGACAACCTTTCCCAGTCACCTTGGGCGCATATGCACACCTTTGGGAATGCTTGTCTACAGGCTCCAGAATTCCGTTTAGACTCAGAGGAAGTGCAAGTTATGATCCGTCAATCCTACTGCGGGTTGTGGGCATTATAATCTGGATTCCGAATTCCTACAAATTGAATCGCAGCTACTCCTGTGCAAATGATATTAATCTGTTGATCCATATCAAACAGACCTCAAAGCGGAAGTAGTCTGAGGACCATACGTTCTAGGAACATTGATGCTGGACGAGCGTGGATAGGCGCGGATCCTGAGATAGCTCACACTGTAACTGAAATGTCTGGATTCGAACAAAGGGCGTTCCGGATCGGAAGCCATGTCACGGACCCCTATGGGACGTCCATGGGCAGCGTCGATGCTCGAGATATTCAATGCATAGCTTGCGCGTCCACCTTAGACTTGATGCGGCATCCTGAATGCTCCGACAACATTAAGGTTTCCATGCGGAGTGGCAGTTATATTTTCGGGGTGCTGATGGTCTAGTTGATATACACATGCTGGTGAGAACACATCACGAGGTACGATCATGCTGCTTCTCGGTGCTTTTATCTGCTTCGATTGCTTCCTGATGCTGCGAACTGGCATTGACAGCGCTGAGGTATGTGTCTGATAGACAATCGTCAATAAGGAAGGTACTTCAAGTAAACTCCCACTTACTCCAAAACAAGCTGACAACACTGACGACAACAAACTGGAGATGATGCGGTACGATAGCGAAGTTGATGATTTGGGTGGGTATAAAGACGCCCCTGTATATATTTGAGCACATGATGCGTAGACAACACCGCAAATCTTACCAATTACGAATTAACGTTGGGGTGTATGCCTGTGAGATATGTGAAACGGTACCAGAGTGCAAGGGGAGTGTAACTTACAGTACTAATGCGGTCCTGTGCGCCAGAAATACCTTTTCCCTCTAGAATACTCATTGTGCCGAAAAAGAATCCGACAGCCACTAGAAGAGTGAAGAGAGTGAGAAACACAGTAGATCTTCCCACATGGAGTCAACGAACCGGGAGTCAGGATCGCCTGGTCGAGCCAAACCTGCAAAAAGGCGATCATTCCCTCATGAAGGTTCGAGGAGGTAGTACTCCCATACGCGATACATGACAGCCTTCGTAGGACTGGGGAACTTGATCCGGTTGAGAAGTTGATACCATTTTGTCAATGCTGGACCAAAGAACGCGCCTAATAGAATAAGGCATGAATTAGAATTCAAGAGTCAAGACCATACTCGGCTTATACCTCCATAAAAAGTGAGACGTGCAGTACGCATGAACTGCACAGATGATCAACACCAGTTTCTTTATACGGTACTAGCATCAATACTCACATCATGATTCTTGCCCTGACGCTCAATAGCTTGCTGGGCAATTACATCACCTGCACCAAATAAAACAGCGGCAGTAACAGATTGTGCGAACATAGGTCTTCGGATGAGAGCAGCACTGGAATACTTGAGCAAACAAAACTACGCAAGGTGGATTTGAAACCACCGACTTGTACAACCGAAGAATTGAAGCCATTGTTGAAGAAACCGCTGGTGTAATTAGAGAACTCCAACACGGAGACTTCAAGCTTCAAGGCAATGTGTGAGGACTAGGAACATGAGTTGAGTCGCGGAAGTTGAACTGATGATTATGTAACGAGTGGTACATCCCGGGGCACAGTTTGTTAGCGGTTGAAGCACCGAAAAACTGTGCTTGGATAACTTGTGAAATGGTCAAAATCATGTAGCTAAGCAACAGTCAAGTAAAAAGAATTCAATATCTCTATCTTATAAGCATGCCATTTCCAAACAGTTAGGGGACTGCTGCGCTTCTTCGATTCTCGAGCTGTTTTGGTCAGGTGTGGTTACCTTTGTGCGAGCTATCCCCAGAAAAACACGATGGATCGGCATGGTCACTGGTTTCAGTAAAGTAGCACCTATTGTTGTTAATTTTTCTGATCTACTTACTTAGTCTCATGACTCGCTCAGAGGTAGCTGGTTGTCTTTCAAAACTTGCTGAAACAGGTACCTGCACGGCATGGCTGCTGTGGACGAAAAAATTGATGTATTTATATCCATCATAATGGAAGGCATTGGGAAGGACATAACTTTAAAACTTCGACTGTTGCATTTTGAACATATTTGGCGTCGCACTCCTTGCGTTATCTCATGGAGCACATTCCCGGTATCAAATGCATTTGACAAACCTGTGATATCATATCTGTCAATACGCTAGAACGAAAGGCAGCTCGTCGGTTTTAACAGCGTGTAAGTGTGAGATGCGCCAATGCTCGTAGACCGAAACTTCAAATCAACATCTTATGTTAACTTGAAAGGGAAATATTGTTTCTTGTACTTCTGTGGCCACTATATTGGACCTCGACGTGTGCTGAGTGCGCCCAAGAGCATTTCCAGTATCCACTTGTAGCTGCACAAGTTGGTATCGAAGAAACTTGTGAAAACCAATTCTACCTGCAACTATTTGGTTGTTACGGGCTTGGTCACTGCTGCTGGAACGTCGGCCAGTATCATATGATCCCTGCGCATGACAGTTCGGTCCATCGGGTAATGCTCCGTTGATAATTGCTGCCCGATAGCATAGGGAGTTATATTTGTGTGGTCGGAAGCATAGGCGAACTGCACCCTAAATAAGCACGGCTCCGAGGACTTCGCACGTACTTAGCTTGTACCCAGCGGATGCACAACTGCTGCCATCGCAAATTCAATCAGCAACTTGGCAACTTCATGTGTTCAGTCGAGACATCCAGATGTCAATCTGATACAAAAGTGAGTAGCAACTACGTGTAAAAAAAATTACGGCTAGAATGAAGGACTGCTCAAGTCCAACGTATAGCGGATGGTCGGACACAACCAGCCATTTGGCGATAAGATGACTGGATGGGTGAGTTTTGTAAAGCTTTCCTGGTGGGTCAAGGGCGTTGTCATGTCGAGCAAATTTCCGTACCTTTGGTCTTCGGCTACCTCTTGCTGCTTGCTACCTGCTATAGCGCGGCGCATCGGAGTACTCGTATGTTCACCGTGGGTCACTCGGTGTGTGTGTGAATTGCTCCTCCAGAAAACCGAAATGAAACACCGAATTTGAAACACCCAGGGCCAGCAGCTTTTTATCTAAAGATAGTGGGCCGTTATCATTTCATACATTGTACAGGGCTGGGATGAGGGAGCGAGAACCCAGAAATAACGTGACTTCATGGCTTGAAAAGCCAAGGTTAGATTGACAGAACAATACCTGTTATGAAAAATGATACTTAACTGGCAGCGATGAGAGTGGGAGGACTATGGACTGTGCACAATTACAGACGCAACCAGAGTCTCAGGCCTGCAGAGGTACAAAAACTTAAAAACTCAGGCCAGTTGTTATCGCCTGGGACGACGTGCGTGGGGATTCTTCCACCCGAACTTGGACAGGTTACCCGTTCCGGCCCATTGATCACTTCTTTGACTTTCTAACCAACGCTATCAAGACACCGTATCTCAACAAATGCCAGTGGCGTGATGCGCAATCCCAAACCAGGTTGTTCGTCTCATGTAAATCATCGAGTCGCGACTAACATTATCTCCCCTAATAGGTATTCCAATAGAAGGAAGATTACCGTTCCTTTACTATGAACAACTAATACTCTCACTCATCTGGACAGAAATACTTGCATAGGCCAAGCATAGACTGTAATTCTATCAAGTAGAGGGGGAAAGATAAAATAGAAAATGGGGGAACCACAATCATATCCTGCGATTTTTATTCCAGTCTGGACTCTTCCTCGGAGCTCTGCGCCAGATAATCGGGAGTAGTTGGATCGTGAGTGAGAAGTGAACAGTATGCACGTCTCTTGTATCAGTTCCTGGAAGCTACTGTCACCCGCCCTCGAAACGTTCGCTCTCTCACTCAGATTAGAACTTTATCACGCTATTCACTGCAGCGGAGTGCGTGCGTGCAATTGGCACCGCACACCATACGTCAACGGAGATACGCGAGTTCTACTATTATAAAGGACTGCACAAGATGTGCACACCTGCTGTTGTCCCAACTCTCTCTAGCACAACAAGTCGGCACTGATCATCTAGTCATGTCTTCGAACTCGATTACCGAAAAGGAGGGCGTAAAGGACAACTACTACGTCCAGACTGTCGCCATGGACGGCCCTGCACCCCCTACACAGATGCAGCCCTACCAGAGGACGTTTGGTAACCCTGTACGTTTGCCATGATTTACTCATAGTATGTCGACAGCATTTAATTGGCTTCTAGGCACCTTTGGGCATGCTGGCCTACGGTACCGTCTTCCTGTGCTCGTCAATCCTGACGCTCGCCTCCAAGAACGTCGGCTCACCCAGCTTGGTCATGGTTTTTGCCACCTTGTGAGTTTTCATTATTCACAAATGATCTTGAACTTGACGTAGTCGTTTCCAGCTACGGTGGCATCTCACAAACACTTGTGGGCATGTGGGAGATGTTCCTCGGGTATGTTTCTCATCTCTGTGTGGAGGGAGCTATCACTCACATTTTACATAGTAACACTTTCAGCGCAACGGTATTTACTACCTACGGAGGTTTCAACTTCTCATATGGTGCTCTCTACCTGCCTCAAATCGGCCTTGCGTATGTTGTCGGAAAGCGTTGCTACATGTCCTCCCTGACAACCTTTTAGGGCTGCATATACCGTCGACGGAGTTGTCGGACAGGAGTTCTACAACGCCATCGGCATCTACCTTGCCATCTGGGACTTGATTACGTTCGTCTTCTTGTGAGTCTAAGGGAGTTTACTATTCGCACACAGCTCTAATAACTTGTATAGGCTTGGTGCAATCCGCACGACAGCTCCTATCGTTGCAACGCTCGGATTCACCGTCTGCGCGCTTACTTGTCTTTCTGCAAACGCTTTCACCGGTGCGTTTTCACCTTCCTAGTTTCATGTTCTATCTGACGCCCGATATGCAGGCAACCCGCATTTGGCAACCGCAGGTGGTGCCCTGGGTATAATCGCTTCCTTCGGTGCATACTACGGCGCCCTCTCGCTGTTCTGGACACAGCAGACCACCCTCTCATTCATTCGCCTCCCCCTTCTCGTTACAGCCCCTTCCAATGTCTAAGTGCTGGGTCACGAGTCCTCAACGGATCACGGTTTTTCTTCTTTGATTGCATTTTCAACTACGCTCTCAGTCTTCATTAAATGTTAGCGCGTTTAGATTAACTTCTACGTCTTGCGGGATGAGGTTTAGTGGTGTAGAGTGGAGTATGATACAACTATTTCTTATGTTTGTCGCGGTGCCAACTTTGGTTCCGGGTTGATGGTAATATAGATCACAGAGTGATATGACTACAGATTTTGTTCATCTCCAACTAAGCTGTGAAGGACGGTAGGGTTTCTTAATGCTCCAGCGATGGAGACAGTTCTTCTGGCCCTGAGAGTCATAGACCGTTGAAACTTGATCAAGACAAATCGATCGTAAGGCTCATCCTAAATGGCTATCATCCGAGGTCGTTTGGGAGGCCACGAACGTTCGTCCGAAGCTTTGAAGCGCGACCGCCTTGGATCTCGATATTCAGGCGCATCGTCACCAATACCACCGAATCGAGAATCATCGGGCATCAGTGACACCTTGACATTACGAGCATGACGGCTCCGCGCCAAATCGCTAAGGTCCCCGGTCGATGTCTGATACATGGCTCCTCGACAAGCCTTGGCGGGCGGCGCATGACAGCGGAGACAACATGTAACATGTGTGAATGCCGCACCTACATTTGGCTACCTACGCTAATGTGGCTCGGGCACAATATATATTGCCAATACCTCGATTGCTCACCCTGGACGGTAGTGCAAGTATTTGGCGAACGCCTAAAGCAGAGAGGAAATATATATAGAGGAAGATTGCCAGAAAGATGCAGGATGAAGTTAGTAGAGTACTATACAGATTGTCATTGCGACTGAATCATGCTTGTACTTACAGAACATGATGATATAACACATGAAGTGGGGGAATCCGAGTCGAATTGTAAGTGATATACAAAGCGTTGACTCTTCAATCGCGATAGAGGGTTGATTAAAGATAAAGATAAGTATTCTGAGGGCGCCGGTGAGCATATCCAAGCTCTAGGCCTTTGAATATGTCTTCAAGTCTTGCTCAATTCAACAGTGAACGTATGTAATCTACAAGGCGTTGGGTACGCCGCGCCCAGCTATCCGGAGAAAGTGAACCATTCACGAAGTCAATTGGAAACATGATAATCTCTTGTAGCCCGAACCGACCAGTGTGAGATGAAAATCAACAAACCGCATCCGACTATTCCTAAAAGTATGATGGAATTAGATTTAAACACCAGGAAGGAAAATGCGTATACCATCCTGAGTCGATGATACTCTGAGCATCGGAAGGGATAAACCAAAGAGTACTCACCCCGCATAAGTATGTAGTGCATTTAGAAGACTATGTAAAATCGTGAGCGCTCTGTCACCAAATGTTTTTGTCGTTTTGGTAACAAACATGAACTGCACAACAATTGTTAATGCGAGTACAATCCAATAGAAGGTATCTCAGACGGTGCTACTATTCGCAGACACATTGTCATATTTATGGTTTTGTCCAGCGAGCAGGGGATGGAGCGTCTTATCTACGAACACCGCCGATCAGAACTGTGGGCCTTCTTGAGTGGAAACGTTTTCAGTGGCAGCGGTGTTGAGCGCATTGAACAACTCAACTTGCTCAATTGTTTCACCTTCGGAAGTAGGTTGAATGCATCTCAGATCAGGTGAATAGGTGATTATTTGGGCTGTAGCGGTCGACGTGGCATCAGGAGACAAGAGGCCGTCGGGAAGCACATAAAAGAGACAGTCTGATAAACCAACATCTATCGTTGGAAGGATGAAGGAGAGCCTACCTTTTCGGAGCCGTTCAACTCCGGAGAACATGATTGGATGGACCCCAAGTGTGAAAAGCTTAAGAGAAATTCTGCGAAGAGTCCAAGCACATTGGGTGCCATTCAGCGTGGTCCTATGCGCGAAGAAGCGGATGTTTCGTTGGTGAAACGCAGAGGGCCCGATTCATCGAGCTCCGTTCGTTTCAGAGGCCTGGAACAAACATAATCAGAGAGAAAATGGACGCATGGGAAACCACGAGTGTGAAAGGTGTTGCACACTCGCTCACTGCAACAATCGTTGTCAATCTGGCAGTTGCATATGTATGGGGAGGAGCATGGAGCATTTTTTTTAGGTTGATGGGCCCCATCATTCTAGATGATGGTGCTCCCCAGACTTGCCTCATACCTTTCTCCAAACCAGATCCCGATGACTCAAACACGAGAATATCGGACTTGGGGATAAGACCTTCCCTTTGACCATAGTCTCCGGGCCCACCCGGCTACTCCCGGTTGATTGCAAAGCCAATGCAGGTCGTCACCCGCGACATTGTTTAACTTGTCTTCCTTCTTGTATAGGCCTGGCTAGGAGAACCTATTTGATCCCACAAGAAATGATCGAAGGGAGGCAAAAGGGAGGCGACTTATTCACTTGCATTTTGATGTATCGCAGTACGGGCGATAAACAAACAGTAGGTGCAAGGGTCAAATGGTTTCACGTTCACTCCGGAGACAAGGTACGTACTACGCGCCACCTATTTTGTTGTAACAAGCAGAATGCAGGGAGATCTAATGAAGACACCAGCAAGTCAACAGAAGCTTGACGACACACGATATATCGATACCTAAGGTTTCCAGCGCTATGACGGTAGCCTCGCTGAAGCTTCTAATCCATCGCAAAGTATGTCATCAATCAGATTTTCCTGTGTATCAAACAACAAAAGCGATTAGCTTCCTTCAATTCCTACTATGCAATGTGAACTCTCGACATACAAAAGTACGAGAGCCTCGGTCTTCACAAGGTTCAAGATGGAGTCATCACCTATCCGAGTCACAGGAGGAGACATGGACGGGCTCCTTCAAGGGGGTCTCTCTCCCTCTCGATATCTAGGAAATCTGTGATGTGCCAGTCATCACAAAAGAATCCAGGTACACCATTTGACAGTCTGCGGCGACCTCTCAGACGTGCCAAGGGTGGCGTCATTTATTGATGATGATTGCGGCAGGGACCTGAAGGTCTGAGCGCTGGGACCTGTCAGTTTAACTCAATTACACCGCTTAGCTTTGACGGAGGTCGCCAGGCTATATAAGTAAGTGCTGTTATAGGGATGCTCAATTCTACAATGTCGTTGTCGCTGTGCACTTGATCTTACGGTCATCCTTTCGTAAGTTACCTACACGGACCCTAAACCTTTCCTAATTTGTCCACCACCGCTCGGCTAAACCTTCGCATGGGAGTTCTAAACCTTGTCGCAGAGTGTCCTCGTCCTAATCCTCACTGTACAGTAGCTACCTAAACCTTTTCATGTAGTAGTGTTCCTAAACCCTTCAATGCATCATCAGCACTAAACCTTATCATGTAGCATTGCTAAACCTGCTCTTAAATCAGATTCTTTTGAATATTTCAACATGTCTCATTAGTACCGAAGATACTATATGAAAAATCGCTTACATGACTCAAATATTGCCAGAGAAAAACAGACACTAGGTACTTAACAAAACTACATGAAAAGGTTATTGAGCATCCCTATACTTAGTGTCTCGGTAGTTGCCTGCTGGTGTTGTTCCCACACCCTGAAACGAAGAGCTCTGCCAAATTCCAACCATAACGTTATACTCACCGTAACGGCATCTGCGACCGACTTGGGCAGTGCAGTGATGATGATCAAGGTCCTGTGCAACTATATTGACTAAGAACCCAAGAAACTCAAAGATGGAGTCTTCAAACTGGCGCTGCCATCAGACCAATGTATAATTTAAAAGGTGCAATCCTGTGCATGTAAGGTCAGTACATTCCCACTGACACTAGCATACTCTTCCCCGAAGTATAGTTCACTCACAACTATTATTTCTCTTGCTAGTCACTAGACCTATAGCACAGTGTCATGTACAATCATCACGATAGCGTGTTCCTTGACACAGAGGTGAACCCTTCGAGTTCTGGCGTCTAATTCAAACATTTATGTTTTTTTTTTCAGGATCAATTGGCTTCGCTTCGCGGGCAAATTAGTGAAATCAAGGCGCACATCGACTTGCTTATGATGCAAAGCGCCGTTATACGGGAGCGGATGTGTCTTCTTCAGCAACAACAGGGTGCCGAATTGCTTACAATAACGAAGCGACGGGATCAGCCATGTCCGGAGACCAGCTCTGTCAATTTCCTTGACATGGAGGAGAATATTCAGGATTCCGTCGTTTTAGGTGGCGCAGATGACCTTCTAGCGTCTCTCCCCAGCTCAAGATCAATAGTGGTAGGTGACAACTTGTGTTTACTAGTAGCCCCTTCATCTCTTACACGATGGGTACTTCTTACAAGACCATACCTTCTGATAACTCAGTCGTTGTTCAAACACCCACGAAATCTCGGGGCGGCACTTCCAAGCTGAGCGCCAAACCGGGAAGATACAAGCCAGGACGTCATGAATTTCAGGGCATGTCTGCACGGCATGAACCTCCTGCTTTGTTCCAGGGGTGGTTGGAAGTCTCTGGCAGCATTTTCTGAACTTCTGCTGCGGTTATTTTGATGCGGATGATCTATGATATATACTGATAATGATGAGTACGCATATATCCGCCTTCATACATATTTTGATTCCCAAGTCTTGTGTAAAGTAAGATGATAGGGTCGTGGTGTTTCTTCCAGTGCACTTATTAGCATATTTATCTGTGAATGAGTCTATACGTTTAAATCAAGCTTTTCTAAGGTCTTGGCTGTATGAGACTTTGGATGCACGCACGCACGATGCAGGTAGGAAAGGCACGCTTTTATATAGGCAACTTATGCGGGTGATGCGCGGGGCATGTATGTATACAGTTTGTATGCGCAAGATGGCAGGATAAAAGAGGGCATTTATAAAGGCCAAGTGGTGTCGCCGGGTGGTTAGCATCGGCTGTACTTTGGAGTCTACACATGGGCGACAGCGATGCTGCAGACAGTTCGATAGACATTGAGCCACGGTCTACAAAAACAACTCCAGAGTCAACGTCTTGTGTAGTTAGCCTGCAATTTCGTGGTCTCGAAATAGAATACCCATTTGTCTTCGCCACTCCTTAGCGGATGTCCGCCCCAATAGAATTGTTTCCGTCGTCCGTAAGTCCATCTTTTTCGCTCTGGAATCGTCATTGAAAGGAACATAATGAGCTCGGTAGTCGATTTAAAAAGTGATTTTTGGACGAGTTTGTAATGGGGTAAATTGACGAAGCAGAAATGCAGTTCCTTACCGCCAACAAGAATGTATCCCAGCAGCCTGTCTTCTCGAATGACCACGCGCTTTGGAAGCCTCTCTGTGTCATTTACGTGTCCAAGTAGTAGTGTCTCGATAGCCGTCTGTCAAAACATCAATTGAACATGTGAGTGACTTCAGGTTTGGCATGTGCCATGGCTCATGCATGCTTACCGTGATATCGTGCTGCTCTATAGCAAATATGGCCAGTTCCGCCTTCGAAGGTCTGGAGGTTAAACACGGTCAAGACTCTAAGGATAAAAATGAAACTATCTCCTGCAGTTGACTTGTTACCTTGCGCTTCTGCTTTTGATGGTAACTTGTACGACTGTCCCGATAGCACCACCGAGACTCGATAAGTCGGCGGTAGCGTTGTTGTGCCGTTGGGCCTCAAGGTATAACAGTCGGGTCTTGTTGAGAGGTAGCTTGTATCCTGCCATCGTAAGTTATGTCTTCAAGTTGAACTTCGCCGGCGCTGCTCGATGAACGTTCAAGGGTCGTGTCGTTGACCGCATTTCTTGCTTACATAATGCCACAATTTCTTTGGCTCAGTTGCCGCTCCCCACTTATAGCAAGGCAGATAAGCACAATAAGTAGCCTGTGATGGGTGTTCTCAGTGCTTCTGCATTTTGAGCTTGAAGAGTAATTAATTGTTCAAAGTATTCGAGATGAGCACCGACGACGGACCGACACGGTGGTACCGAGGTCATGCTAATGCGCATACTCGAGGCTGCTGGGAATGATATCGGTGTATCACCACATACATCTACTCCACCATCGTCAGTTCGACCAGATTAAATGATTTGGTATGGTACACGTGTGCAGGCTCGATACAAAACTACATGATATCCATGTGTACAATGCGGTATGTCGGTCGGAACAGTGATAGTACATGAAACAGGAGAAAGGAATGTAGCCAGCCTGTTAAATAAGATGGGAGGGATGATGCGACTACTGCAGGGTCGGCTCCTCCGCATCAGGCGCGAAACGGAGTCGTGCGAGGAGTATCGTATCCAAGGTCTTGGTCTGGTGCGACCGTGACACCTTACTAGTAAAGGTGGTCCTCGTGGGGAAGGACTCCGTACCATCAGACTTGACCGTGAAAGTGCCCCATGGACGGTGCGATTTGCGCGAAGCGAAAACATTGAAGTACGCCTCTCCTGACGAGATGGGATCAGTGACGAAGAGAGCGTAGTCAGGCGCGCTAATAGTGCCGGTGACTGTAGAACAGCATCACTAAGACTAAGCTGACAGAAGTAGAGATTGGAATATACGTACCGAAGAAGACATCCTCTTTCTGAATAGAGTGATGTGGCGCGTATTCTTGCAGGATGTTGCGGATATTGTCTTTAAACCACCGCGTAGCTGCGGGAAGACTCTCGTTTGAGAAATTCTGGCGCTCGTAGCGCTCGGCGTATACCCCAGCTGTCTTCTTACCAGCGTGCACGGTAAATGCTTGCCTGTGAGATACGTGCTCCCTGCAAATGTTCAACACCAAATATACACTCATAAGCCAGTAAAACGCACTCTTTATGACCGCCGCCACGGTTGAAGATGCCTGACAGCGCACTCGAGCCGTGTTTATGACCGTGATGTGTCTTCCGGATGCTGGTACTACCGTAATCCAGCAAGGGAGGTATGCATTTTGTTACATCACCCTCGGCCTTCTTCTTGCCTCCAATCTTGATGGCGTTGCACAGGGTGATAAACTCCCCGTCAGGTTTGGAGACATATCCCACAGCACCCACTTCGACGGGTGATGGATACCAGAGCGGCGTCGTGACTGCAAACAACGAGCATCCACATACGTGATCGGATCATCGGGAAAAGGCGAACAGAATAACGTACACAATTCTCCATACCCATGTGTGTCTTTGGCCAAAAGTCTGTAGCGCCTCTCGTTTTGCATGGCCTGTGCCCACGCGTTCATGGACATCTCGGAAAGGATACTTTCGGTTGTGTTGTCGACGGGGGTGCTGGCGTCGTCGAAAGCGTCCAGCTCCTCGCAACACGATGTCTCGCTGGACATGGACGACTCTGGAATGTCCTGCGAGCCAGAATCTGTATCTCCGGTCTCAGATCCGAATGCAGATAACGTGTTGTAACCAGCGGACATCGACGAGGTGTGTGCTAGCCAAGAATGGATTTCACGGGGCGGTGTGGCAGGAACTCGAAGGTCAGGAGAGGGGCGGTCCGGGAAGCTGACGGTTGGCGAGTTCGCCGGACCACCGGGCGTGCAGCCGTCTGCACCGCAAACAAATACAGAATCACGACAGCTGAGAAGCATAGCGATTGCCATGGAAAATGACGAGCGACAAGGAGGGTCACGTGCCCAGCAGCAGTGGATGACTGGCAAAACGATACTGGCAAGAGGACTGCTAGAAATCTCTGGGCGAGCGTCGTGTTCTAGAGACACATAAGCAACGTTGAAAGTTAGACACGATACCTTGAACGTACCAAGCACAATCCTCTTTACGTCTTCGTCGTCTCGGGTGCCATAAGGAATGTCGCCCATATTGAGGATTTCGACGCAGCAAATGGCAAAAGCGTAGACGTCCGCTTGCATTGTTGGCCTTGGGGCACCGTCTAAAAGTTCTGGTGCTTTCCATCTCGGAGTTCCCTCTGTGTGATCAGGTCGTCAGAAACAAGGCATTACTTCAATAACTGACATACTTAGTTGGTGACACCCGCTTCGCCTATAGGCCTCATCCTTGAGTTCGCTCTGGCCAAAGTCAGCGATGGCGCAGCTTCCTGCCCTGTTCATGAAAATATTCGCGCACTGTTCCGTGATATAGGTGAGCAAGTGTTGAAACGTCGTATCGGTCGCGAACCTTCAAATCACCATGCACCACCCCCTCGGCATGCAAGTATTCCATCCCGCGAGCGATCTGACGCATGAGACGAAATAGATGCTCTTCATTTCCGCGTGGAGTGGCATAGTCATCCCGCGCTGCGGCCAGCAACCACTCCACAAGGCTTCCGCGTTCGTAAAGCTCGCTGACGATGAACCATGGTTTGGATCCCTGAGCGCTGCTCGCTCCGAACATACGAACCACGTGAGGGTGCCTGAGTCGGCGCCAGAGCTGAACCTCTCGGCGGAACGCCGTAGCTGGGGTGAAATCGTGCAGAACCTTGATGGCGACCACTCTATCGCGCCAGGATCCGGCGTAGACTCTGGAGAATGATCCTTGGCCGATCATCTCGAACCGGTCGACCTCGTACCTGCGCAACTCTATTAGTACATGAGTATGGCATGAAATTGAGGCGGGACTCACCGCGTGATCGTCCATGAAGGAAGCTCCCATGGTGCGACAAAATTGCCAGTGTCGCCGCGCACCTGCATGCAGTGCAGCTTTGACATGGAGACGATACCAGCATCCAGAAGTTCCATTTCAGCCAGAGTACCATCGCTGACTACGGTGGGCGTCCGCGAGAATGCATTGCGCAGCGACTCTAACTGTCGTCGCATCGCCTTCATGGTCTCGACGACTTCGTTCCGATCAATCTCCAAACCGTTGAGGACGTCGGCATCGCATCGCGCGGTGCCGATAAAGTCCGGGAGATGATCGAGCTGGAACTGGTCATGTTGGAGTTCATTATCCAGATTATCTTCAGGGAAGATAGGGGGTAACTCGCGATGAATCTCGCCCTCGGTGGTCGTTAGACAGTGGACAGTCTCTGGAAGTGAATGCTTCATGTTGCACTTCGGGCCTAAAACGCATGTTGCAGACGTCTCAATGTCCGCAATCGGTGGTGCAGGTGCCAGCGACGTCGTGGTGCTGTGCTCCAAAACCGCCGACTTCAGCTCTTCAACCTTCCCGTCAAGGCATTTCACGTCCTTGACGATGTTTACAGAGACCGTTGCCTGTAACGCGAGTTGTCACATCAGATGGTGAAAATGTTAGAAAAAAGACTGGCATACTGTGAATCTCAGCCAAGCATCCATCAAAGCCTGGTCGCAATTGCAGAGTTCTTTCGCAATTTCAGCTCTCCTGATGAAGCGTTTGAGCATCGGTCGACGGCTGATTCTGCAGAGAAACCTCTCAATCTACGATTTACGTCAGTGACAAAGCTAGAGCAGAGCCAGACAGACAGACAGTAAGAACATACCTGGAAGATGACTTCTCTGAAGACGTGGAAAGCCGCGTCGAGTTCCTTGCCAACGAAAGGACCGACCCCTTCGATCTGCTCACGCACGAAGTACAACATTCCGGCACAACGTTCCACCAGGCGAAGGCAAGAAAGTCGATTCGACTGCAGGATGACGTTGAAGGGTGATGTCAGGAACGATGGGGACGAGTAGCCATGCATAACACAAATCAACTCACTGAAAGTTGCTCGCATGCCTCCCAGATTATTAGGAGGGTTCGCGACGCCTCCAGGAAAAAGGGTACCGGAACAAGCGCGACGGCGTCATACGTGCATTCCAGAATGGTCTTAAGAACAGGGAGTGCTTCATTAGCAATTGTCCCGAGGGTCGAGACAATGCCTAAGAGGACGAAATCAAATTTCCTTTCGGATTAGCGAAGAGAGACAACATACAGGAGACCGTGGAATTCTTGTTCACATGTTCAGCAGTTAGCTCGTCTCGCGTCATTACTGAGTAGCACGCTAAGATAACATTCTGCAAAGCTACACGTGAGAAGGTACAAAAAGGGACGAGGAAGGACTCACATCCTGTGCCCTCTGGAAACCATCTCGTTCGGCGCCACTAAGGCGAAGACTTTGAGATTGTCTGTTTGCTGCCTGCGATTCATCGCCCACGACGATGCGCTGTGAGAACGAATACCGTCGAAAGGATTTAAAAACACTCTTGGATACCGTTGCCGCTCTCTCATCTTCCGGGATTCCGACACCCGACGACCTGAGCGCCTTACGCTCGCGAGCTTCATTGTCGGATGGGACAAGCACCACCGTGTCCGGTTCAAGCGGCTTCAGCCTTTCATCATATTTCACTCTCGGCTCATCCTGGCATACAAATTCTGCGGGGGCCCACCGCTGATCTGCGTCCCATGGAACTGTCAGATTCCACCAGAGCCTTGGCGGGTGTCCTGGATGTGTGACATCGCTCTTGATATCAATAGCAAGATCTACTCCGTCGTAGTCGCAATCCGCGAAGGAACTACTAGGTTGAAATTGGAGTGAAGCACCACGCGGGAGACCAGAGCGGACGGGCGAAGACGGAAGCACTGAGTTTCTATGACCTACCAACGAAGGGCCGTGCGCGACAGAGCTAGACCTTGAGCGGATTGGAGACCCACCGCCAATCGCAGGAACGTCGTATGATAACGATCGCTTGTGACTCGAATAACGTGCTCTACCATAAGGCGGTGAGCTTTCCAGTACAGGAGAGCTTGCAAGTGAGGGCGTCAGATATCTAGAGAGTGGAGGCGACGAAGACTGGTCAAAGGACCGAGACGACGAGCGAGGGCGCACAGGCAACCCAATGGTAGGACTGGTAGGGGTACAGTGCGTGGCAATGGTAATCCTCGATTGCTCAGCGGTATTCTGTCTAAGCGATGGCTGGATGTCGGATAGTCCGACAAGACGATGAGCGACATCCGAGGAACGGACTGGGGACTGCGGGACGGCATTGAGCTTGTTTTGAAAGCTGAAAGAAGGTCTGCGAGCGTGTGGCGGAACGATCGCGCTGCTTGGGCTCTGCAGTGGAGATTGCCGATGACAAGATGAAGACGGATTGAGCGGGGAGGAAACATTGACGTTGGTGTCTGTCGGGTTGCAAGGTTGCAGTCTGAGCGCAGCTGAGTCTCGCGGAGAGGCTCCAGGGGACGACACCATTATGCCAAGATATGATGGAAAGTTGTAAACGAGCTTGAGGTTGAATTTATACAGTAGATAGACGTGAAGAAGGGAGAAGGGACGGGTGAAATTGAACAGACGGGCGGCTGCCTTTATACCCTTTCGTCTGAGCAGCGATGTTGAGTTCCAACCCAATTCCAAACTGCATTGCAATACTAGACTTGCCTTTTTGAGGTGTGATCGGCGATTGCTAGCATCGAGAGTCCGTAGATATTCTGCGCCGAGGAGCCATCCGGGAAATGACGCTCGTTTGCCACAAAGGTACTGAACTAACCGTACAGAACGAGTATCAAAAAGCACCAGGGATGGATCGAGGCTTCCTGCCGCATCATAGCGCAGAATAATCCTGATAGGATTGTTGAGGCTAGGAGACTCGCCTGAGTATTACTACACTGATTGACAATGATGTATTCAATGATGGCCGGCGGCGTCAGGATCTAATGTTTAACACTAGGATCGCGACACGGGAGATACTGAGAGGCTCGACATCCAGCAAGACCGACGGATTAAGCTGCTATATCCATACTAGTCTGATCCAGCGCAATGAGATGCGGAATGGTGATCAAGGTATTCGGAGAATGAGTTCATAAGCACCGGTCAGCCATCTGCTTTTGCTGTCAAGAATGAAGGGTCCCTACATTTGGTACGAGTAGGTGGTGTCTGTACCTGGCTGCACTCGGGGACATGTCACCGGTTGCATACTTCAAGTACTGACGCAGAGGGGGTAAGGGCCATATTTTTATTACTGCCTAGCAAATTTGAACGCAAATTTCGGGTCCGAATGTGGCGTCGGACAAACTCGGACAAATACAAGATCGAAGCATAAGCTTTCAAGTGCTTACTTACTTATAGGTCAGACCAGTGGTCATGGCTCCGTGGCAAGATTCGTGTACGTACCATAAAATACAGATCTACATGTTTGGCTGGCGGTGAGCACTGAGCATGGTAGGAGGAAAAATCAATCAGCGACCTGGCTCTGTCTACTTGTTCAAAGGTAAGTACATACATCTGATATCTGAGTCCTTCTAGTAACTTTTAAAACTTGCACATACTCACATTAGATTGTGCGGGAATCAGGCACCGTCTTTTACCGGAACACTGCACATGTATTTTGGTGTAGTCCATCCCTTTTTCGATACCTACTAGTCAGAGCACCCGCTTTCGGTCCTCAGACAAGCTTCAAGCTCAAGGTCTAACATAGGCTGGCAGTCTTATGCCAGCATGCTAAAATTAGTTCGGTGGGGCTTCCTCGATGGTTCTCGGTTGGCGCAACTCACACATCTATATATCCAAAGTATGACCCATCCTCGGCATGATCTGCTCCGTATGTCTCTTTGAGCTTGGTGAGTGAGAAAGACGTATTTATTCGTACGAGATATCTTACCTGCTAGTTATCATTATATCCATGTTCATTCAACCCGTGCATTTATGTTTCACTGGGAGACTCGAGAAAACGCTCACACATGGCATGGAAGTTTTCTCTGTTTCCGTTTTGCTAAGTGCATTCTAATGTGTTGGGCGATTTCGACCGTGATTATTCAGGTCTTACTTCCTGTGCGTACCTTCGATGCTATGTGCTGCCTAAATTGCTGACTTTTCTACCCAACTATTCAATGCGGTAGCTCGAATGTGTAGAAACCGCAATGCTCGACTTGTGAGACGCCAAAAATATGAATGGTTCTAGAGGTCGCTCTGATATTCTTTCCCAAGGTTTGACATCGTACTGCGATACACTCTTGCCTGCCGCATCTTATAAACCGTAGCGTGACTACCCCGGAGTTCGATGTACGATAAAAATACGTTTATCGAGGACGAGGGCGCCATGAACCCGACAACGCTACCTGAAGTACTTGCTGTATGCTCGCCTCGTCTCGCAGTCACTGGTCGTAGGTGATACAACATCACTGTGTGATTCCACGTGGAATTAGAATCGGCCTGAACTGCGTCACGAAAGATCGCAACTTGGATTGTGATGCATTTGTCTCAAGCATGTAGCCTGGAGGACGTGGACGGCTTCAATGTTGAGTTTCTGCTTCATGCATCAGGTTTCAGTGTTTGTGGCAGGTTAATACATGATCCCAAGTTGAGGAGTATGCAACGGCGTGCGCAATAGAGAGTATGGTTTAATGGCACGCTCTAATTTTTTTGCGTACGACTCCAATGAGGTATAGACTACATATTAAAAAAGGTGCCCTCCGTGTGTGTTACGACAGTCTAATACATCGAGGGAGATTGTTGGTTCATTGGCTCGAAAGAAGGGAAATTTTACTCACAGACTCAGCTGTCACTTTGGTAAGAATTACCATCCTCTCCTCGTCTAGTACAATGCTCCAAAGGGAGGCATCGAGACACTGGTCATGGATCGCTTCCACGAAGGGGAGGTATGTTGTTATCGGCACATCTGAGTCGAGAGCCGTTGTCGTAGGTTCCCGAACGACCTTGCCGATGCCACGCGCCACGGCGGAGGGATTGAAATCGGTCATATGCAGTCGGAACGTTGAATAATTTCGATCTAGAAAGGGAACGGCCCGAATAACACGAGATCCTCCGACTCCAAAGGAGAGCACATCTTCCCCGTCGAAGCAGCGAGAATTCTGTGGACCCCATGATGACCATGGAACGGATAGCCCATCTTTTGAGGTCACATCGAACCATGCCAGAGGGATATCCATGAAAAATACGCGAGCGGATATAACAAAAATAGACGAGGGACAGGACCACACCACGGATATGACTCGATCTGCTGGGTTTGTCGTCCAAATCCAAGTATCATCTGGTGACTTGAGGCGTGCACAGCCTTGGGCACTATGGTACACCTCGGGAAGTACGAAGGTACCAGAGTCCTTATGAACGGGCAGGATAAATCTTGCCTGAAGCCGCGGCGTCTTTGACAAGTCTTCGATGTCGTATAGGTGTATATGGCCATCTGTTGAGAGAGCCAACAGTTTTTCCTTGGTGAGAAAACGAATGTCGCACAACCCGTAGCCTTCGCTGGTCACATATACGTCCTAATTAATGGTTCAAATCAGATGTGTGAATGAAACATGGAACGAGACACCTACATCAGATGTACCACCTTGGTGCCAATTCGAGACGTGCAGCGACCAGTATGAGTCGCCATGCTCAGCAAGGCAGACCACAATGCGATTCCCGAGGACAGAGACAGCAACATCAAGTTTCTGCGCTTCACCGCAAGCGGGCCTGCCAGCGACTACACGGGATCCATGGGCCAAAGGATGTTCCTCTCCAGTAGATATCGTGCAGAACAGTATTTTGTACTTGAAGTCGTATGTTCTGCCGTCGATCGGAAATTGGATCATGACCATGAGGTCCTGCGATTGTTCCATATAAAACAATGCGCGGAAACCGGAATTCGGACCATTGAGATTGAGCCATCGACTGCCAGCACATGCCGTGTATGTGTTAATATCCACAGCGTGAGACTCGGCATCCGCATCGATAGACCAGTTAGAAAGATTGAGTTGGTGATGCGTGATGGAGTTGGAGTTGCATATGTGCGGGAAACGAAGCGATGTCGCTTTCGTGACATCAAGCTCGAAAGAATTCCACGCGTTCGCCTTGTCTCGGAGGGTACGCAAGCACTCCGCTGTGGAGACAGTATGTGGTCGCGGATGAACTTGAATTAACCTTTGGACATCTAGTTCGATGATGTATTGAAGTTTGACCGACAATTTGACTGTATTGTACATTGATCGGCAAGTCTGTAACAAGTCGTATCCATCCGTTAGTGCCATAAATTGAAGGATGGATGAATGCAGACTCGCCAACGCGCAACGTAAAATCGCAGTAGATGAAAGGAAACTGAGGATATGGCAACGCAACTCCTCTGGGATATCTTCTAGAGTAGCCCTTCCAATACGAGCGGGCATCGTTCCACAAGAAATGGGAGGCTCTTGGTCCATCATCGAGGAAAGAGGGGCATCAGTATTAGACAAGCGATGTGATGGTGGAGTAAGAGGGGGAGTTGGAGGGACCGGCGCCTTGAGCTGACGACTGTGTGGATCGCCATGAGTACAAGACTCGATTTGATCCTGAACAGAAGAAGATAAGGACGTTGTAGTCAGAAAATTTCGACAGCTCACCATTTGTCTATCGAGCAGTTCTTTTGAGTAACCCAATAACGAGTTAACGACGTTTTTGATGAAGTTGTAGATCATAGTAATAAAATGAGTATGGGTGAAAGTGTTGGGGTTGGTTAAGATATTTCAGAGTACAAAAAAACATAACTGCGAGCATAGTTTTGAGTGAGCGATGATGTTCGGATGACGGATGAGCGGAACATTCAGATGACCTCATTTCGGGGCACAGCCACTTCGACCTGTGCTCCTGGACCTATAGGAGCAAATACAGCTACACATGTTCGCAAATACATGGTGGATAAATGTGTGTATGATCGGGCAAATTGCAAGTAAGTAAACCACCATGCATGCATGCATGCAAAGACAGCATAGACAGACGAATAGATATGCAAGGTCGGTGCGGTACGTCTTCACTGGCAGTACTTATCACAGAAGTCAGTTGTGCCGTACAATGCTTCTAGCCAGCGCTGCATTCGTGCTCATATAAAGTACGTTGTACTGCAGCGATTGATTTAGTCTCTTTTGTACTACACTGTATATACTTTATAATTTCTAGAAACGAGGCATCCATGAGCACTGGCAACATCTTCAAGTGGTACCTTGCATCCCGACACACAGATCAGGTGCCATGCATAATCCAAGTTCGGTCTGAGCTACTCGTAACTCAGGTCATTTCAGGACTGTCTAGCAGTGCATCTAACCAGGCCTGCAGCCTGACGGTCTTGTCAGCGTCACACCATGTTCGGAGCTCCTATTTCACTCATCTGAAAGCTGGCCCGTCATCAAGAGCCCGAAGGATGTTACAATCAGTGATGAGGGCTAACCGTTTCTCCGAGTCGGCACTAATAACTACTCTATCAAGACCGCTGCGGATATGTGGTTCTTTGTTGCACCTGTTGCAGCTCAATTCTCCGGGTCTAGCGGCTCAGATTTTGGGACTTCATGTCTATTTTAAATCGCGGATTATCATGTTCGAGCCGTAGCTATAGTATAGAGAGCTTCGACTCTCCAGTGTGTGAATTCGTTAGCCTCACTTCCTCTCATAAAATATATAACCAGTGCACCGTTGGTTCCTCAGCATCACGCTGAGCTCGAGCCTGACGAAAAAGTTAGTGTCCTACTCGCCAGAGGAGACGCGCACATGGACCGGTGATGTTTCCGGTTTCGTGACACGTGCATGTGTTACGATGTCGAAACTTCTTTTGATTACCGTCCCATTCGGCACTTCCTTGCTGACTTATTTGCCTGCCTCGTGGACTATTGGTATGGAAGGGCCGGGAAGGCTACTAATGCGATCAGGCGACAAGGATGGCGCAAGGACGTAATTTGATCTGTGATGTCGGGATGCAAGGTACCACTTGAAGATGTTGCTCATGGATGCCTCGTTTCTAGAAATTATAAAGTATATACAGTGTAGTACAAAAGAGACTAAATCAATCGCTGCAGTACAACGTACTTTATAACAGGAGCTCCGAACATGGTGTGACACTGACAAGACCATCAGGCTGTAGGCCTGGTTAGATGCACTGCTAGACAGTCCTGAAAGGACCTGAGTTACGAGTAGCTCAGACCGAGCTTGGATTATGCATGGCACCTGATCTTATGGAACTTTGACCAATATGTGTACTTCGAGCCTGAGCGACCGGTGAGAAATAAAGAACAAAGATACGAACCTAAAAAGGTTCCAGGGGTGTGACATGAAGGTGAAGGAATGACCTGAAGTTTCGGTATCGATGACGTGAATGCTCTAGCCAAGTACTACAGGAAAAACTGGGCGGAGATGAAGATAGTCACGTTAAAGGTTCTGGAATATGTGGACGTGCTCAGTGTGCAAGCACTGGTGTTGTAGTGCCACAGGTGTTGCACTGCCGTTCTGGCAAGCTGTGGTGACAGGCTGAGGGTGGGGCTGAGGGCTGAGGGTTGCTGGGAATCAGACAAGACGGTGATGTCACTGATGTAAAAAAAAACGTACGTCAGCGTCGAGCGCCGAAAAGTTGGGCTGGAGCACAGACATGTAAATATAAGTAATCATTGCAGTGAATATGCTTACTACCCGAGGAAATCAAAGTGGTACTTGAAGACATCTTATTTATTTAGTACATGTGTAATGTACAGCCTCAAAGGGAGACGAGCACATATCAAATACATGTGCGCCTACGTAGATCAATAGTTCTGATCATGATGAACACCGGCCTAGATGTTTCAGCACAGCAGCTTGATCGATGTAATGAAGGCTGGAACCTCCAATCCTTGAAGGAGAATAACAGTAAGTAACGTCAGAGACGAGATGTATACTACTTACTTGCGAGTGGTACCATCACTTGGCCAATGACAGATCACCTATTACGAGCTTTATGTATCGGGCTGCGCACCTCTTGTGCACCATACAATGTGCATCGCCTGGCTGAAGGGAGCCCTGGCGGTGAAATCACTGAAATGAAGGTTCGACTTATCAGTTGTCAATGGAATTGATCAAAATCAGGTTTCTCAGCGCAAAATCTACGTCGCACTAACACCCTGCGCTGCTAATCACCGTATGCATCACCTAACACCAATGATCGATCGATCATCGATCATTTGTTATCCTCCACTCCAGTGAAGACTTGGTTCCGCACGGGGCGGGAGCAAAAAGTGAACCCTAGGGTGATGTGTGACCTGGTACCATTCGACTGACGTTATTTGCATAGTAAATGTTGGACCCGCAAACTGTGTCAGAGAAAGGCACGAATTCTTTTCATGTATTATTGTGCACAGCATCCTCTGCCTTTTTCTCGAATCCTAGTGCCCGTGAATGCCGCCATCTCTCTGCATCCTGCTCCTCCTTCCTGCAGCCCAGCTATGCTGTCGCCGCCGGTTGGAACAGCGCATCAAGATCGGGCGGCACTTCCGTGTCAAGATCCAACGCCAGATTGCAATCACGCTCGTAGTCGACATTCGTTATCTCTTCCCTTCAATCCTCGTTGAATTCCACTTTTTTTCGTCCTCTCGTACCTTGCAGCTCCACCTGGTACATACTACCCTACTATGTATCAGTGCCTACATACATGTTCCTGTCATTGATAGTCATAATTTGAATATTGCGGCAAACCAAAGCACGATCGAGAATTTAAGTTGATTTATGATTAAAATTTTGTGGTATGTAAAGAACAGAACACTGTCAAGGATATGCTACACTACACACCCAAGTTAGCAGCGGCGGTTTTTGTTGGTGGCGTCAGAACTGGTAGTATCGTGGAAGTCGAAGTCGGGGATGTGGATTGGAGTAGCTCGCTGATGTGATGTAGGAGTGGCACGAACGCGGCAGAACAGGTATGCGCGAAGGCGGCGACCTTCGACTTAAGAATGACCAGGAAATAGGTTTACCGAGCGGTGGTTGAGGTCTTTGCTACTGAGGGACTTGCCTTTCTCACGCCATAGAGAACTGAAGTATTCCGGAATGGTAACAGGTCACCATATGCTCAAAATTAAAGCCGGGGCTCCAAAGAATGCGATGACCATATGAACCGCGTATTGATGTATCTGTATAATACCTCGCAACCAGCTTGCTGTATCGATTATCCTTCTTTCTTTTCTTTGTTTTCTTTCATTTCTGTCTAGCTAACTCTGACCCATGGTGAGCAACTGACGATGAGCACACCTCCTGGCAAATCCACCTCTCCTCGTCTCAGCTCGTCACCCTCGTCGTCACCTTCGCACTCACATTCCCTGCTAACCCGCACCCGACCCTTATCATTCGCAAATGTGAACCAATCCTTCTCCACTCTACCCCCAGAGTCTATTCCAAGTGTGCATTCCTCCCCGGGGCATAGCACCATCGATCTATCTCATACCGATCCAAATACCAGAACTCCTACAGGCTCGTATCCCATCCGAATTAGGTACCATTCCCCCGCACCTGGTGGAGGACACGGGAGTACGAGCATGAGAAGTGCGCGCACGATTGCTAACACACCTCGTGACTCCATTCTTCTGTCGCCGGCAAGCACAAGTCGTGATACGTCCCCTACGCCATCTGTCATACTCACTCTGCATCACCACGATGACCGAAAATGCTCCTCGGCACCGACATCTCCTACAGAGAGTGTGTCACCTCCGGCGTCTCTCGTGCCTAAGCAACTAAACGAATACTTATATTTGCATCGTCACTTACAGGATCAGCGCCCTAATTCCACGGGAGATGCAACGCCCCCGAACGGCAGTACCGAGGAAGTGGTGGTCGCGCTCACCGTCGAACGAAAGGAGGGGCTCTGCCTCTCCCTCCAGAGGGAGGAGAGTCGTCTCCGATAGAAGCGCGTTCTCAGTAGTTTCCAGGCACCGATCAGACGCAAGTCTACTCTTTGATGATGTGGAACGGGAAGTTCCATTTCCTTCTTTGTCGCACGCAGATCCGCCCCTTCCACCTTTATCCAGCGACCTTCCTTCTATATCCCGCGAAGATCTTCAGATCCGTGATCTCGGTGAGAAGAGTGTCTGCGACGAAGAGTCACTTTTGTTGTCCTCTCCCGAGTCTCCTTCTGCCATCCTTGGTTCACCCACACTCCCCATCGTACACAGGCTCCCGCGAACCCTCAGGTCATTAGGTGTAGGAATCGAAGAGGATATTCGGGATCATGACATAGAGAACAGCTTTTGGCCGAAGCTATTCGGCATGTCTCCCAAGTCGTCTCCGTCCCCTCTTGCAGAATTGGGAACCAGTGCGTCCCCGAGCGAGACTATCTTGCAAGTGGACGAACAGCTCGTTGTCTCAATGGAGACCTGGGATGGAGAGTCCCTGAATGTCTCTCCTGTTGCCATGTCGTCATCGCCTGCGAAGGGCAAGGTACCTGCACTGCCGAATAAGGCGGTATCCTCGACATCCCCTGGTAAGCACCCTCGTCGCTTCCTCTCTAAATATGATGGTCTGAAATCACGCCAGGCAAACCACCCTTGACGTCTCCTGGGAAAGGTAAGGGGAAGGCCCAAGATAGTGCACACTGTCAAGCCTTCCGCTCCTACACCACAAGAACGTCCGGAATCATGGCGCCACAAGTTCACTCGCCATCAAAGCCCAAAGGGGCGGGAGAAGGAGAGAAATCACAAAGATAGTTGGCTTCGGGCGAGAGAGGTAAGTTTTGTTTATTTCGTGTTCTCTCTCTCTCTGCCTTATTGTGCGTAAGATGAACCTTTCTCGTATCGTCTTGTGTTCGTGGACCAAGGGATTCAAATTTTTTGTTTTTTTTCCTCTTTCTTTTTTATGATAAAAATCTACTGGATGATGTGCCTCATAGCTATCATTCCAGAATGTTTCTCTAGCTTTGAATGCTGTGCTCCCACCTTCTGAGCTCGCGCAGCTCTCAGAAACAGGAAATGAGTTTGCAAACGAGGGAAAGCTGCTCGTGCCACCGCCGAGCAGGAGAATAGCGAAAAAGTCAGTGCCCAGAAACGGGCTGAGACTGGGAATAACCAGGGCACGGAGAGAGAAGTAGGAACGGGTGAGAAGGCTTGGTTGACGGGTAAGTCCTCCTCGCGTGGCAGTTGGATTTGGCTCATTTCGTCATTGTGCCCTATTTTTTGTACTACCGCCCATAACGAAACTCCAGTGAGATCTGCAGTAACAACTGTCTCGCCTATGCTTCGGATTTCTCTTACGATCCTCGGTGATGTTTCCAAACTTACGCCTATCCCTGGGCTCCGTGAAGCTGCGAGGATGTTGTTGGCGGTGTGGGAGGCTGTGGATGTAGTTGAGGTGAGTATCACTCTTTTTTCGAGCAGTGTTCGATATTGAACTGACTTGTTTTAAACATAGACTAACCGCCTCCAATGTCTCCGCCTTACCGAACGCTGTGCGACTGCGATTTTTTCTGTGCGCGCTGAGATTGCGGATGCTGAGAGGGATATGAAGGCCCAGCAAGGTGAGCGTGGGGATGGTGGTGTTGTGGGGCTGGCGGAGGAGATGCAAGGCCCTGTCGGGAAGCTGAGCGATTGTGTTGAGATGGTGAGTGTTTGCATCGCTTTGATTTTGTTGGGGGTCGACAGACCCCTCTCTTCCATGATGAAATCATCGAGTGCCAATGCTGATTCTCTGTAGGTGTACAACTTCCTCGTAAAGCTCAATCGCCGCCCATTCATCAAGCGGTTCCTGCGTAGCGACGAGATCCAGCAGGAAATCCAGGCATGCGATAAGGCACTTGGGGATGCGATGCAGATGTTTAGTGTGCGTATCGTTTTCTTTGCTTAGAGTTCTCTCTTCGGGTTTCACTGCCACATCCTGAATCAACTCAACGTTTACCTGGACAGATCTCAATTCAAATCAGAATCCTCAAAGAATTTAAACGTTTTGCGGGGGAGTGGCAATCTAATACGGGTCGCCAGGCGCAAGGGCTTACTCCCCCACCCTCGTATGCTACTCCGCTGATGCAGATCCCGCATGTGTCCCTAGACCACACCCCAAGGGTCGCGCCACATTTGCTTCCAGAACCGCAAGACATTCTCCCAGAAACGTCGGGGCTGAGCAGGAATCCTCCGGTACAAGATTCATCGTTGTCCCCACCTTCTATGCACTCCCTGAACAACAATGCTGTCTCTTCCTCTGCTTCCAACGACACGCACATTTCCCCTCTCACTGAACTTCAACACCTCCACACCGCCGAAAACGCCTCAGATATAGAACACGACCGTGCTCTTTTCCACGCCACACTCCAATCCGTCATCAGCGCTCGCAATGATGCTGAGGTGTTGAAGGTACTGGAAGTACATCCTGGAGAAGTACCTGAGGCATTAAAAGCGCTGCGGAGGGCCGTGGAAACGCTGAGGAGGACCGGGGACGCTAGCGAAGGGAAAGGAAGTGAGGTGATCGAAGATCTGGGCTTGGAGAGAGTGTTCATGGAGACTGGGATTGAGGCTATGACAAGACTGAGTAGTGTTGCTGTACAGAAGGCGGAAGATGTTGATGTTGATGTGCCTTGGGACCTACCGTCTTGGACTATAACTCGGTGAGTCTCGTTTCAGAGTCAATTGGCGAAGTCGGTTAATATTTTCTCAAACAGCTACGAAGCTGACCGACTCACCCTGATTGGCAGTGGCTCCTTCTCCAAGGTCTACCGTGGCAAGTGGTCTGGGCAGCGTGTCGCCATTAAAGTCCTCTCCTCCTACACCCCTGCATCTCTCTTCAGAAAAGAGGTAGAGATATGGAAGAAGCTGAGGCATGAGAATGTATTGAAGATGTGGGGCGCGAGCAGTGCACAAGGCGAGCAACCGTGGTTTATCGTGAGTGAGTATTGTGGGGGCGGAAGTTTGGTGGAGTGGTTGAGGGAGAGGAAGGGGAGGGTTAGTGAACCAAGCGCTGGGGTTGCATTGAATCCTCCGAGTGTAGGTGCCAAGGGAGACATTGATCTTCTCCGGTGCATGCATCATATTTCGAGGGGGATGGTGTACTTGCATAATGAGAATGTGTTACATGGAGATCTCAAGGTATGTGTTGATCTTTGCTTAGGTCTTCGAGGTCTGAGTCTTGAATGTGTAGGCCTCGAATGTGTTGGTTGATGACAACGGGCGTTGCGTCATCTCCGACTTTGGGCAGAGCGAGATGAAGTGGGAGGTGGCGAGGAGGAGTGGTAAGCCGATCACGAGTGCGTTGATTTTGTTTCTCTTCCCTGTTCCTTGACTGAGTGCATGTAGACGGGACGCTGCGCTGGAAAGCACCAGAATTGCTGAATGGAGCCACAAAGCTGACGGCAGCTACGGATGTATACGCCTTCTCCATCTGCTGCATTGAGATTCTTGGCATGGGCGACCTTCCGTATGGACATCGTGATGATACGCTTGTTGCGCTTTTCGTCCTGGGTGAGTCCTGACCTACCTCAAATCAACACATCACTGACAGCATCCACAGATCAAAATAAACGCGCCGAGATTCCTTCCACACGCATCACTTCACTCGTCGAGCCCCTCATACAAGAATGCTGGGTTCGTGATCCCGAGCAACGACCTGCTTTTACATATGTAGCCGCGACGCTCAAGCGTTTCCGTAAGCGCCAGGGCGGGATCGAGGAATCCCCTGTCCCAGTGCAGGCCGATATACTCATGGAGGCTCGTTCCTGGTCACAGCCGCATCACCACTCGCCCAGCATGCTTCCTTCTGAGCTGCCAGAGACATCTCCAGATGGTGTTCAAGTCATGCCGGACAGTGAAGCAAGTTTAGGTGATGGAATCTAGGTACGGCGCCAGGAAAGAAGACCTGGACCTAGTGATGCGGAGTCGTCGTCAACAGCATCGTGTGGGTCCCAACCGAGACCCTTCCACCCGCTTGGACGGCCATGCAATAATTCATCGCATCATTGGGAACCCATCGTGGACCCTCATACGGGGATTATGCAGATGCCTGAGGGTAGATATTCAGGGACTGTGACCTATACGCCGTCTCGCAGGTTATCTTTGGTGGAGAGCCTGAGCGATTCCATGAGTAGTGTTTCGTCGCATCTTACGTCAACGGTTGAACACGCCACGCCGGAGGAGGTCCGGCATCATCATTCGCGTCTCACGCATCATGTTGGCTTAGGGCACGAATTGCCCCTGCCAATGGATGAGCACCTCATGGAGAGGAAAAACGAGTGGCGGTTCAGGTCCTTGGCGCAATCGGGCCATGGATTCCATCGTTCCCGTATGTCTTTTCCCTTGCATTATAAATGTTTTTATTCTGGGCCATGGCACTAACTGATGCTGTGCTTTTGTTGGTAGTTACCTTACCCCTTTGGTCGCCTTCTCATGTCGAGCTGGGTGCAGTAGGATATCTCTCTGCGCCAAAAGGGGAGTTCATCACGCTCTTTAATGCCATGCAGCCCCAACAAACAACGGGAAGCAAAATCACGAATATTCCTTCGCTGGGCGGGTACGCCGAGGGACCTATTCGGATCGGGAAGAAGTTCGACTCGAGGCGCACGGTAACGCAGAGGGGGCTTGAGCTCATCTCTGGGTTGTTGACCTTCGGGCTGGTGGATAATAGGTCGTATACGTGAGTGCACCACACTCGTATTTTTGGCTGGCTAATTGTAACCATCGCTTTTAGGGAACACATTTCGAGGCGTCATCCGTTCCCCCTTCGAGCAGGCCACAAGGCGGCCTATATCTATGTAGAGTCGACAATGTACCGGTTCATGGAGGACCTTACAGCACCGAAGGAATGGTTCAAGGCCAACGTCAATGCCATCATCAAGGAGTATGCTCCTCGTCACCCCATTCAGAAAGAAGACGTCATCGTAGGTGAGTCCTGCTACCTCTGTTTTTCATGGCTGAAGGCATACTGACTTGTCACGGCAGTTGTCGGTACTTTGTGTGCGCCAGAGTATGCGCTGTTCGTGAGCCACTCTCATCCTGATGGCCAAGCCTATTTCAACGTCTTTTCGGACCGCGAGAATGGTCGACCATGGGGCACCTTCACCATAGATACTGAGTACCCTTCTGACGAGGGCGGCCCCTCATACGAAGAGATACCCCGAAAGGCAGTGTTCGCGAGTAAAGTATCGCCGGTACGGATGAATGCTGGATCTGACGACAAGGAATGGGATACGTTGATGTTGGCCCGGCTTCGCTTCCCCATAGATGCAACGGAGCCTACATCACAGTAATATTGGAACCTGACTTTTTGATTGCATATCCAGTTATTTATCTCGTCCGGTTTCACTGACTAGGCGTATCATCTTGTCTTCATGTTTTCGTGCTGCATCTTATGGAATGTTATGAACCTTATTTTATTGCACAATTAGTTTCTTTCACCCGGACATTTACTTTATTGCCTCATACATATATCACAGATACCCTTCAATTGAGCTCCGGAATTGCCCTCTGAGCGTCTACAGCCAGTAATTTAAAACCGTACAAAACAAATATTCAGTTTTCTTGGTGACAGACGAGAGAAGACACTTTAGTCGTGGCATGATGTCTGTCGCGTCAGATTTAGGATGCCATATCCACTATTTCATGAGTGTGCAGCCTGCTTGATGAAAACATAGAGGTCGTGCTGGCAGCCGGTGAATGCCAGTTCTTCCGAAGGTACCTCCTTTCGATCATTCGAATGATTCCTCGATGAGATGATGATCTGGAGCGAGTCACAATTAAAGTGGCACTCACTCTTAAACTCCCTCCCTATTGACCATGCTGCGAGCTACGCAACTTGAGAGTCCCTACTATCCCTGTCACAGTTCTATTTCTGCCTTCGAAGATAGCTTTCCTCATGGCACTCGATACCTTGGGAAGAATTAGAACTGACCCGGTTGGTCGGGGGGAGCTCTTGTATTCGTCGAGTATTGTTCCTGTTTGATTTAAGTATATCATGAACACGAAGAAAGTTGGCTGAATGTGGCCTCTGAGACATTGATCATCGCCGACCGGTATAATCGTTGGAGTTAGGATGGGTACGATGGTAACAACTTACCTATTGTTGACATGACCGAGAGCTCAGAAAGTCACCAAGAACAACGCCATGGTTGTGGCAGAACGTCCAACGTTTTCACATGATATTGGCACAGGTGCACATGGTCACTGCGGTCTGGACTGCGCACGTGGACGGGCAAGGGTGAGAGCGGCACCTAGTATGGAAGTTTCCGACACGCTTGTCCACTGCTTCTCTCACAAAGACGGATAGCCACTTCATGACCAATTTCGTTTGCATCAGACTCCTGAGCCTGGATGTAAGTACTTGGTAAAACTTGTATCTTTCTACATAAATAGCCGTGACTGCGGCAACAACTGCAATTCTCAGCTGGGTATGTACCTAAACCCATGTTCAGAGACTCTGCCCTGATCGCCTGCAGCTTATGATTTCAAACCATACTTACAGACGTTCTTGTTTTTCGAGCACCAGTTCAGAGCAAAACACTTTGTTGTGGTGTCTTGAACCATGCTCTCTATCACGTCAGATACGGAAACGTCTGTATCCATTCCTTCAGGTGCTCGTTGGACGCGAGCTGTTGACCCAACAAGGAACACGTAAGCTCCCGGCAAGAGTCAGACCGGAAGCACACCATGACAGTCCTCCTGAATCCCATCCCAGCTTATCGGCCGTCGGCTACACCCATTTCATTACCAACGGGTGCTAATTTGAGGACGCTGCGGGCACGACAGCTTCTGGCCTGGTGTTTAGTAGAAATGGCTGGCTTTGCGTGTATAAGATCCCACTCTTCAACACCCACTAACTGCAGGCAATTTCTTCCGTCGCAATGACCGTCGACCCTGTGTTTGTTACCATTAGTGAGTGCCACAATGTTTTCCGTGACGTCCATGAACAAGTGTTCGGTGTACAGCACCAGTTAGTGTTGGCCCATACCACTATGTCCCAACGGAGTGGATCTGTATCCTTGTGAGTCACTACGTTTGAATGCCTCGCATCATTTCAGAGATCATTCCTTAGTTCGTGGTGTTGTACAGTATTTCAACCGGTATGAATTTCAACTGTTGACGGTGCACGGCTCATGATTTGACATTTTCAGTCCTCCACCTGGGCCAGGCAATCAAGTATAGACTGTGGTGGATGATTCCCACAGCGATCTTTGCGGGCATACTAGAAATAATGGGATGGAGTGCCAGGTTATGGTCGAGCCGGAGCCCCAAGCTTTTGACGCCTTATGAGATGCAGTGAGTGTTCGTGCAGAATGAATCACTTGCATGCCCACACAAGCGTTTTCGCTGCAGGCTCGTTGGCACTATCATAGCGCCTACTCCACTAGTTGCAGCCAACTTTATCATCCTTGGCAAGGTAATCGGTCAACTCGGACCGCAGTTCAGCCGTCTGACCCCAAAGATGTGTAAGTGTTACTCTTATGTACTAGCTTCAAGTTACTGATCTCGCGCAGATACCATTGTTTTTTGCTCCTTTGTTAGTGTTTTGCATTCAAGTGGTGTATAATTCTCTATATCTCCTCGACTTCTAGGATGTTATTTGCTTGATCATACAAGCTATCGGAGGCGCATCCGCTGCTCACTCCGCTGGTCAGAAAACAAGTGCTACAATGGTATGTGCATCATCCAGTATTTCGTATGGCATTTACTTCATAGACGCAGGGCGCAAACATCATGCTAGGAGGAATTGCTGCCCAGCTTTGTACGTGATGATGGGCCTTCGCTTCCCTCACTGACATTCCTTCTCTTCGCTCTCTAGTTGCTATTGTGGTCTACGTCACATTGGCAGCCGAGTTTTTCTTGCGTTTGAAATATGATGCACCCTTCCGCTATGTTGACAAGTTGGAGAAAGGTCAACGTCCTGTGAGTAAGCACTTGCTCCTTATGCTTCACGGCCTGGGATTCTGCTCCCTCTGCATTTTCATTCGGTTAGTGTTCAACTCAGCTCGTCATTAGCAGTCGTGATGTGCTCAATTCACCTTTAGATCCGTGTACCGTACTGTGGAGCTCGCCAACGGATGGGCTGGGCCAGTGATTTCGACTGAGCGCTACTTCGGTACGTTATCACCATCTTCGCTAGGAATACACTGACAATGCTCTATCACCGACAGACTGGCTAGATGGTGGCCTGGTCACTCTCGCTATTTACACTCTCAATGTCATGCACCCAGGTATCTGGCTGAAGAGGGATGATTCCGCTGCTCATGCTTCACAGCAATCCATAGACGAAGAAGCTAGTGCGAGCTTAGATTTAGACTTATATTGTCCTTGGACTTTACAACGAAATGGCTGGACGTTCACGGCTGCTAGTAGACAGTAGTCACCATTAGCATAGTTCGACGGTATACCCGTGCGCGATCTTTTCACGAATACCATCATTGGACATCTCACACTCATTCTGCACATACCGCTTCGACTCAAGTATCTACAAGCTTGTGTGATTGTTGGCACTTATCTTGCATATCCTTGGCATGTTATAATAAGTGATGCCTGTTTTCGCACCTACCGAATCATGTGTTGTGATGCCCTATAGTATATACTCATTCGGACTCGCCCCGGGCTGCCGTCCTGGTTTTAGACTATTCTCTCATATGTTACTACTAGTACTTACCCAGAGCCCTTCACCCTCCCTCGGATCCCGAGCACATACATATTCATGTCCATTTGTTGAGGATATGAACCGTCCGTGCATCCATACTGATCAAGGACACGTCAGTCATGACGGAGAAGCTTCCTGCAGGTCCTCCCAACTAACGTGGCAACCGACCCGGAGGTGACGTCATGCACCATACCTGGGTACTGCATGTGCTGGGTTTGCCAGCGCGACTGTCATCATTCGCCGAAACATCATTAATTAGGCTCAACATTTCAATATCAGACACCTCATTGGGCCTATGTGTGGGGTGCCTCACCGGCCATTTGTGATTTCAAACCAAATGGTATAATAATACTTAGTATGCGCTGTTGTTTCTCGAGCAAGTACTGACATTTTTACTCACTTTGCCATTGTGTCATACAGGCTCATGTAGTACTATCCATTGGATACTTCACGAATCATGAGCATATTCGTATGCGGTTGGATGCGAGTACTTGACTCCAATATGGAGTCACTATTGCACATAACTGGTCAGCCCACAACAAGTCAAGCTTCAAGCTGGGGGCACATTGACCATGACAGCTCATCGATGGCATTGCTGATCTGGCAGGTATTTCATTAACAACTTGAACTTGGATGCTAATTTGAAACTCTGCACGGTCCGATGTCGAGCTGACCTTCATTAATGCTGGCTTTGCTTATACAAGCTCCCACTGTTCAACGCCCACTAGCTGCAGGCGATGTCTTCTGTCACAATGTCTTCTCTCACTGGCACGATGACCATCGCCGGTCCTATGCAGACTCGTGAGTGGACGCAATATTATTTCGTCGTGACGTCGATGAACAAGCGTGTGGCCAACAGAACAGGTCAGCGATAGCCCGTACAACTATACCCCTACGAAATGGATCTGTGTCATTGTGAGTTATGATGTTTGGACGTCTCACATCCATTTCAGAAGTCTTTCCTTAGTTCGTGATGTTGTACAGTATTTCAACTGGTATGAATTTCTACTGTTGACGGTGCACTGGTTATGACTTGACATTTTTAGTCCTCCACCTGGTCCAGGCAATCAAGTATAGACTGTGGTGGATGATTCCCACAGCAACCTTTGCGGGCATACTAGAAATATTGGGATGGAGTGCCAGGTTATGGTCGAGCCGGAGCCCCGAGCTTTTGACGCCTTTTGAGATGCAGTAAGCGTTCATGTAGAAGGAACCACTCGTGCCCACACAAACGTTTTCACTGCAGGCTCGTCGGCACCGTCATAGCACCTACCCCACTAGTTGCAGCCAACTTTATCATCCTTGGCAAAATAATCAATCAACTTGGACCGCAGTTCAGCCGTCTGACCCCAAAGATGTGTTAGTGTTATTCTTATGTACTAGCTTTAAGTTACTAATCTAACGCAGATACCATTATTTTTTGTTCCTTTGTAAGTATCACACATTCAAGTGATGTTAATTCTTCATATCCGCCGATCTAGGATATTATTTGCTTGATTGTACAAAGCGTCGGGGGCGCATCTGCTGCAGAAGCCGTCAATCAGAATAAAAGCTCCACGATGGTATGTACATCATCCAGCATTTTTGTGATATTCACTTAACAGAGACAGGGCGGGAACATTATACTAGGAGGAATTGTTGCCCAGCTTTGTGCGTGATGAGTGGCCCTCACTTCTCTCACTGATACTATTCCTCCCCTCCGCTCTCTAGTTGCTATAGTGGTCTATGTCGCTTTGGCGGCCGAGTTTCTCTTGCGTTTTAAATATAACGCACCATTCCGCTACGGTGTTAAGTCTTTCATGTTCAGGAAGGGTCAAGGTTATATGAGTAAGAACGTGCGACGTATGCTTTCCGGCATGAGCTTCTGCATCCTCTGCATTTTTATCCGGTTAGTGTTCTGTAGACCTTGTCATCAGCAGCTATGATATGCTAACTCGTCCTTAGGACCGTATACCGCACTGTGGAGCTCGCCGATGGGTGGTCTGGGTCAGTGATTTCGACTGAAAGCTACTTCAGTAAGTTGCGGCACTATCTTCGCTAGGAATCTGTTGATAATTCATTGCTGATAGTCTGGCTCGATGGCGGCTTCGTCACTCTCGCCATTTACTCTCTCAATTTTATTCACCCAGGTGGTTGTTTGAAGTGGGATGCTGATGATAATTCTTTACTGGAAGACGAGGATTTTTAGACTTCAATTGTCCTTGATTGTAACGAAGCGGCTGGTCGTATTTGTTACTAAGTACTAGTAGCATGGCGTGGCTGTCGTACAATATTGTAGGGTTAGGTTTCTTTTACATCGCCGCCCCTGCTCAAGCATTCAGAAAACGTCGAGAATCACTGACGAGAATATAACCCCAAAATTAGCCCTAGCATTACAGAGACTACATCATCAAACAACCGAGATGAAATTCCGATATTCACTTTAGCATTACAGAGTAAATAACTCTGTATGTAAAGCAATACCGCCCACGTCCATGTTCATGGTTAAACCTAGTCTCGCAACTGCATTCCGTGCTTCTCTTGTCAAGCTCTCTGGGCCACTGGCGCAGACTGCGACCCCTCCACCTGAGCTTCGCCACTCTTGGCTTTCATCAATACGGGGCTCGATCGAACCCTCCTTCTCAGAGGTAGGCGAAAGACTGATGAAGTCCTTGAGAAGACCCTGGACAGACGGACGAGACAGAGTGACAATGGAGTTGGGAATATGAGGCACCGCTTCCGGGTTGCAAAGACACGTTACGAAAATAGAGATGTGCAGGTCAATGGAGTTATCTGATGCTGCCGTAGCAATATCCACCAGCATCGGAGCGAACCATTCTATCTGACCTGTGAAAATGGATCAGATTGATATGACGTCCATCGTCCTTGCAAAAAATTACCGAAAGATCTAATGCACCAAATGAATTCAATCTTCCTCGTTCGTTCCCCTTGACTGCGACCTAGTTTTACACATCTACCGATGATGTCGTCCAGTAGACCAAGAGTGAATGTGATGCCAGACCCGCCGGCTATAAGGAACACGCTTTCGTATCGACCCAGATCGATACTTGAACCCCCATAAGGACCATCCAGCATAACCTGAACGGAAGCAGATGAATCGACGTCGGGCTTCTCATCGATCTGTAAACGTTCTTGTTCCTTTCTGGTATAGTTATTTAATGCCCGCGTCCAGTCTCCATTGGTTCGTGCGGCAAGAAGGAATCCAGGGGAGGTCAGGCACGAGTGGGAAGGCGGAGCGGAGAGAATAGTGAGGGCGTGGGATTCAAACACTCTATTGGAGAAGAAAACACGCAATCTGACATGCTGACCAGCAAGCCAGCCATCGTCGCAGTTATGGACGCGGATCTGTGAAAGGCAAAGTTAACAGGTTATCAAATAACGCTGAAATGCTGCTTGTACCAGAGTCATTTGATCATCCTGCGCAGTGAGTGTGGCGTCCTTGATTCGATAACGGAGTAGGCGTAATAACACATCGGCACCATATAATGCGAGGGGAGGGAATATCCACGGTGACGCATATATAGTATGGTAGCATATGGTGACAAAGAATGCCACATATGTCAAAACGCTACAGCATGTTTTAGTTTTAGTGTGATACGAAACAACAAAACTCACTGGATAACGAAGAAGCACTCGTAAAATAATATCCTGACTGGCCTCAAAGACGTAAGGACAATGATGCAGAGCAGCGCCAACGAAGCTACTCCCGAAGTCTCTTTCTGCGGACCAAGAATCGGGAGTCCATACTGTAGGTGGTTGCGTATCCACAAGGACCCATGAATACATCCACCAAGGAACATAGCTCTTCCCGCCATCCTATGCATAAAATTGAGTTTCTCGTAGCCATTCCCTGGTCCTAACAGTAAGGACAGAATTGAATTTTTTGTTGCGAATAAAAAGACGACCGGGAACTGTGCAAGAGCGAGAAATCCTACGTGACTCATGTAAGTTCCTCTCGTTCAACGGTGAGTGTGGCTGACTCACCAGCTCTATTGGGGTTTGAAATAAGAGATACATCCTTTATGATGCAGACCAGTACAGCCGCGAGGTACGCCAACAATATTATGACTGAATATTACAACGTGTCAGTCTCTCTGGTGTATTATGACACATTCGACGCGCACTTTGTCCAAGATTTAATCCAAGCTTCGGAGGAGACCAGTACGTCGGTGAGATAAGGGCATTCCAAGCTCCAACTAATCTGCGACTTCGCCGTCGGATAGGCGGGGGCTTCTTGCCATCTGACCCATACGCGGACCGATATCCATTGGTCTCTGAGACTCCAGCGATGCCCTTGAGGGAACGCCCGTTCCTCAAACCAAGAATCAAGCTGGGAACAGAAACGACCACAGCCAGCGCCAGGCCAGAGCACCAGATTATGGTGAATTTACGTTGCCATATGGGGTCTTCGACGTATGAGCTGTAGCAACTCATGCATGCGTTTCAGTGTGCGGGATCAGGTTTGTCAAACATACTTGTAAATCTGCAAGCTACTTGGAACGGTTGGAGCAGACATATTGTCGTAGTAAGGAGGTGATAGCCAAGGCGGTGACCACTAGCACAGACCGGCACTGCGCTGCGGTTTCATCGACTGCCTGATTAGTAAGTCGGAATAACATTTTCACTAGTACTCTTGTTCACATACCTTAAGACCACTTCAATGATCAAGAAAATGAGCACGGGCCACAGAAAAATTGATGGGGCAAGTCGTAGCAGACCGTCGTCGTCGTGTGTTCACTCTAGCATGTACCGACCACGAATTCGGGGTATGCTATCGTAGTATTAACGCACGTAACTCAGATATCTTCACGATGCACCAGCCAATGGCAGCCATATGATGTAACAACGTTAACTAGAGTAAAATAGTAGTAGTATGGAAATGTATAAGTGGTGATAGAATGAAATCCAGTCTCACAATTTGACTTAGTGACTTCTCTACTTACCCTGTCTCGCGCGAGCAGTTCCCATGCACACAATTCTACTTCTACCCGTCGAGCCCGGTCATGTTTCGGGGGCAAGTGATACTACGTTAGAAAGTAACTCCGAGTTGCCCGCATTGCACTGTACCAGGCTGTACCCCAGCTGGCCTGACATGCGCGATGGTAACCAAACAACAAGAGGAATACAATCCTTTGCAGGCATTATAATTCTATACTTACAAAACGAATGCATGCCATCAATTTAATGCGTAAGCCCAATGCTACTAAACCTTCCAAAGAGAGTCTCTCCCACTCCGAGCCCCACCACCAGGGAGAATATGAAACTCAGCTGGTACGTCCTGTCCATGTCCAACACATCAACACATCAGCGAACGAGGAGAGCGACGCAACGTACATGACTGTTAGCATGAATAGGTAACTCAATAGCGCCTGCGCTGCGAACATGACTCCACGAACAATATCATGCGCGGGAATGAAAGGGGGCGTGAAGCGCTTTATGAATCCCACAGAAGATGACTTAGTCGGAAGGGTATTGAGTTCATCGGAGGCAATGATGGTTGCCCTGTTCATTCATGAAAGAGGTTCCATGCAAAAGAAGGAAAGGGGCGTACTGCTGGCGCCAGTGATATTCCATCACTCCTCGACAAGCTGCTATCCAGCGCTCGATCAATGCCAACATAAACAGTGCGATGCATGTGCCAATCATGGCTCCCGAGCTCTTAGGAACCCAGCCAAGGAACCACACTATATTCCGGACTGTTAGTAGGGCTCGTTTTATGTACTCGGAAAATATAACTCACGGTTGTCTCCTGGCGTAAAGTGCAGGTAAGGAAGCATATTCCCTACGGCAAGATCCATAGGACCGTCCGTGGACATATCCATGCCATTGTCGGCGAGACCAACTTGACTCAAGCACAAGAGACAGAACACCAAATATTGCCAGTTCATCTCGCAGCAGCTCGCAGGTGGAGGCAGTAAGGGAAAAGACGGTGTTTCGGACAACCAGACCAGCCGTGGGAACTACCTTCCCCTAGCAGAACAACGCTTGGACTTGGGGACTCCCAACGCAAAATGTCGATAGATAGAAGGAATGATAGTGGAATAGCAATGGTCCAACTGCCATGCAATTGGGTGAAGGGAAACAGGGTGGTTAAGACGTAGACAAATTGGGCTTCATGAGAACTACGCTCTCGCTCATATTCGTCCACGTCTTGACGATCTTGATTCCGCACCATCTGAATCTGCGAAGGGCACCACACGATTATGTTGCGATATGAGGACGTCGAGTGTGTTTGCGGGATTGACTCGATCGATAGCGCTTCAGGAGGCGTTGTAGACGAAGTTGTTGTTGTCAAGAAAAACCAAAATATAATCATCATGGGCCATTTGCTCCGGAGTGGTAGAGATCGTCTATCTTGCCGTCGACAGAACCTGCACGTAGACTCGGTGACCCAGGAGTAGTTTCAAGATACAAAGGGTCGAAGAAGGAGATCATGGTTGTGGGAGCCGGAAAAGTACTACTTGGTTACAACTGTATTACTTGAGGCATTTTCGCGGGGTGTGGGAATTTGGTGCCTTCAGTTCTTGGACCTACTAAGAAGCGTTTCGAACGAGGAAATTCACCGTCACAGCACAGGCTCGAAGTGACGTACTTTCAGGAATCAGAATGTCACCCTCCTCCTGCCTTTTATCAGAACCCAAACGTGACCCGTTTCACACCAATTGACCTGACTGCATCGATAGCGAAGCCTGTGGTTTTATTCCCACATTTCAACCCGCCTCTTGTTGGCATGCGATGGCACGTTTGTATGTGTTGGGCTGGCACAGATCTGGGTTTTACCCTGCATGGTTCGAGTATGCCAGCATGCGCTGTGACAAGTCACGTATATCTTCTGATTCCCTTTATCTCTCACACCATTTCCAGTGAGTCATTCCCTGGCAGAGAGCAGTTATAAGACAACCCAGCCTTCCACTCCAGGTCGCACACGAAAGCTCATAGCGGAGTACCAGAGCAACATTGGGTGGGCACTTCACATTGGTGCTTTTATCGTGTAGTACTTGACGTGTGCGCTAATACCAAATGCCATGACGTGCAAGTCAGCATCGTGCACTGCTAACTTGACCATACCAGTCTACGGTCATGTGGGTTTCGCCTTCAGAACTGAGCAGTCTTGTCATTGAAAAAGGTGCCCTGCGCGTGTGTTATGACGATCTAATACATCGAGGGAGATTGTTGGTTCATTAACTCGGAAGGAGGGGGATTTACTCAGACTCATTTTTCGGTAGGGTAAGAATCACCATCCTCTCCTTGTCGAGTACAATATCCCAAACATGGGCATCGAAACCTTGCTCATGGACCACCTCCACAAAAGGGAGGTAAGTTGAAATCTGCACGTCTGACTCGAGAGTTGTAATCGTAGGTTCCCGAATGACCTTGCCGACGCCACGCGCCACGGCGGAGGGATTGAAGTCGGTCATAAAGTTTCGCCGAAAAAGTTCGTCAGAATTGATGTATTGTAGAAGAGTCGTAGAAGAGCCTAAGTGTTCAGCTTCTACAGTACGAAGTGGAACCAAGCTGGACCGACGTAAGGTAATAAAAAAAGAATGACAAGTATAGCAGAACATGTAGGAAATACAATCCAATGATGGAGGGTAGAAGAGCTATAGATAACGAGATGAGACGGTAGAAAATGATAATGGTACACGAAGATGTTTCTTCCCTATAGTTGATTATTTTCGATAGAAATACAACCGATCCAGAGCCAGAACCGCGTCCAGCATCCAGCCCCGCGTATGGTGATATCAACGTGCGAGGTTCCAGTCGCCGCCGCGGTAGTGGAGACTGTAGGAATTGCAGCTGATGTCGTGGCTTGCTGTGATGACGATGGTGGGGGTGTGCTCTGGGTTGCTCCGCCAGTAGGTTGCTGCATGACATGGATCTTGGGAGGTCGAGAGGAGCTGGCTGCTTTCTTCCCTCTTGCATGATAGTCCCTCTGCGTGAAAACGTGTCAGTGATAAGAAGAATAGAGGTGGAAAAAAACGTACGCGCTTGCCAGCGGTGCACGGGACGTCAACTACCGGTAGCTCTCGCAACTGGATGTTTGATCCATCTTGTCTGCGTTGTCTCCCGGACACGAGGTTTTTAGCCCAGCTACGAGGGTGGGATCTGGACGGGGTGTCCTGTTCGGTTGCTCCGCGTGAATTGGAGCGCCAGCGCATGAAGGAAGGTAATCGACCGAGGAGAGTCCGTTGATTTGGTGGGGTGGTGGCATTTCGTCCTCGGGAGGTAGAGAACTAATAAGATAATGGTCAAAGGGGACATGAGATTACAGATGGAAACCACGTACATCGTCGAAAAACTCTGGGGGTAGTCGACGAGCGCCTCTGATTTGCGGGGCTCGGCGTCGTGGATCAGCCTAGTATGTAGATATTCAAGGTCATGCAAAAGGTCAAGAGACACATAACATACATTAACGTTAAATGGCTTCTTGCCTGGCTTCTGTGATGAATGAAGATGAGTGAGAAAGGCTGTTGAAGAGACCTGATGCAACATACCACCTGAAAGGATCACCCGTTGTCAGTGTGATTGAGGATGAAATGCACACAAGCTTACATTGTCTGATAGAAGGTGACCCAGGCCAGCTTCCTTGACAATAGCAGAGACATCCCATTTGTATATGTCGTTGTCGTCGCAGCCAGTGACGAGCGACCTTCCATCCACAGAAAAGGTTGCACAGTTCACCCAGTCTTCATGGTAGAAGGGTTGTCCGATGGGCTGATTGGTTTCTAGGTCCCATAGTTGAGCTGTCTGGTCATGTGATACGCTTGCGAGGATGCGTTCATTCGGAGACAGTGAAATAGCAGTGACAAAATGATTGTGTCCCTCCAGAACAGCAGTTTCGGTCCAGGTGGCGGTGTCAATTTTCCTGATTTGATAGCGTGGTGTGCCGGCGATATTGCGGTATGACCCGGTGATAAGTGTCTTTTGGTCAGAGATCCATGCCAGGCACCAAGTTCTGAAGTCGAATGTTTTGAGCAATTGCCCTGTGTTGGCATCCCAGACTTTCAGCTGCGTGCCTGTCGCAATCATCGTGCCATCGGGTGAGTAGCAAACTGCCTCCACCCAGTCATCTTTCACTGCTTCGATTGGTCCCAGGATTATCTTTCCGCTCTCGACGTCCCATACTCTGAATGTCCCACCGAGGCACCCGCTCACCACTCGTCCTCCATCTGGACTCCAGCACACAGACCATACTTCATTTGTGTGTCCCGTCAATTTTTTGATGACCTTGCCTGTGTCAACTCCCCACAATCTCACTGTACCATCCTCACTCCAACTTGCTACTGTCTTGCCGTCCGGCGAAAGTGCTATGGAATTCACAAATCCACTTCCTTCGTCCATCCAGGCCTTCCCGACCTGCATACCGCTCTCCAAGTCCCAGACTCGAAGTGTGCCGTCCAATGAACAGGTGATAATCCGCCGGTTATCGGGCAGCCGTAGGACGCCAAAGACGGGGTCGGTGTGTCCTTGCATCCTTTGGAGAGGCTTGGTCACTGATTTCTCTTGCTTTTCAGGGACTCGTGAAGACATGATATTGGTTCGGAAACTTCACCTAATAGGAGCGGGACAATTTCAGCTCTTGCCCACCAAACGAACGCCATCACTCACTCAGAGGTATTTGATTTCACACAGAACACACCCGTCCAGGACGAATGAAAGCTGAAACGGAATGGACTTATTGTTTGATACTCGCTAGAGCTAGAGGGAGGTTGCTGTTCAAGTCCTGTACGTGTGCGTCTTCCTTGCTTTATCCTCATGCAGCTTGCTGTGCAGATCAAGCGCCCGAGTCACGTTGTCTGACAACCAGTTTCTTCATCGACATCCACATCTCAGCATCACATCTGGTATCGAGCGATCCCGCATTTCTATCATTCTTCACCCACCCTTATCTCCATCGCCGGCAAGAAATATCTCTGAGACTCGGAGACGCCCATCCAACTCCACCGCATTGTTTTCTCTAGCATGTGTCTCGCAAATTATCTCAGCAAGCAGTTCCCGTATCTCTGCAAACATCCCCCGCTTGACAACCATTTGCCAGTATCGATACCTCAATGACTCGATCGTCAAGCAAGGGGCGCACTAGTCCTACTTGGATTCTTGAACATCTTTTTCTCACATGAATCAGGTATGTGCTCCGCACCATGAGCTCAGGCCATGTCTCACTGTAACATAAAGAAGACAGCGTCAACTTTTGACTGCCTACTGAACTTAACCTGTCAAGCGCTATCCTTATCCGAGGGTCTATGTACTACTGAAGAAGACTCTTCCCCTTCCACGCTTCTCCGCGCGGAGCAGCAGTGCCTTCTCCATGTGCGCAGATTTCCTCCTTTCCGAATCTGCGCCACAGACTAGATCATCACCGATTTATGCTCTCGCTTCTCTCACATATCGGATGTGATTGTCCGATGTTGATGCTAGGGGCTATCGTTGCGACTGTAGTAACCATACTTACTAGGACAGTCCTGTAGCCTCAACGTGCCGACTTCGAATGGTGATGTTTGCTCCTTTCAACAGTGCAATCAAGCTACCATGCGCTGACTCGCGTAAATTGCCGCTGATCAAGTTCTGAACACAGCCCGTGACGTGCAGTCTTCCTAGTTGGTACGGCCGTTTGCCACGAACTATATCTACTTGTCTATCCGCACATTCGCGTCTCGTCAAAAATGCCATGGCCGACCCTACTTGAGCTACCAGCACTGAACACTTAAAACGCTTACAACATTAACACTTGCAGCTTTCTCCCCAAGGCATTCTCGCATTGGCATTGGAACCTCTAAACGACGGCCGCTTTGAGGCTTACCGAACCTGTCACACTCGACATGTCTGCCACGTTGGGCTACTTGCAGAAATTCGTATACTACTAGTACTGAAACACCTGAGCTCGTGCAGCAGGCCTGGGAACACCATGCTATCAATACGAATGTACACGAATCAAGAAGAACGACGAGGACACCTACCACTTTGCGGCCTAGGTGCATTGCTCATCCCGAGCTTCCAGTAAGTAGCCAACCTAAATTCTGTGCAGGTCGAATCAGCTGTCAACGTCCCAAGGACGCACAATTGTTAATTCTAGGTATTTTTCCACTCAGATGTGATCCAAAACGGCTTCCGCCGCCAGTCAAATGTCGCACCTATTATAGGGCTCCCGCAGTGGCACCGTGACCACGCACAGCAAGCCGAGCTTGACTGGCAGCGTGACACTAAGGCGCTCAACACCAACCCGTTCGATGTCGAGGTGCAATATTGCATCACGAAGGCTATCCGCCAGCAAGCAATCATGGAGAACTTGGAACACGTGCTCGACTACCGGCAGGTGTTTGGGCGAGTGACTGCGTTTCAGTGAGTAGTCTAATATTCCAGTGCAGAGGTGGGTTCTTATAGACGTAAACTTGATAATGTCTCGTGGTATCAACATTGAACCTGGCGATCATCCAAATTACTGCAGGACGGGCGCGGATCAACGATGTGGTCGAAAAGCCTTTGCACACAACGAGTCTGTGCCAGGTGGAAATGCCACCAAGAGAGCACTATGGGGGTGAGCATTATTTCCACCCTCTCCGTTACACCTCAGCTACCTTATTGTAAGGAGTTCCATACCTGTATCGTCGAAGTCTTATGCAGACGCATGCTGTTCTATTTGTGAGGGAGTGCACACCTCTCTCGCCAGAGCACTCTGCTATGCAGTCACATCTCTGTTCTATTGTTCATGTTCCACCGACACATTGTGTTTGCTTGGTCTTACTAACACCATCAAGCAGGAATGCGCTACTCGGATCCTCAAGTATCTGTTCCTCTCGCGAATCAGGTACGTGTGCCGCATCTTGAACTCAGGACATGTCTCACCATAGCATAGGGGAAACAGCTTTGGCTCTCGACTGCTTACTTGACTTGAGGAGCTTGTCAAGTACCGTCCATGTCCGAGCAGCTCACATGCTGCTGAAGAAGATTCCGATGTTCGTTTTCCCTATGCTACCTTCTTCATGCGCAAAGAGTCTCTCCTGTCAGAATCTGGGCCACAGCAGGTAACGGTCCCCATTCAGCCTCTCTTTCAGAAGCAAACCTTGGAGTTGTGGAACGCGCTAAAGACTGATGCCAATAAAATTTGCTTCTACGTTCTCGACAATAGGTAATTAAGAGGCCTCCAGTTCTGAAGGATGGTATTTCTAGATGAGCTTCTCGCCTTCAATCTCCCGATAGTCCTCAATACTTGAAATTTTATCGCCATTGTTGCCAATGGTTGCTTTGGCGCAGTGTTTTAGCGGCTTTCATGGGACGAACATAGCTACCTCCCTCGCTGGAACCGAGCCACTTATGTTCCTCAAGACATGGGTAAGGTCACATTCTCAGCAGCACAGGGCATGTGCACGCCTGTGAGCAAATTCTCAAGACAGGGGGCATCATAAACCATGTTCCCGCTCAGTGTTTTCACTTGCTGGTACGTCCCTTTCGCCTTCCCCTCTACGTACTCTCAGTGCAACCAACCTCAACTGTCCAATGCTTCCACTGCGCAATTTTGCTTATCAAGGGGGATATTATTCTCGTCCGTAGGACATTGTCAACAATTTTTTTGTATCGGAGTGCCCTTGTCTTCGACTGAAGATCTTCCAGAGAAGCCTGTTCCACTCACGTAGAGTAGTGGACGATGTCATGATCCAAGACGAGCATTGCCGACATTATTCGATGGTTCTTACACTTGACGATCGTGACCTTGTCTATGCTTCTTCATAACGGCTGTCGGCAGTACTTTCAATAAATCATGATGATACTGGGTTAATTCTGCGCTTATCAGTGCGCGCGTTTGATTGTTTATTTATTCGGCGAAACCAGATTCCAGCCCGTCAGATCTTATAATGACAATACGAGACGAGACTGTTTCATCAAGTTTCATCGAGGAAAACTCGTAGCACAATGTATTTCTCATCACGACATAATGGACTCTGGAACGAGCTCGAAGAAAAGAAAGATAATGAGAGGATTTACCACTATTACTAGCGATTCATCCACCTCCAGATTGTGCATAAAGCACAAAGTGACTCGGTCGCACCTATCCAGGCAGGTGAAGCGAATCCAATATGCAGGAGTGACAACAGTAAGAGAACTGTGTATCAACAGTTAAAATGTCCCGAACATGGCGCTCCTTAAAGTTGCAGACGTTCGAATTCCTAAGACAAACTTTGTGTGGTGCATGCTGTAATGCAAATCGGAAAGCAGTGTGGCTATATCCCATGGAGCGTGCTGCAGTGTCTATGTAGGGCAACAAATTTTTGAAAGTGGTACCAGGAAATATAGTACATTGATGGAGTGCAAGAAAGTCGCGGAAAATTACTAGACGAGACAACGACGACAACAGCAAATGACAATGATGCAACAAAGCTAGAATATTAACCCTACTCAATAACAGTTTATTTCGCCAGTTTATTTTTTTGAGCGAGCAGGACGAAATAAACTGGAATAAACTGTCAATGTACAGGTGCCGGGTTACATAGCCTGCCGGAGTATCCCGGCACCACACGTCCAGCTGAGCGGACGTGCAATTTTCTTCTTCGTTCATTCTTCGTTTGTCCATCAGCGTCGAGTTCGGCATAGCTCGCGCATCCTCACTCGTACTTACTATTGTTCTTTGCTTTCTTTTACATTCCCTTTCCCCCCCCCCCCCCCCCCCCCCCCAGCTATGCACGAGCACCTCGGTCTGCAGCTCAACGGGTCGTCAAATGTCCCTCCAACACCACCGTCCACTCAAGGTGCTTGTCCCTCTGGGCCGAGTTCCTCTACTCAACCATCTGCCGCTGGATCATCATCCGTTGATGCCGGTGGTTCTGTGGCCCCGAGGCCCATTCATGCTTGGACCTCCCAAACTCCGGCGCAGCAAACAGCGTCACAAGTCCGTCAGCAACCGCATCAGCAGCAAGCCGCACTTCCAGCAGGATCCAATACTACGCAACCTCAAAGGCATCCTCCTGCTCAGCCCGCAGATGAAATTGCTGCGCTAAGGGCGAGGATCGCTGAGCTTGAGAGTGGGAGTGCTCACGGCAACCAATTACCGGCCAGAGCCTCCATTCCTCATCAAGCGTTAGTCGCTGACTCCACTGCTGTCAACTGTATTCGTGCAAACCTATCTAGCGCCAAAGAAGAGTCTAGGAAGCTCACTTTGCCCGCACTTCAACCAGGGCACAAAGTCAGTGCCCTGAGCTTACGTGAGTTTATTTTCCCATCGCGTCCGCACCCTTTCCGTATTGCTCCGGGTGCATACCGTATTCGTTTTCTCGATATCTGCTTCGGTATGCTACCGAAGGCACCATGTCGCACTGTACTGTCCGCCAAATACCACCGTTCGGCAGATTTTTCTGCACCATGTTTCCCTTTTCCGTACCGTTTCACATACTTCGTTTTCTGATACACCGTGTTGCAGCCATACCTTCTAAGGTGGAGGAGGCTTTCAAACTGTACTGCTATGTGCCTTACATGGCACTCATGCACGCAGTGCGCTCCAAAGCCCACCTTCGAGGCGAGGACTCGTCCTTTGTTTTTACTCAGGATGGGCTTACTGCCAAAGGCCTTGATCGCTTGAATGAGCTGTCTATTTTGACTGTGGATTGGATTGGTGCAGCGAAAGTGGCGGAGGAGAGAACATTGCACTATTGGGGTGCAGACAGGGCATCGGCCCTAGTATCGCATCATCTTGTCATGCTCGATATCGCCTGCACTCATGGCTGGTCAGTTGCAATGCACTACGATGTGCAACAGCGAGAATTAGCTCATGTGAACCATGAGCACAACTTGGCTGGCCTAGATGTGGAAGCCCTCACGATAGCCAATAATAAAGTCACATCTAGTATTCCTGTGGTGGCACACTCCAACCCTCCCACTAAATGAGCTGCCCTGAGTGACTTCACAACATCCCCTTGCAAGAAATCTCACATGCTCGCATTGAACCATTGCTTTTGGTGTGGGGCACCCGGTCACTTACCTGCTGACTGCTGCCAACACCACCGTTGTGGGCAAACCTGTCGCACCCATTGCAACCGGTGCAAGAAGCAAGCATGCCCTTGCCACAGCCAGCGGGAAGCATTATTGTTTCAACTGGGCCAACGGCTCCAATTGTACCTTTGGCACTGGATGCAAGAACATCCACTCCTGCAGCCTGTGCGGAGATTCATCCCACGGAGCCGGGAGTTGCAAAGCTCATGGATGATCCTCGCATCGTGGTTACTCCACTCGACCACCTATGGGTGGAAGAGCTCCTCCGTAAATACGATATTTTTGATGACTGGCGTCATATAGTTGACGGTATACATAATGGCTTTAATGTTGGTGTCACGGAACCACCAACTAGTACTTATACATTTCGAAAATCACGCATCCTCCTTACTCAACCCTTCCATAATTGACTTGTACATACTATCTGAGCAGGCAGCTGGCAGATACTCTGTCGGATTCAGCCCTTCAGACCTAGAGCACTTAATTGGCCCGTTTTGTACATCTCCACTGGGACTGGTCCCAAAGCCTCACTCAAGCAAATTTTGTATCGTTCAGGACCTATCTTACCCTTGGAACCTCTCAAGTGTTCAATCCGTCAATGCCGCGATCAACTCAGATGATTTTCCTATGGTCTGGGGCACATTCGACGAAACTGCTGCACTAATCCTCACCTTGCCCCCCGGTTGTGTCGTGGCAACCTTCGACGTCTCTTCAGCATACCGCATAGTCCCTGTTGTACCTTCTCAGCAGAATGCTCTCTGCATTTTCTGGAAAGGCATCGTGTACGTGGATTGAGCCCTCATGTTCGGTCTCACCTCCAGCGCTGGCATGTTCGGCTCCGTTGCAGACATGCTTGTTGCAATATACAGCAAAGCAGGTTTCGATTTGATTCGAAAATGGGTGGACGACTTTCTCGTCATCTGGCTGCCACATCAATCGTGGACCGAAGCAGATTTTATGGCTCTAACGAGCTACTGCGGAGTTTCATGGAGTCTCGAGAAGCTACAACTGTTTGCCGCTATCCAGCGGTACATTGGCTTCGACTGGGATCTAGACCGAAAACTAGTATCCCTGCCAGAGGAGAAGCTCCGCAGGGTGCAGGAATTAATGGCCAGTTGGCTTCTCGTTGGAGCATCATTCACGGCGAAAGAGGCTGCCAGTTTGCATGGCAAACTAGTCCACGTCGCATGTATTTTTCCCTTGATTCGACCTTTCTTGCGCTCAATCGCAGGCTTTGCAGCAAGCTTTCGTTCTTCCCGCGCGCATCTTCGCCTGTCAGCAGCTGTTATTTCAGACCTCCCTTGGATCCAGTCCTTATTATCACGCCTCCCAAGCCGAGTCCCCATATCCAACCCATCCCCAATCAATATCGGGTGGTGGGGCGATGCGAGCACATCATTTGGAGTCGGTGTCGCAATTCAGGACTGCTGGGCCATGTGGCGCTGGGTGCCAGGTTTCAGAGTCGGGCCCAATCGAACATTCAATATTGGTTGGGCAGAAGCTGTAGCTGTGGAGCTAGGATTTTGAGTGGCCCTCCATTTGGGTATTCTTTGTTTTTCCTTCCTGTGTATGTGCCTTTTTTCTGATCAGAAGGTCAAGGTATCATTTCCCGGAGTATGCCCACGAACTTGCACTATCTTGTGCGTTCGGACAACTCAGGTGTAGTCGTGGTGACAAACAAGGGTCGTTCACGCAGCCCTGAAATGAATGCCGTGCTGAAGCACATTTACCAGCTGCAAGCGGAATGCTGTGTGCGCCTACATGCGGTGTATGTGCCCACCCGCTGCAATATTGCAGATGCCCTCTCACGCGGCGACATCCCTGCTTTCAGAGCCGGTTTCACTGGTGCGACGGACTCTGTTTCTATTCCACTGCCGCCTCACTTAGCTGACAAGCTCATCCTGTGGTCACAATGATGCTGCACTGCCCTCTGCCATTCGTTCCCATCACTCGCACTCCCCCGGTTACCTCTACCTCAGCAGATGTCAGCTCCTCACATCTCCGCCCACCATGTAAAGCAACAGAGCGGATTTTCCTCTGGCGAGGTGTGAATCCTCCCCCGTTATCAACTATCGACAATCCAGTGATTCGCCATATCGCCGACCTAGCCAATCGGGCATCTCTTCGGGATACTGCGAGCTATGGCGCGGGTTTACGAAAATTTCACTTGTTCTGCAACATTTTCTCAATCCCAGAATCAGACCATCTCCCAGCTTCATTCGAGCTGCTCCACTCCTTCGCATTATGGGCTGTCTCCGACCCTGAACCTGGAGATTCGATTCGATCCATCACAGGCAACATTCCTTTCGAACCAGTCTCAGTCGGCGTTGCACGAAAGTACTTATCCGCAGTACGGGCCTGGCATATAGCTCAAGGCTGGCATCCGCCTCTGTCCGACTCTCACCACAGTCACATTAACTGGTCTTTGCGGGGCCTCGAAAACCTACACGGTGGCCGTCGAAAGCCCCTCCGTCCTCCAATTACTCTAGCAATGCTTATGGCACTCAAGGCCACTCTCATTTTGTCCGATCCCTTCAACACCTGCATTTGGGCTATGGCATCCTGTGCCTTCTTTGGCATGATGTGTTTTGGCGAGGTCTCCGTCACCTCTCGCATGGCATTCACACCATCCAAGCACCTTACCCGGGCTCACACCTTCTTTGGTTTTGACTTGCGAAGCAGCCCATATGCACGTTTGGACTTGCCATCAGCCAAAACTGCATGCACCGGGGAAATCCAATCAGTCTTTCTCAACGAGCAAGGTAACTTATGCCCCCTCGCCACTCTTCACAACCTCGCACGAGTTGTTCCTGCGCTAAGTAGCGATCCTCTATTCTCATGGCGAGATAGCAGGGGCGACATCCTTCCGATGGCGAAAGTCTGTGCCCTAGAACGCATCAACTCAATCCTAATGGCCTGGGGTTGGGGAATGACTTTCAGGCATTCCTTTCGCATAGGTGGGGCATCCTTCTACTTGGCGAAGAAAGTCGAGCCTGAAATAGTGTGGATCACGGGGCATTGGAAGTCGTTAGCTTATGAAACTTACATCCATGCGTTTGAACAAATTTCATCGCAGCACCTCGCCAATGCAGCCTCGCTCTAACAGTCACCTCCACATCTGGTTGGGCTGAGCAGCTATGAGCCATGGATAGTTCCAGCTTGTTGGGTGAGCGGCTCAACCTGCTTGCGTCCCACCCCGAGCTAATGCTCGGACCAGCCCAACACCTCAGATCGCGTCACCGACTCTTTACAGCACCAGATGAAGCTGGAATGTACAGGTGCCGGGTTACATAGCCTGCCGGAGTATCCTGGCACCACACGTCCAGCTGAGCGGACGTGCAATTTTCTTCTTCATTCATTCTTTGTTCGTCCATCAGCGTCGAGTTCAGCATAGCTCGCACATCCTCACTCGTACTTACTATTGTTCTTTGCTCCCACCCACCACTCCCCTTAATCGTGAACCATAGTCTCTCGCTTCATTTTAATATCGTTGTCAATGTGATATAATGGTCAAATGTCAGTTTTTCAATTACCTTGGCCTGTCACTCAAGAGTCGACGCATGATCGAACTCGTAAGCAGGTTTTCCCGCCCTCCCAGCGGCTCAACCTGCTTGCGTCCCACCCCGAGCCAACACTCAGACCAGCCCAACACCTCAGATCGTGTCACCAACTCTTTACAGCACCAGATGAAGCTGGAAGTAAGGTTTGATGTGCATTTGTGTTGTGGAGAGTGAAATAGGAGCTGCCGACCGACTTGCCAAGAGACTCTGCAAATGAACACTCATGGCACGTGATAGCTCAGTGCATCGACAACGACGTCGACGTCAGCATCAACGGATCAGCAAGAGAGAATCTACTACGAAACTCTTGGAAACTCTCGCAGTTATGCTTCTTGCTGAGGTGAAAGACTCCAGGGATCAGCTCATTGCTGTTTCACTTGCATTGGTGGCCTTGGACCGCCATCGACAGGACAGACGAAATGGTAGGTGCGGTAGACGAGGACCGAAGAGAGATGTGGTCCCATGAAGCAAGCTCGAGTGCGAGCTTCTGTTGTCCGTCTTCGCTCCAGTAGTCACTCATACTCGATGCTGGTATACTTTTGCTCCTCATCAATCGTACTTCGGCTGCTCAGCATCACAATCACTCTCAGTTCACTCCAACAACTTCGTGTATGAAATAAACTGGCAAATAAACTGCCACTCAATAACGCTGTCAGTTTATTTCCCACCGCTTATCGTTTGAGCAGCAAATAAACTGGTGAAATAAACTGTTATTGAGTAGGGTTATTGCTTCCCTAATGTTGACCGGCTATGTTCTGCACCGACATGCAGCAAATACAGAGTAGAAACCGAGGTGGGATTGATCCTGTCGCCACTGCAGTGCTGGTAACTGCGGGAAGTGTCGTGGATGCCGTAACAATAGAAGCTGCAGGTAGTTACTGTAATGATGCACCAGTAGCCATGGTATTGATATATTACTCACTGGTAGTGTAGCGTAAATGTGATACAATAGTTGCTCACTGCCATAGCACCCAGTGATACATCAATCTATTATACCTGCAGCTCCCTCTAGTTCCCTGCTATTAGCTGATACATCTGAGATCTATGGTATGTGACTTGAGATCCATCGTACATGGTCTCGTTTTTGGCATTCTGCGATATGTGATCTCCGCCCTTACCATTCTCCAGCATTGCTTCTTTCCCCATGTTAATATTAAGAACAATCACACGAATGATATATTTATATTTATAACTGCGGGGGAGTGTCAATAGTAGGAGCATCTATCTCTCCACTCTCCAGAATCAGGACACCACCAGAGACAAGGGTAGGCACATCACTCCACAGCCTTTGAAACTTGGCTATCAGCAGCACACACAGTGCAGACTGGTGACACGCATACGCTGACAGTCCCTCTTGTGCAGGTGCTGAGTTGAGCGTTCGGAGAGTCATGTGCTCCTTCCACCAGGACCCTTGCCATCTCAAAAACGCCAGCACTTGTCTCATCTCCTCTAGCAATAATTCCACCTCCTCTGACCACCAGTGTGCGCGGGCACAAGCCTTGCACCATTCCAAGCGGATACTATCAAAATGTCAGATAAATGTGAGTAAAACATAACATACACTTACAATCCTGTATGTGTTCATTTTCTGTACAGCTGTTATCAGCATGGGAGTCTAACCAAATCCAGGAGATGGTTCCTCTCCCTTGCTGCTCCATGTCACCCATAGGCTTAACATCGGAGTCAAGAAGTGGGTGCATGGTGAGCTCCCAACCGCACTTCTCAAGACGGTGGCCAAGAGACAGCAGGGTGCTGCACGCACATCTGTACTTCAATACACTGGTGTGCTTCCTCGATTCCACGGCATCAATGATTTTCTTGGCACGAGTAGAACCCACTTGACCACGGACATTCTTATCCTTGTACTTGTACATGTGGGATTGAAGCCGGAGGTGGGAACGAACTTTGTTCAGGGCATCGAGGGCCTGCACATAGCGTAGCTCCCACTTGTGGCCAGCAAGCGTCTGGTCTACGGGGGTGCCAGCTGGAAGTTGTGAAGGGAGCCACAGGTTGAAGTCTTCAGGTTTCAGTTCCTGCGACTTCCCGCTAGCCTCTGATGATTGATGCCGGAGTTGACAGACAACTGGCATATATAGCTCCTGGATGCGGGCCCACACATCAAGCCGTCGTTGGAGGGAGGTGATTTGAGTTTGTGTTGTAGCCTTCTGATTATCGGTGTCATGGAGGGAGACATTGGCAAGACTGGATCTTAAGCGCGCCCTGTAGAACTGTTAGTATGGCATAGTGTAACAATGAATACAAAATGTACTGTTGATCCTCGAGATCCATGCCTGATGTAATCAATCCACTTGGAGAGACATCAGTGTGAAGCGAGACGTTAATTCCAGCTTGAAGGTCTTGAGCTTCAAGCTCAGTGAGTTGTAGTCATACGGCTGCCTGTGTAACTGCTACTGTTTATTAGAACAACCACTGCAAAAACGCCAGGATCACTTATGGTTAAACCGGCTTTCAAAGGGATTTGGAGAGGAGTTATCCTCCTCCCAGGATTCCACCTCTGCCTTCCATTGAGCGATGAGAGCCGGCTGAATAGTCTTCTCCAGTTCTGCGAGGGCTTTGGAGTGCTCCTTCGTCCACTTGACAGCTTCAACCATCTTCTTATGCAATGTCCGCCCTAAGTCTATGTCAGAATTTGAGACTAAAAGAAAGAAACCGCTCACCTAATGCTGTTATTTTTTTCCAGTTCCAATCACTGAAGTGATCATCAAGAGTGTCCCGGTGTGCTCCTGGTCCCATTTCCTTGGTACTTGATGCCACTCGGTTGATATTGGACCAGCCCCGTTCAGGGGCTTCGCCATCTGTTCGGCCCACGTATCTCGACCAGTTGAAAGAGAAGTTCATGCGACACTTATCGACGTGGGCCTGGATGTGGAACTTCGGCACAAAAAAATGTATAAGGGAAGATTGACGAGGGGGGGAAAGCCATTCCGGCATCATTTCCATTCAAGTCCAGAGTCTCTTGTGCCACTGGCAGGCGATGTCGTAGGATATATTGATCATGGACATCGCGAGGATGAGGAGCGCGGAACACATGATATAGTCCATGTTGATGTACCTGAGTAACATCAGCCGCAAAACATTCCAAATGCAATATAATACATACCATTCCCCCTTCTGCAGGTCTCCAACTCCGTTAGGGAGCTTCATGTCGTGTCTTGCACAGTCGATCGTCCCAACTCCTGTTGCAGCAAGCCCATGGGAGGACTTGGTATCCGCCATGTTGACCGCATTGTGGCTTACGCACGTGCTTCGCTACAGAAAAAGTCAAAGTTGAGAATTATCATAAAAATCATGTTACTTACCTCTTGCTTTTCGGTAGCACGATCTGCGAGGTAAGACTTGTATGAGTCCTTGTGCACAAAATACACCCATCCAGCATTAAGGCTAGGGTCGGCAGTATCAGAAGACACCACCTTGCGCTTCAATCTAAAGTTCGCGTCTATTGCAACAAATAGCACATATTTCCATCTGCTCAGATAACATGTGAGCTCAGCAAAATCAGGGAAAGACGACCAACATCTTACCTGGTAAATAGAGGCTCCTTCTCCCAGTCTAGCGGAAGATTCTTCCCGGGCTGTGGGCACGTGGGGCAGAGAACAGCTAACTCTCCTTTGGCTGTAGCATTGACACCGGCAGGGTCGTGTCCCCTTCCTCCGCAGCCAAGTTGTTTGAGGTTATGCCATTGGCGTACCATCCGCATGAAAGCGGAATACCGATCCTAGAATATATCATTATCAGACAGTTGTAGGAATAGATTAAAATAAATACTCACCCTGATCGCTACTAACCCAGAATTGTTGGTGTGCCTTGCGAGGGAGTGATAAAACTCGTAAGCAGATACCTTGCTTTCAAATGATAGAATATGAAAATGCTGCAGAACCGTAAAGGTTGCTGCAGTCCGAGGCTCTGAGACTGTGGCTGGATACCACCGCATACGTAATAGTTGTTTGTACCGAATCTGAGCTGAAGTGCAGCCACAGAAGTCCAGTGCAATTTCATGAATGCCATCGAGCCCGATGACCACAAAATCATCACCGGCAGTGGGAGAAGGTTTGTAGCACCTTTCTCCTGGGTTATGGCCAAGTTGTACTCGAACACCAAGCTGTTTGAGTGTGATATGCTGAAAAAAAGACCTGTTCCATATCTGACAATGATCAGTCACACGTTGACGCCAAAATAAGTGTGAAACACACCTCAATCCTATGCAAAGGGTGATATATGTGGTTTTGAAGTGTACATTCGTGGCAGAACATTTGAGTGCCATGACAGTCAGAGCATCAGAATTGAGGCGATACTGCACCACATGAACAAGTGACACCCTCAGACCCGCGTCCATTGAGGCGCATCATTTCATCCAGGAAGATTGAATGTTGTGGAATCCAGGCAAGCAAAGGTCTATCCTTAAGTCCAATAAGTTAGCATGCCCAAACAAACATCAAATGAGAACACCCACCGCTGCAGTCTCTTTGCGCTTCTCCATGGAACAAATATCAACAATGTCGTCTGTAAGTGTTTCATCCTCAAATTGAGAGTCACTGGGATGCTCAACACAGTCATCTATGAAAAATATGTTGTTGTTTGATGAATTTTCAGGGGGAATTCCCGCAACATAGTGTGTTTGCAGTCGTGTGCTCCCTTTAGCGGTAATTTCCGCAGCACAAAGTCGTAAAAAATGAGGTTTGGGGTTGATAGAGACGGGGACAAAGACCTCCCGTTCAAGTGCAGGCCTCTTGGGGGGGGCGACCACGGGGCATTGTGCACTGTGGTTAATCTGTCAGCTCAGGTCGGGCAGTCAGAGGATCCTCCATTTGTAATTGGAGGATCCCGCCAGTATATAATAAGGGACAAATTTGTCCCTCCTCACCCACCTCATGAATCATGGCAACACCATTGAATGATAATGCCCCCCCACCAGCCACTGTTGAATACTTGTTGCGCCCCCGTCGAAGTGAGCCAATTGAAAGTTATATCTTGCCACGCACCTGACATTAAAAAAACAGACCGCAATCCGCCCCCAGCACATGTGTCTTGGCAAATTCGTTCATACATAGTGCGATATAATCAAACCCCAAACAGTGGCCCAATTTTCATGCCTGCGCAGAAGGACTGGTTGAAAGATCATATACCACAGTATATGCAGTGGCCTCCTACCTCAGATGAGACGATCACATTAATACAGACTATGATTATCGATTTCGACCGCATGTGGCCACTTCACCAGAAATTGTGGCCCAGGTCGAATATTCACATTTTGCTGAGTGACAGCATGCGTGCCAAATTGATGGCGGAGATGCTGATTCTTCAAGCAGTAAGTCAGCTGTGCACGTAATATGCACTATGACTGACCTTGATGCAGAATATCAAGAGCCACATGCTGTGGACAACCCGACGTAATCTGCGTTGTGAGAGGAATTGAACGGGAATTGAACCGCGGAAATGGTTCTGGTACTGGGGCGTCAGGCAAGCTTAGAAGCTTGGTAGATAGTACTAGAGAATCCACTTACCTGCTGAGGCCATACTTGAGAGCTTGAACATGATTGATCACTGATCAATGATCCCCAATTCCGATGTTACTGGGGAAGCTGTGATGGATTTGCCAAGATTAGTCAGCCGGTACACCTGTTTGGTGCGGATTGTTACTAATACCTGGCACCTTTGTAGTCGCCATTTCCCAAATCCCATGGAAGCCATCCTCCATTTCTTGGACGTCCGACCCTGCCGGCCTATGGAGTATATATTTGGGATGTGGTGAGTGATACATCACCATCTACTCAAGGTACTCACTGAACTCACTATCATGACTCAGAATTTGCCTTCCTCCAGTCGGACAGATACCATGGTATCTGTCTGACTGGACGGTCTCATCAAATTTCTCCAGTGTCTTTCCCTCGATGATCAGAAGGCACTGTCTCAGGCCTTAGACATTGGCACGGACACGGGCACCGATGGTGATACATCCAATGGTGAATCCATTGATTCTTTTATATTTTCATTACTCACATAGCTTCGGCAATGTTACAGATAACATCACTGTCAGAATGGGCCTGGGCCCTGCCACTGGCAGCACCGAAACGGCATTGGCCGCTCTTCCCGCTGTCTCTGATGACCCCCCTGCTACAACCATTGACAGTCTCAGGGAAGCTGCACCAGTTGCTTCTCCTGGCGCAGCTGCTGCCTCTAGTGCTGGCACTGCTCCTACTTCTGCCCCCGCTCCTACTTCTGCCCCCGCAACTGCACATGCTGCTGCTCCCACTGTGGTTCCTGCAGGAAATGTCACTGTCTATGTCAATTATGAGGAATATGACTCCTCTGATGACGAAGACGCAGCCACTGCAGCTGCCGCACTTGCGAACAATTCCACATTGATTCATTACCATGATACCTACTTCAATGTCCCAGTTGACGCCACCCCACCGCTCTATTATGTGACTTGAGGTCGCTACATCAGCATCTTTTCAGGCTGGTGAGCTGGATTTTCCGAATTTCTCATGTCTAGTAGCTCATTTCTTCATGGTAGGGATGCAACCGGTCCAAAAGTGCTCGGTGTCTCTTGAGCCATCTACCACAAGGTGGATTCCATCGAGCAAGGCATAAACATCGTGAAGGGTGCAATTGATTGTGGTGACGCTTCGCAGGCATTGTAACACAGTACTAGTGATGATTATTTAGTGAATTTCATGTATGTCCATAGCTGTCACAAAATGAACGGTCTTTCTTGAATGTCAGTGTGCTTTGTCTGATCAAAACATATTGCAAACAAGTATTACACTACTGAGATTGTAGCAGCATACAAGCACCGTGCCCATCAAGAACATTAAACTTAAGATATAAACCTGCCCTGTAGGAGTGAGATCAATATTCGTAGAGTTCAATTTTGAAGGACGGTAAGAGAATGGTAGGATAAATTCGCATAAAAATCCAAATTAATCTCCTACATGAAGCTTGCCATTCAAAACTCCTATGCATATATCGAGTGCCTAAATTGCAACTGACTTACTTTCAACCCACTTTTATGCACATGGCACAACCACATCTACACAACACTAAAGAAGAAAAGGCAGAAGCTGCACGCGCTTATAAATGAGCTTACTATGCACGGTACTTCACTCACTTTACTATCATTTCTCTTAATGATGGTGGACCCACTGAAACAGTCATCACAATAAGCTATGTGCACAAAAAAAGGAGATATACAAGGGGGAGGAAGATACTAGGTGAGATACATACCAACCACTTGAATATCTGAACATCTGAGTCGTGCAAGTTCTAGGCTGTGCAGTAAGCCTGCCACTGTAGGAAGGCCACGCTCATATTATACGGCTGAGGAGAAGATTGAAGCCACACACTGGTCCCAGAAAGCCTATTATGCTTGGTATGTCATTGACATATGAATGTTTCAAACCATTTGAACAATTGATGCCTAGTAACCGTGAGGAGATCCATATCAAATGTTGGAACAAGTCAAAGTCAAAGGTGTACGTTGCTCACTCATCTATAATATAGTTACTTACCTGATCACCCAGCTTGGACAATACCAGTAACCTCAAACCGGCACGCTCAGTGCGAGATGCGAACAGATGCAAAAAAAAATAGTATGTTGTCTTGTTCATTTCGGCAGCACCTCATAAGGCTAAATGATCTCGATCAAGGGCCAGGCTATGTGATGACATCGACACCAGCCTGCAGGTCCTTATTGGGTTGTCAAGCACAGCATTGGTTGAGGGCCTTTGTGAGCTCTTCATAGCAAACCCGGATAAGCCAGATTCATTGGATGTCCTGCGGTTGGCTCACAATGGGTTGGAAGACCTCCTGCTGCGTGCACAAACTTTAGAAAACAATGTTCTTGAGGAATGTGGGACAGGGCAGGACCTCAGTCGGGCACATAGTTCTGTGTCTAATGTGCGCAGGGTTCTAGCGGACTTGGGAGACATGTTTACTCATGCCATGTTAGGCGTAGACTCCCTAGTTGAAGCACACGAGCAGCATAGACTACACCATCAACTTAAATACAACTAGGTACTATAGAACTTAATTCCCCCTTTTGAAATCAGACATCAGCGACAATCAGTGTGGAAAAGTCCAAATGGAAAATTGTATTGCTGTTACCCATTAACCTTGGCATCAAACGTGACGGAACCATATTTACAAAGGTATGTTATGATGAGGTTTTAATTAATTATCATACATTATGGAATGCTAAATGTAACGCGAATAGATGGCACCACGTACATGGCTGACGCAGGAGCAACTGGCCTTCAATACAACTTTTGAGGACAAGTACCTCGAATGCCAAAAGAAGGGGAACTATACCACTTTTTGGCAGCCCTTCTTCGAACAATGGGAAGAGCGATGGCCCGCGAGGGCTTCCTTATTATTTTTTGTGTGCATTATTGGGGACTTACATCACATCCAGCGCCTGATTGTCAAATTCCGCAATGATTATGGTAATTCAAAGCCTGGCCGCAAGGCAGCTGCGGTGGGCAATTTGGCTGTCCACAAACTTCTCTCCAATATCATTAAAGGACCCACGACTGGTTGGAAACGTCCTCTCAAGGAAACTGAAGTCTACGCTAAAAAGTACTATGCTACTCGAGTCCAGGCCAGTGTTAAAGATGAGCTCGATGCCATCAATGCTGCCCTACTATGAGTTTGTTTCTCATGTTTTCCGTATGTATTCAACTATTCAATTTTTTTAAACACTGTGCTAATGATATATAGCTGAAGCTGGGACTTCAAATAAAACAGTTGCCCAGAGTCTTGAGGGTGAAGATCTCCACATTTCTGCCGCTCCAGATGGTATTCCCACAAACGACGATTCTCCAACACCTACAACTGTAGCACCTGATACATTACATGGTTCACACCCTGCATCCTTACAGCCAGACTTGGTATCTAACTTCCCTTCCACGCGCCTAGCGCAAGAAGAGGTAGTCCCTGCACCACCTGAAGAGGATTACTTGGATTTCTTTTGACACCTGCCCCCCGCTCCCCAAGACAATGAGATCAACCAACAGATGAACATGCTCCTCTCCATGACGGAGGGCTATGTACCCTTCTGTCCACCACCACTAGCACCACTCACTCTAGACCCTATGTCTGCCTCCACCACATTTCTCAATCTGGATTCAAATCTTGAGAGTTTTGACGAGGCTCTCAAATCCATGCAGTCCCAGAAAACCAACACGGGAATGGTCTGTTCTCCTCCCCGCATTCATTATAAGTTCGACAGTCTCGTTAAATCATCTTTACCCACGGTGACTGCCTCTACCACACCCACTTTGACTCCTTCCCCACCTTTTACCACGTCTGCCATCACTCCTTGCACCACGCCGGTCGTCACACCTTACACCACACCTACTATCACCCATTCACCTGCAACTCCTTTTACCATGCCTGCCATCACTCCTTGTACCACGCCGGACATCACACCTTGCATTACACCGGTCGTCATACCTTGCACCACACCTGCCATCACCCATTCACCTGCGGTCGGGTCTTCCACCACACCTGCTACCACACCCACGCCACTTGCACCCACAACTACCATACCCGCTACCACACCCTCGCTAGCTGCACCCACAACTCTTGTAACACTGGGAACAACGCCTCCAGAGCTTATTTTTGGGATGGGAGCCGATGCTCAAAACCCCAGCAATGTTGTAGATGAACGTCCAGCAAAGCATCAGAAACGGGCTTCATGCGCACGTGCAGGAGAGACAGATCCACCACAGGCTGTCTCCTCTGGCCAAGGGAAATGACAATGATTTCAATCCACTCAAGCTGCTGCCGCCAACGCAATTGGTTAAGCATTGGTTGAACTAAAAATGTATATAGCATATATCTTGAAATTTAATTGTCTTGAGCGAAAAAGTACCAATGCTGACTTCAATGAGCGGCGTGATTGACCTAAGCTCTCCAAGCCACCCGCAAAGTTCTGAAGAACTGTACAGTATTACCTCTTTGTTGTGGGCTGATCACGGGCAGATTAATTGGCGAAAGTGAAGAGATTTCTAATAGAACACACGTACAGCGAGCACTACACACTACGTGAACAATACAAAATATATGCTTTAACTGATGTGACTATGAAAGCGCGATTGGTGCAGCTCTTGCAACACAGGCTCGATCATCCTGCAAGGCGCACATATTGCGCTCATGAAGGATGCAACAGTTCCAGAGCTGTTGGATGTTGCGCTGGCCGCTACAGCCTGCAGCAGGGATGAAGCCAATGCTGGATTGGGTGAAGTAGCTGTGGTTGGTGCAATATCTGGGGGAGGAGTTAGTGCGTCGATAAAAACCCTGCCTCTAAAACATGGCATCGATGTAAGGCAGCACCAAATGGTAGGAAATTGGATGGTAGATCTGCAAGGGTGTTATTAAAATGATATTCAACCAAAGGAGGGAATAAGGGGTCGCCCCGTGCATACAGGCATTTACTGGGAGCCGGCACAGAGGCATTCTTCTCATTGAAGCGTGACGGCGTGTCGGGAAAACAGTGCGCGTTGATCAATCTCTATCACTATTCACAGGTGGCAAATATTAGAGTCTCCTTGTCCTGCAAAATATCACCCCAATTAGAGTTCGTCTTCGAGTGAGATAACCGAGACTACATTGTCTGACGAAACAAGTAGCTCGAAATCTGACGCGAAGACGAGACACAAACGATCTGCGAAAAAACGCAGGAGTAAGTCTAAGAAAGCTTTGAAAAAGAAAAAGCACTGAGGTCCAAGCCATGCATTGTCATCGACGGTGAGATACAGGTAAAAATTGGAAGACCTGGGACATTCAGCTAAGTTCCGTTCAGTTCTCGTACACCCAACCTAGCTCTCAAGCCACCCGCAAACTGCCAAAGAACTGTACATACCTCTGCATGGGTAAATGTGCTAAATAAAACCCTGCATATAAATATATTGGCTAAATAAAGTCGGCTGACACAGAAAGAACCAAGGAACAATCGAAAGAATGGAGGAACAATCAAAAAGAACCCAGAGAACCAGGAACAGGCTGGATGAAAGCATCATTTTTGGATTCACCAGTGATACATCAGCCTACTACTGCCTGTAAGTACAGCAATTAATGTATTACATTTCTGCTACCACTGTAAGCTAGGTAATGTATTATTATCACAGTATAGCCTGAATGATGTCAGATTGCTCTGGGTTGCTCCGCTGTGTTGCTGCATGGTATGAGTATTTGAAGGTCGAGAGGAGCTAGTGGCTTTCTTCCCTCTTGCGTAATAGTTCCTCTGTTTCAGATGTGTCAGTGATAAAGAACCTAGAAGGGGGGAAAGGACATACAGGCTTTCTCGCTGTGAGTGGGACCTCGACTACTGGTGATATGTGCAGCTGGTGTCTGCGTAGCATGCCAGAGACGAAATTTTGAACCCAGCTGAGAAGGCTAGATCGAGATTGTGTTGCACATTCAGTTGCTCCCCATGATATCGATAACTGTCAACAAATTGTTCACAAGGGACTGCTCAATTATAGATGAAATCACGTGCATTAGCGGGATGCGCTGCATTGTCAACCCAGGGTAGCCAACGAGCGCCTTCAATCCACAGGCTTGGCATTGTGTAGCATCAGCCTAGGATGTAGGTACTCCTCAAGGTCATGCAAAAGGTAAAGGAAAACATAACACACATCTGTGTTGGATGGCTTCTGGGCAGTATTCTGGGGTGGGAAAAGGTGGAGAAGGCTGTTGGAAAGGCCTTTGTATTTATGCGTGGTCTGAGGGGAGGTGGGGGGGGAGGAAGTAATATTCATCAGCTAAGATGTGTGAGATGTGCAAGATGTTATCGAGAGGAATACAACTGAAGAGAAAGACATATATACTGAGTAGTGAGTGAATTTTACTTTTAGAGATGAGACGAGACAGAGTGTGTTGAGATCTCAGATAAACAAATCAAAGGGAGGTTGTTTGGTTTTAATTTGTTTTGTGTGTGGGAAGATCTGGCTGTGCCAGACCAGTGCAGAAAAAAGGCAGGGGTCTGGGTGAGGCACGTGGAACCCGCAAAGTTCAAAAGAAGCAGCTTGTGCTCAGAGGGATTTGGGATCGACAAAGACAAACCCTTGGAGTGTGTTGAGTCCAAAAAGTGTGGAGACCGAAGGGTCCAAAAGGAAACACTAATCCAGACTGAAACACACTAGAAGTTGCAGGTAGGGAGGTGCATATGTGCAAAAAAACGGGAGAGTGACGGGCAAAAGGAGATGAGTGCAGAGAAGAAGAAGGGAATGCGGCACTGATTCTCAAGTCGAGACTGGGGCGACTTGGACGTGTGCTTCAATAGAATAGGAGCACACATATGGTGAATCTTCATGTGACTGCCTACAAAGGCCATGTTTCATGTGTCAACACTTGTGATCCACTTGAAACGGCCACCTGATGAAACATACCACCTGAAAGGATGACACATTGTCACTGTTATTGTGAATGAAATGTATGCAAGCTTACAGAAGGTGATCGAGGCCAGCTTCTTTGATGATGGTAGAAACATTCCATGTGTAAATATATTAATGTGGCTGTCGTCGCAGGCATTTTCCATCCACAGAGAAGTCCGCGCAATTCATGTGGTTTTTATGGTGGAAGGGTTGTCCGATCTGTTGATTAGTTTCGAGGTTCCATAGTTGTGCATCTGATATGCTTGTGAGAATGCACTCATTCGGAGACAGTCAAATGGCCTTGACAATATCTTTGTGTCCCTCCAGAACAGCGGTTGTGGTCAAGGTGGCAGTGTAAATTCCCTGGGGTCCTGTGCCGCCAACAACTTAGGGTCCTACTATCAGAGGTCCATGCCAAGCACCAAATTGCTCCCTCAAGTGTTTTGAACAATTCACCTTTGTTGGCATCCCAATTTTTCAGTGAGACATCACCCGTCGCAATCATCATGCCATCGTGTCAATAACAAACTGTGTACATCCAGCTGCCTTTCACTGCCTCGATTGGTCCTAGGATTGTCTTTCTGCTCTCAACGACCCATACTCTGAATGTCCCACCGTCACAACTGCTCACCACTCGCCATCCATCTGGACTCCAGCAGACAGACCGCACTTCCCTTGTGTGCCTTGTCCATTTTTTATGACTTTGTCTGTGTCAATATCCCATAATCTCACTGTACTATCGAAGCTGCCACTTGCTGCTGTCTTGCCATCCGGCGACAATATTAATGCTATGCCATTAACAACTTCATTTCCTTTGTCCCTCCAGGCCTTCCCGACCTGCATCCCGTTGTCCAAGTCCCAGACTCGAATTGAGCCATCCTATGAATAAGTGATGATCTACTGTTTATCATGCAGGCGTAGGACGTCAGAGATGAAACTGGTGTGTCCTTGCATCTTTTGGTGAGGTTTTGTCATTTATTTCTCTTGCCTCAGAGGGGTTCATGAAGAAATTTTTTCAGCTCACGGACTTCACCTAATGTATGCAGTACAATGTCAGCTCTTGCCCATCAAACGAACACCATCACTCACTCAGAGCTCGAGAGAGGTTGCTGTTCAAGTCCTCTACAGCTTTGTCTTCATGCTGTTCACTAAGCACTTCACAGCTTGAGTACGGGCTGTGCACATTAAGGGCCCCAAGTCTCGTTCTCTCACAACATGCACGGTTTCTACATCGCCATCTCAACATCGCATCAGGTAGGCATGCTGTCGAGCAAGCTCGCACTCCTGTATTTTTTCACTGACCCTTCTCGGAAAAATATCCATGGCTTTGTCTGCCATGCCATCATTGTGCGTCTCGCAAAGGATGTCTCGGCAAACCGGTCACATATCTTTCGCTCAACACTGCTGCTACTGACAGTGTCACTGCACCCTCCACGACTAGTGGTCAAGAAGACAACCAGTTCAGACAGATGGGTGTTCGTAGATGAGACGACCTAGCCCCTTCCAGGTGGTCTTTCTTCGAATTCTTGATTACTCAGAACGTCCTTGTGACATCTTATCAATTTGAACAGTGGACAATGAACATCAATCATATCGATCGCAAGGCTAATTTGAAGGCTCTGGAAACGTCTATGTAAATGTCAACAACACTCACATCAGATTGTGGATTACATTTCCCTGTGTCTTGGATTCAACGACTATGTGGCCAAGTTTTACCTTTTGCTCGGACACAGTACTTGCAGGTGATGGAATCAGGCGTGTCGTGCAGTTCTTCACTCGACACACAGCTAGGCCACCACCTTGGACCCATGTATTGCACACAAGACAGTCAGATTTCTTCTGTTCAGTCAGTATGGGGACGGTTTGTGATCCCGGGGTGACTGATATTGTGCAGGAGCTGCTGCCATGATACAACAGTAGATATGTACTAGACTTACATCAGTAAATTCACACATTGCTTATTTCAGCACTTATCACTACTTTTCGTCACTTTTCAGCAATGGATCTACTTTTTCTCTTAAACTGGCCACCACCAGCAAATCAAGTATCTCAAACTGCTAATAATATGTCAAATACATATTTCATTGTGATAGAATACAGTTTTCTCATGTGTAGCTGACTAGAGAGCGCATTTATGTCAAGAACTTATTAACAACTGTTGTGGTGTTTCTGCTGGACCACAACAGCTAATACTTATTCTCATGTTGTCAAACAGATTTCTAATGTATAAGAAACATTTTGGTGTACTTAAGTTGAAGGTGGAGGCTAGTTGAAGGAAAAAAAGTAGATCCATTGTTGAAAAGTGACGAAAAGTAGTGATAAGTGCTGAAATAAGCAATGTGTGAATTTACTGATGTACCTGTACTTGGTTCCGTCCTTCGTCTCCGGTCGGTCAAAATAGTGTATGAATCATGCAAGCGCTATATGTTGGAACTGGCAAGTCGTTCGGCCCAAAATGCTGTCCCGCTGTCATGCTGTGATATGTTTCACTTTGATATGTTTTATTCATGATCTTTATAGTCCACTTAACTATATTATTCGCCATAGCGTTTGCACGTCAAAACGCCAACTGTCTAACAACCGTTTAGCTTATACCATGCACGCAGCACTTGAATACTTTATCCTATCTACGCGCAGTCATATATAACTTTGTACTTTACATGACTCATACCTCAGGCGTTGTCTCTCTCGAGTGCGCAACTGAGGTTAGTTACCCTTTTCATTGTTGTTCTGTCTATTCTTACTTACACTGATTACCTTAGTGAACTGTCTTTGTATAGGTAATGATCTAAGCATTGTCTCTCTTGAGTGCGCGACTGAGTGAACTGTCTTTGTATAGTCACGCACTGCCGAAGTTATACTTCTATTACTATAATATTTCAGTGTCCTGGAACATTAATTTCTAAGTACTGTAATGTGATCGAGCTGTGAGAGATATACAAATAAAATTCTATACAGACAACCGTGCACTCTATACCAAGTCTCTTGAAGTCTTCCGAGTTGCTGCCTGAGCTTTGGCTCTCTCCTTGATATCTAAGCTTTTGAACCACATTGGCGACATTGCGCCTCCTGTCTCACTTCTTGTGCCTAATCCACTTCACTCCCATTCCTTGTTTGATACTCTCCATAGCGCTCTTCACACCTTTATCAACCAACTCTCACCCCACAGCAGGGCCTTCTTTTGCACGCTCCCAGCTGGTTATCCCACTGCATGCAATGGAGGTTCTTCTGATCTCTCCAAGGTGAGGAACATAGTGATCTTCAAGCTCTTTGACTCATGTGTCGACCCAAGAAGCAGTACCGGGAAGGAAATATAGGAATACATCAACTAAGGCTGGGGACGTGTGTGTGGAGTGCATGCGAGCGAATACAAGACGGACATTGTCAGGGCAGACATAGTGAGTGGTGATGCAATGGTCAGCATAAGAAGATATCACTCACAACTCCACCATTTCTTCAACAGAGGTCTACCAGTCTATGGTACATCAGGCCTTGGAGTGGACACAAGTAAAGTATGTTAGCATCGATATGTTGAGTTCCTTACTTATTTCGGTCTATCTTGTTATCTTGTACACCTTCATACCATATGACTCTTGTCTTCCCTTCTCCGCACTCCGAACTCGTTACCTAATCGACTCTGCTGATATTTGTACCGCGCTTCGCCTCTTGACCACCTTAGTATTGTTGTTACAACTCTACTGAGGTGTGTACTGTGTCCGTTGTATCATGCCGTCTTGTATTGACTTGTGCACTAGCCTTTGTCTAGGTACAGAATAATAGTATTGTTCTTACCAGAGCCAGAATCGCGACCAGCATCCAACCCGACATATGGTGATATTAAGGCGCAATTGTGATATGAGGACGTCGAGTGCGTTTGCGGGATTGACTTGATGGATGGCGCTTCAGGAGGCGTTGTGGACGAAGTGGTTGTTGGCAAGAAAAACCAAAGTTGAATCATTTGCTCCAGAGTGGTAGAGATCGTCTATCTTGCTGTTGACAGGACCTGTACGTAGACTCGGTAAACCGACTCAGGAGTAGTTTCAAAATACAAACAATCGAAGAAGGAGATCATGGTGGTGGGAGCCGGAAAAGTACTACTTGGTTACAACTGTATTACTGAGGCATTTTCGCGGGGTGTGGGAATTTGGTGCCTTCAGTTCTTGGACATACTAAGTGACGTACTTTCAGCCTGAATCAGAAATGGGTTTCAAAGTTAGGTTGTGCATGCAGCAAACACGCTGCACTTGAACAAAAATGAAACTCTGATGGCACTGCCTGGCAGCCGTCGTCGTCGCCATCACTGTCGTCCACCACTGTAGGCCCATTTTCGACTTCTATGGCTACACGAGGTACCAACAACCATGGACGGGAAGTCAGTACTGCTAGAGCCCGAGGTCGTGGCAGCCGTGGATCAGCTCCTACTTCCTCTCGCTCCCCCCAATCCTCCAAAGCGCCATCAACTGCAAAGATCCCAGCAATCCAGTGGGAAAGACAGCACTCGGCATGCACCTCTTGCCTCATCGAGTGGTGCAAGGCTAATGACGAGGCCTGGATCAAGCTGTTCTCCGACTCAGCCAAAGATGCAAAGGACGAGGGTCGACCACGACAGCAGATGTCTACCCAGAAGACAAATTACCTCCAGCAGTTGGCTGCTGCAATTTTCACTGACGACGAAGATCCGAACATTCATGCACTATATAAAGAGCACCCACTTAGCTTTATCAAACCCATCAACAGTCAGTTCAACTCGTATGTCCACTATGATTTGATTGTGGAACTAGTGGCGTGATTGACTAGATTTTTTAGGCTTAAAAAGAGGTACAACTCCATCAACAAGGAGCTTGGCCAAACAGGGGCTGGACTTAAGTCTATCGAGGAGCTGGATGCAGATCCTCGCACGAAAACTCTTGTTGGTATGTCCATTTGTTTTATTTGTTTGTTTGTTATGTCCTGAGATCGAGCACTAGCTCGTCTTCTTCTGCAATTTCCGTGGTGGTCTGACCTTCATGGATGGTGGAGGATGAACCCAGCCTATAATACAGCATTTTCAACAGCCGACCCTGGTCAAGATTTTGCCAGCGAGGCATTTGATTTTTTTTCTGGGACCCCACACAACGAAGACCAGGCTGCTGCTGAGATGGATCTTGATGACGGGGAGCTTGAGCCGGGAGAAATCCCAGATCAGTCACTTGGTCTCTCAGGGGGGGAACCTGAATCGTCTCTAATGGTCACTGGAACTCCTCGTTCACTGATCGAAAGTGACAATGACCTCTATGGTAACCCCAGCCCTTCAAATGAGCCCTTATCTTTGCAGTATTGTACCCCTCCTCGCATCCCCTCTTCGTCACCCCAAATCTCGGGTGCAGATTTATCATCATTAGATTCTCCAAGTTGACGACATCACCCTTGCTCTCCTTAAATATTCCCCTCGACCACTACAGCCGTTCAGCTTCACGTCCTACAGTTCAACAAACCAACCCTGATAGGCCTCCGAATATCTCACTGGACTCGCCACCACGAAGTGAGGGCAACTTCTTTACTAACATGGAGTCTTCTGGTGGCGAGGGCATCGAGGATGTGATGAAGTCATTGACCGTGCACTCCCGTAAAGCAAGTAGCAGTTCCCTACGTGGTTGAACTCCAGTCACCTCTACTCGTCCATCACCATCTACTTCTCGTTCAGCATCAGAGTCTCGTAAACGACCATGTGATGTAGAAGCAGAGATGACGAAGAAGCTAGCTGATGCCTCCGACTCGCTCCTACTCCATGTGCAGGATAAATCGGACTCCAAAGCCTCAAACAAGCAGATGAAGTTCGAGTATGCTAAGTTTTCAAAAGAGTTAAAGGCCCATGAAGCTCATGCTGAGCATGAACATGACACACAAAGATTCATTGCTACTCACAGTCACGAACGTGCCATGTCCGAAGACAAGACAAGGCAACTGGAGTTGGAAATCTGACTTGAAGAAATCAAGTATCGTCTCATGGCTATGGAGCATGGTGTTGGTCCTGCTGCTGACGAGGCTGATTGATTTGTGTTTGTGCTTGCATCCATCCATTCATGTCTGTGTTTATGTTTGCCTTTGGTGCTTGTTGTTCTCGTTAATCACATTCTTGATACTTGCCGTGCTGTACTACTACTACATGTTATCTTTCAGACTTGTTCTTGATATACACTGCACCTAAACTCTGCTTTGAAGCAAACAACCCATCAATGTGTTCCGGAAAATTTGCCCCTCCGTTCCAATAAAACCCTCATCACCATCACCTTCCTCCTCATCCTCCTTGTCTACACCTCCATTCTCTTGCGTCTGCGACTCTTTGCGAAAATATGGATTGGTGCTTTTCTTTCCTGACTTCTCCTCAATCTCGATAATGAGATTGTGAAGGATGAGACAACAATGTGTCCACATGTTTGTGTAGTTGAGGTCTTTCTGTGACTGTATCTGAAATCTTAGCTCACGAAGTGACTGGAACCGTCCTTTGAGAGATCCATAACAGTGTTCTGAACGAACACGAACCTTCACTTTAGGTATGAGTCCATATACAAGTTTCAGTATAATTGATGACTTACTTTCGACAGGTGCATGTTGAATTTTTTTTGATCGGGCCTCAGACCACCAGCTGGGGGACGTTTGAAGGGGATGACACACCACATACGTGATGCATAAGCTGAATCGGCCCAAATCCACTCATCTGCTCCCAAAAAACTCTCAGGGTGTCATGCAATTCGTGTCCTTGAGAATGTGTTAGCGTCGTGGAGACTTCCTGGGACTCCAATTACATAGTCGACAATACGAAGGTTGTGAGGCATAATCACAATCTAATGTAAGGTTAGTATGTTTTTTTTTGATGTTTTCTTGATCACTTACCTGTGCCGACAGTGAGTAATTTGATTTTCGGTCAAAAAAACCTTCTCCATGCCATCCTGGCTTCTGGAAAATGTTGAAGGGTGTGCCGTCAACACACAAAAATCCTCCGCGCCACTCTGGACATGTATGTTCCTCAACCCAGTCCTTTGCACAATCAATCTCAATTTGATCTTTAGCCTCTAGGGGGTTGAAGTGAATAATGTTGTCGTGGTGCTGCAGAATTGCAACCATGACACGTTGATAACAGTTGTACACTGTTCCGACTGAGACCCCTGCCCAGTCAGCCATATCTTTGGCTGTTCCTGCATTTCCATAGTGGCCTGCAGCATTCAAAAAAACCGCGAGCTGAACAGGAACAGGTAACTGTGGATTGTTGGAATTATTGTAGAAAACTGAATGGTGGATGATTTTATTGACGAGTTCAACGAAAACGTTGGGATCAACTCGGAGTTTGTGATGGAACTTCTGCGGATTTTCCAATCTCCACTCTTCGAGTAGATGGAGCTGTGGTGCATGGGTTGCTGGGGGCCGAGAAATGAGAGTACGTGCTTTTGTAACTTCATCTTCGAGTGCTTGTATAGTGTTACTGAACTCGATGAAGACTCGGCTACTGAACACAGGCCCAGAGGCATCTGTAGAATCGGAGGATGGTATTTCATCCCAGATGGAGTCGAGGGACATCCAGGTATCAAATGAGTTGGTAGAACTTATGGAGGAAATGGATTCCATGCTGATGTTTGATGATATATCAGAATCGGATGAATTATCAGAGCTTGGCTCCGAGTCTCCCTCGTTATTGGAGTCAGACTCGCAGGTGACATCAGATGAGTCATCATCTATTAACATATCTATTAGCTCAAGGTATCGAGCAAGCTGCATGCTCTGGTTAGTGTCCCGGAGGGCCTGCAGTACCCGTTTACGTTCTGAGATGTGCATCAGGACAGAGAGTGGAGGATCAAGCTATAGGCTTATCGATCATCTATTCCGCGACACTGAAGAATTCTATAATTGGGTTGATTACTAACATGAATGATTCACGCGGAGCTTGAATATGGCTGCAATGTTCGAAGCAGATACCTGCAAGATACCTGACTCTGAAACCCATTAGAATGTCACAGCTGAAACCGTGGCAAACTTCGAACCTCCTGCCTTTTATCAGAACCCAAATGCATTGACCCGTTTCACCTGACTCCATAGATAGCGAAGCCTGTAGTTTTATTCCCACATTTCAACCCGCCTCTTGTTGGCACGTGATGGCACGTTTGTATGTGTTGGACTGGCACAGATCCGGGCTTTACCCTGCATGGTTCGAGTATGCCAGCATGCGCTGTGACGTGCATTTCAAGTCACGTATATCTTCTGATTCTCTTTATCTCTCACACCATTTCCAGTGAGTCGTTCCCTGGCAGAGAGCAGTTATAAGACAACCCAGCCTTTCACTCCAGGTCGCACACGAAAGCTCATAGCGGAGTACCAGAGCAACATTGGGTGGGCACTTCACATCGGTGCTTTTATCGTGTAGTACTTGACGTGTGCGCTAATACCAAATGCCATAACGTGCAAGTCAGCATCGTGCACTGTGCTAACTTGACCATACCAGTCCACGGTCATGTGGGTTTCGCCTTCAGGACTGAGCAGTCTCGTCATTGAAAAAGGTGCCCTGCGCGTGTGTTATGACGATCTAATGCATCAAGGGAGATTGTTGGTTCATTAACTCGGAAGAAGCAGGATTTGCTCAGACTCATTTTTCGGTAGGGTAAGAATCACCATCCTCTCCTTGTCGAGTACAATATCTCAAACATGGGCATTTGAAACCTTGTTTGTGGACCACCTCCACGAAAGGGAGGTAAGTTGAAATCTGCACGTCTGACTCAAGAGCTGTTATTGTAGGTTCCCGAACGACCTTGCCGACACCACGCGCCACAGCGGAGGGATTGAAGTCGGTCATAAAGTTTCGCTGAAAAAGCTTGTCAGAATTAATGTATCGTAGATGAGTCGTAGAACAGCCTAAGTGATCAGCTTCTACAGTACAGAGTGGAACCAAGCTGGACCGACATAAGGCAATAGACAAGCGTAGCAGAACAAGTAGGGAATACAATACAATGGAAGAGCTATAGATAACTAGATGAGATGATGGAAAATGTCAATGGTGTTCCAGAACGTTTCTTCCCTATAGTTGATTATTTTCGATAGAGATACAACCAATCCAGAGCCAGAACCGCGTCCAGCATCCAGCTCGACGTATGGTGATGTCAAGATGTGAGGTTCCAGGCACCGCCGTGGTAGTGGAGACTGTAGTAATTGCAGCTGATGGCGTGGCTTGCTGTGACGACGATGGTGGGGGTGTGCTCTGGGTTGCTTCGCCAGTAGGTTGTTGCATGACATGGATCTTGGGAGGTCGAGAGGAGCTGGCTGCTTTCTTCCCTCTTGCATGATAGTCCCTCTGCATGGAAACGTGTCAGTGACTAAGAAGCATAGAGGTGGAAAAAAGCGTACAGGCTTGCCCGCGGTGAACGGGACGTCAACTACCGGTAGTTCTCGCAATTGGATGTTCGATCCATCTTGTCTGCGTTGCCTGCCGGACATGATGTTTTTAGCCCAGCTACGAGGGTGTGATCTGGACGGGGTGTCCTGTTCGGTTGCTCCGCGTGAATTGGAGCGCCGGCGCCAGAAGGAAGGTAAGCGACCGAGGAGAGTTCGTTGATTTGGTGTGGTGGCATTTCGTCCTCGGGAGGTAGAGAACTAATAAGATAATGGTCAAAGGAGACATTATATTACAGATGGAAATCACGTACATCATCGAAAAACCCTGGGGATAGTCGACTCGGACGAGTGCCTTCGATTTTCGAAGGTCGCGGTCGTGTAGCATCAGCCTAGTATGTAGATATTCAAGGCCGTGCAAAAGGTCAAGAGGCACATAGCATACATTAATGTTAAATGGCTTCTTGATTGTTTTCTGCGATGAATGAAGATGAGTGAGAAAGGCTGTTGAAGAGACATGATGCAACATACCACCTGAAAGGACGACCCATTATCAGCATGATTGAGGATGAAATGTACACAAGCTTACATTGTCTGATAGAAGGTGGTCGAGGCCAGCTTCCTTGATGACACCAGAGACATCCCATTTGTATATGTCCTTGTCATCGCAGCCAGTGACGAGCAACCTTCCATCCACAGAAAAGGTCACACACCTCACCCAGTCTTCATGGTAGAAGGGTTGTCCGATGGGCTGATTGGTTTCTAGGTTCCATAGTCGCGCTGTCCTGTCATATGATACGCTTGCAAGGATGCGTTCATTCGGAGACAGTGGAATATCACCGACATGATAACCTATGTGTCCCTCCAGAACAGCGGTTTCGGTCCAGGTGGCGGTGTCGAATTTCCTAATTTGATGGGATGACCCGGTGATAAGTGTCTTTCCGTCCGAGATCCATGCCAGGGACCAAACTCCGAAGTCGAGTGTTTTGAGCAATTCGCCTGTGTTGGCATCCCAGACTTTCAGCTTGTCAGTGCCCGTCGCGATCATCGTACCATCGGGTGAGTAGCAAACCGCCGACACGTAGCTGCCTTTCGCTGCCTCGATTGGTCCGAGGATTATCTTTCCGCTCTCGACGTCCCATACTATGAATGTCCCACCATAGCACCCGTTCACCACTCGCCCTCCATCTGGACTCCAGCACACAGACCGCACTTCCTTTGTGTGCCTCAATTTTTTGATGACCTTGCCTGTGTCAATTTCCCACAATCTCACTGTATCCTCACTCCCACTTGCTACTGTCTTGCAGTCCGGCGAAAGTGCTATGCGACTCACACTTCTACTTCTTTCGTTCATCCAGGCCTTCCCGACCTGCATACCGCTCTCCAAGTCCCAGACTCGAAGTGTGCCGTCGAATGAAGAGGTGATAATCCGCCGGTTATCGGGCAGCCGTAGGACGCCAAAGACGGAGTCGGTGTGTCCTTGCATCCTTTGGAGAGGCTTGGTCACTGATTTCTCTTGCTTTTCAGGGACTCGTGAAGACATGCTATTGGTTCGGAAACTTCACCTAATAGGAGCGGGACAATTTCAGCTCTCGCCCACCAAACGAACGCCATCACTCACTCAGAGGTACTTGGTTTTACACAGAACACACCCGTCCAGGACGAATGAAAGCTGAAAATAAATGGACCTATTGTTTGATGCTCGGTAGAGCTAGAGGGAGGTTGCTGTTCAAGTCATGTACGTGTGCGTCTTCCTTGCTTTGTCCTCATGTTCGCTTCACAGCTTGCTGTGCAGATCAAGCGCCCGAGTCACGTTGTCTGACAACCACCTTCTTAATCGACATCGACATCTCAGCATCACATCTGGTAGTTCTGTTATCAAGCGAGCCCGCATTTCTATCATTCTTCACCCACCCTTATCTCCATCGCCGGCAAGAAATATCTCTGAGACTCGGAGACGTCCATCCAACTCCACCGCATTGTTTTCTCTAGCATGTGTCTCGCAAATTATCTCAGCAAGCAGTTCCCGTATCTCTGCAAACGTCCCCCGCTTGACAACCATTTGCCAGTATCGATACCTCAATGACTCGATCGTCAAGCAAGGGGCGCACTAGTACTACTTGTATTCTCGAACATGTTTTTCTCGCGCGAATCAGGTATGTGCTCCGCATCATGAGCTCAGGCCATGTCTCACCATAGCATGAAGAAGACGCCGTCAACTTTAGACTGCATACTGGACTTCAGGAACCTGTCAAGCGCTATCCTTATCCGAGGGTCTATGTGCTACTGAAGAAGACTCTTCCCCTTCCTCGCTTCTGCGCGCGGAGCGGCAGTGCCTTCTCCATGTGCGCAGACTTCCTCCTTTCCGAATCTGCGCTACAGATTGGATCATCACTGATTTACTGCTCTCGCTTCTCTCACATATCGGATGTGATTGTCCGATATTGAGGCTAGGGGCTGTCGTTGTGATTGTGGTAACTATACTTACTCGAGGCGTCCTGTAGCCTCAACGTGTCGACTTCGAATGGTGATGTTTGCCCCTTTCAACAGTGCGATCAAGCTACCGTGCGCTGACTCGCGTAAATTGCAGCTGATCAAGTTCTGAACACAGCCACGTGCAGTCTTCCTAGTCTAGTACCACCGTTTGCTACGCATTGTATCTACTTTTCTATCCGCAAATTCGCGTTTCATCGCAAATGCTATGGCTGACCCCGCTTGAGCTGCCAGGACTAACACTTGAAAACGCTTACAACATTAACACTTGCAGCTTTCTCCTCAAGACATTCTCGCATTGGCATTGGCACCTCTACAAGACGGCCGCTTTGAGGCTTACCGTACCTGTCACACTCGACATGTCTGCCACATCGAGCTACTTGCAGAAACTCGTATACTACTAGTATACTACTCCACTGAAACACCTGAGCTCGTACAGCAGGTGCGGGAACACCATGCTATCGATACGAATGAAAGGAACGACAAGGACACCTTCCATTTTGCAGTCTAGGTGCGTTGCTCATCCTGAGCTTCCACTAAGTAGCCAACCTAAATTCCGTGCAGGGTGAATCAGCTGTCAACGTCCCAAAGACGCACAGTTGTTAATTCGTACCTCGCCTTTGTAGGTATTTTTCCACCCAGTTGCGATCCGAAACGGCTTCCGTCACCAGTCAAACCTCACACCTATCACACGGCTCCCGCAGTGGCACAGTGACCACGCACAGCAAGCCGGGCTTGACTGGCAGCGCGACACTAAGGCGCTCAACACCAACCCGTTCGAATGTCGAGGTGCAATATCGCATCACTGAAGGCCATCCGCTAGCAAGCAATCATGGAGAACTTGGAACACGTGCTCGACTATCGGCAGGTGTTTGGGCGAGTGACTGCGTTTCAGTGAGTAGTCTATCGCCCCTTGGTCCGTTACCAAGTGGCACCCCGACTAGGACCCCGAAAAACCACGGAGTCTAGTACTGCGCTCACCAGCGTTCTAGGCGTTATTGACGCCACTCACGCCCTTGCTACCTCACAAAATACCCCTGTACAAGTCCTAACGGCCCCACTGTCGACTTCAGCGTCAATGGCCGCCGTAAAGAAGCGTCCAGCACCCACGGGAACTGGCATTTCAAATGACCGGGCTCCCACCCCAACTAACAAAATTAGACTATCTCATCGCAACACAGTCTCCTTGATGCTGCCAAAGGATGAAATAATGCAACAAGACTACGAAGTCAAGGATAAAGAAAGCAGTACCACGTTTCTAGAGAAGTCCCCGTTTCGTCAAATAGGCGAAACCATGTCAAACGAAAGCTTAATATTAACAATTCTCCATATTACCCAATACACAGGTATCCCACGCACTGTCATAGAAGGACTCAGAGCAGTAGCCATATTGCTGGAGGACGGCCTTAAAACCAGACAGGAGGCTACACCGACCACTCAGCAACTGACAGACTCTATCTCAGCCGCCATTTCAACCCAACTAGTACTGGACCTCTCGAACACGCTATCGTCTCACGTAATAGCGGCTATTTCACCTCAAATCGCGTCTATCTTAACGGCTTCCGAGACCCTCAAATCGAACGTCGACGAAATCGCGAAATTCAAAACAATCATAGAGGCAAACTCGAAGGAAGACAACACTTTTGCATCTGCGGCTGCAAACCGAGCGGAACTTGCGGCTGACGCCGTCCTAAGCAGTATCACTGATGTCAAAAGTGCTATAGAATCGCTAACTACTCCCCCTCCCAGCACAATTCAGTCGAAAACGACGAAGTCATACAGTGCGGCAGCTCAACACAACGCACAGACCTCGGCTCCCATCTCGGCAGCGATTACTCGCGCCTCCACAAGGGACCGACAAATCTTGTTCGATCCAACTCCAGGCAAAGCCCTATTCGCACCCGAAGTAACATCAGCAGACATAGCGACCAAAATGAAACAAGCGCTAACAACATCCGAATCGGACGACACACCCGATATTTTAATCAAGGCAATCACGCGCCTCAGAAACGGCGACCTCATAGTAGAACTCACAACCACAGAAGCCGCTACATGGATAAGAATTCCAGAAAATCGACTCAAGATCATCGCTGCACTCGGAATACCTGCAACCATCAAAGATAGGCGTTTCTCGGTTATCGTCCCATTATTACCTATTACTTCTAGTATCGAAGACTCGACTTGGTTATGTACAGTCGAAGAAGAAAACAACATGTCCCTAGGTGTCATCGAATCGGCTAACTGGATCAAGCCACGACAACGCAGGACACCGCAGCAACGAGTCGCACACGCAATCTTCCACTTCGCAGACCCCCACTCGGCCAACAATATTCTTCGGGACCAGGCCATGTTGTCAATATGATATATCATTTTACTCTCATTAGAATAAAGGCGTGATATATCAGGGCCTTTGGCTTAACACAGCTCACCCACAGCTAGTGTTGCCGTCGAACCAAGGTGACCTCGAGGTAACTTCGGTTCGGTTCGAAATTGAGGCAGTTCGATACAACTCGATTCGTTTACGCCTCGTTGTAGATAAGTATCGAATTAGGAACGAACTGCCAAATGAAATGCTAAATCTGGCCTGTGACTTGGTGATTCGTTAGAGTAGTACTCCAGCAACCTCACATCTCTAGCATTTTCTCAATGTACTCTGCTCCTCCGTTGTCCGTCCTCGAACCTTTTGGTATAGAACATCATTATACATATTTTCGTCGGACCGTAGTACTGCTTTAGCGCCGGAGGACAGGCGCCTGCAATGCTATACAATACAAATGTTGAGCAATCCTCAAGCGTGGTTAGGCAACGGATGTATAGGTCATCGTATAAATTCGTGCGTCGTACTGTGAGTTTAGTATTATATTCCCAAAACATGAGTTTTCACCAGTGGAACAGTTCTGCAGCTTCTGCTATCCCTTCGGCATCTCAGCAACAGCATCATCACCCTCACCCAGGCTATACAAGTCTGGCATGGTCCGCCGCTCATGCACGTCCACCATTTTACCCTCACTCACCATATGGGCTCCCAAACAACACTTCTGCATCTCCGTATCTCCCACATCCATTGCCTGTCGCAAATGCATTGGCAAACATGCATCACTTTGTGCAAGGCCCTTATTCACCAGCTGCAGCAAGCTTTACACCGTCAAATCCATTTGCCGACATCACTCCTACGGCTGTCAATAATACCGCTCCAACTACTACTGCGATAAAACGCAAAACGCGGCTGCGACAGGACCGAAATCCTGCGCGAAGAAACACAAGAACGACGACACGACTTCAAACATTCAAACAGCAACTGTATGTGGTGTTGGCCCATCGACTGCGCCGACGCACACAGATACTACGGAGCTGCCTCCCCCTCCTTTGCATATATACACAGATCCTTCAATGACTGCACAAGGCAGCTCGAAGAGCTCGTCTACTCATGGTCGTCGTCAATACCGGGCATCGGTGACTGATGTCTGGCACTTTTTGATGATTGTAGCATCACTTGCATGCCCCGACGAGCTTCCCGACGTGAAACTTATACCACGCTTGATCTCAAACCCGAGTTGTGATTTTATAGCTTGCCGTTTTTGCATGTTTGTGTAAGTAGTCAAGACTGTCGTCCCTTAACCGTTACGCCAAAAGGCAGTGATAATGAAAGCTCATACTTCATTATCTCGGACAGTATTTATGTGACACGAAGGGCTGCAGAGCAATTGATAGTTACGGGGAAGTTCGACGAGCTTGCTGATCTATTACAAAACGTCGACGACGATAACGTAGAATGAAACATAGCCACTTCATATCTACTTCACTTTACAAACAATTCTCATTGGCTGGAGCGCGGACCGCTTGGCTATTCGTACTATACCTACATCCCTCACCCTGTTACAACACTCCCCAATTGGCTGGAGCTTCGAGCTGTATTCGTTACACTTCGGTTCGTTCCACCTCGACCATCGAACCTGGAACGAATTCCCACCTCGTTTCGATTCAGCTCAATTCGTGGCAACACTACCCACAGCCTGAGTGATATATCAATATACACAGCCGCATTTTTCGCATTTTTGAAACTCAGCTACTTTTCATTCCAGGATATATTCTACTATCGGTTACAGTCTATTCGTGATGAGCCTCCATTTCGTGAGTCACACTTTTGGGCATCGAAACGTGATGGCTTGTCACATGGTGTAACGGTATGTCACGAAATTCACTGCGAAAAAGCGTGACTCACGAACGACGGTCCATCACGAATAGATCGTAAGGGATAGTATATTTAGTGGAGTATGTTATGACCGCAATTTTGGCTTCCAAAAGCGGAAATTCACAAAACATATCCCATTTTGGTCACCTCCTCATGTCAGGCCTCCCCACATTATTCCCACACATCACATGTTCGCATTTTTCAGCCACACAGTGTGGGAATTACCCCACAACACCAAAAACATCGCCACATATGGTATACCCCACAATTATAATTATTCCCACACCCTCCCCAGCTCATTGCAGCTTCACCACCACACCACAATAGGTCCCCCTTTATATATAAGTAGTAGTTTGGCATATATGTGTATAATATAATATTATAGATCACTTTTTTGTTTGTTTGTATACCTGCTCCTCCTCCAGGGCCCTTTCAAAATAGCCTAGGGTGTAGAACAGTTTCGCATTTTTGCCCCTTTGATAGGGAGGTGTTTAATTATATCCAGGACATATTTAGGAGTGTATATGAAGAGATTCCCCCACTTGTTTGACCCCCTGAAGTGGCCTACATCAATAGATATAGCATATATACAGGAAAACACAAAATATGTTCCCATATATTTATTTCTAGGTGGATATACTTGAAAACTGTATACCCAGCATCTATTCAACAGTATGAACAATGTATCAGGATTCCAGGACCATAGGACAAGACCCTGTGGTGCAGTATACCTACCCTCTCCTGGTGGTGTACCCCCTGTGAAAAATTTTCCTGTAGGACCGGACCTTAATTGAGCTAGGGGGTCTATTTCTATGTATATTTGGAGTGGATCTATCATATAGCTGGTCCAGCACACAGATAGGATTCTGCTACAGGAACAAAAAACATAGAAAATCGCATTTTTGACACTTTTGATGTTTTTAAGTCCCTTACACTTGCATAAATGACCAGCCCTACATAGGGCACAAATGTGATATCTGATATACAGGGGGTATTTTGACTGATAAGAAGCCTACATCATAATCAAGCCTGTGATAAGTAATCTAATATCTGGGATACCTCCCATATATGTCCCTGATTATATATTCGAAGTTTTAGAGAGATCCATGAAGGATCGACTGAATGACAAGTAAAATGACATATGTGTGAAAAGTGGGAACTGACATCTTTTCACACAAAGTTACATTTATATATGGTACAGCTCAAATAACAGTCCCAAGAACCAAACAGAGCCTTAAAAGTGGCGAAACAGCGGCCTGTGGTGACCAGTGGCCAATGTTTTTATATTCTGGGTATGTTTATGATCCCGAACTTCCATGGCAGGGTCTATTGAAGAGCGAGATTCTCATCTGCATAAGTTCACTATTAGCGGTAAAATTTTCGTTTAATGCCATTTTCCTTGACAGGGTTTCAAACACGTCTTTACTTCTCCAAGCTCCGTGGAAAAAGAGCCAAAAGCTATGCACTCTGGTAATGCATACCTCCATGGCATGAAGTCTGTGACAAAAGGTTCTCTGGCCTACATTGCCACGCAGGTGCGTTAAAATTGGTTATGGTACCCCCTACTAATTGTTCCTCCAGGTTCGGTTTTCATTGAGCTCCTCCTCTGTATTTTCTTGCACGGACATGGTCACGGACTCGGAAAATTTTTATCATAGTATTCTTGACCTGTTAGAAGATCCGGATGAAAGCGAGGAAGTAGCTGACCTGATGACATGGTGGACACGGTTCGCAATATATTTCTTTATATTCGAGCTCGTATACATTAACACTTAACAGTCGAATTTTTCCTAACTCCTCCACTTCACAACAAACCATTAGCAAAAACAGCGTGCTATCCAAAATTCAGGAAAAACGTGCTGCCCTTCATGCATGGCTCGATGCTAGCGCTAATTAATTTGTTGTCTCATGATGTTTGATGCTGTTGTGTATGCCTCATAGTCAATAGATCACTAATGCAATTGATGAATGCTATCCATAAAGTGTAACACAGCATGATAAATTATTCTGTTAGAGTTTGTAGGTATCAACAACTTGCTATAGTGAGATTATCACACCCTGAAAAACTGTTATTGATGGTGTATTCTGCCATGAGAAGCGATCCTCGTAAGGGTATGTATGTTTGACAAGATATCAGCAGTTTGCTACAGTAAGTTAACTTGGTGTCTCATCTTGACATGCTGTCATTAGTTTCACCATCACAAGCCATCTGTGTAAGACTATGTAGATTTGACATATCATCAACACCTTGCTACAGCATGATAGCTCAGTGTCGTACATCAGCACATTGTCAGTGATGGCAGAAACTGCCATTGGAACCTACCTATCCAAAGCTAGATACATTTTGCAGAAACAGATCAGCTTGCTACAGCATGATAGCTCGGTGTCGCACATCAGCACATTGTCGGTGATGGCAGAAACTGCCATTGAAACCTGCCTATCCAAAGCTAGATACATTTTGCAGAAACAGATCAGCTTGCTACAGCATGATAGCTCGGTGTCGCACATCAGCACACTGTTGGTGATGGCAGAAACTGCCATTGAACCTGCATTGGAACCTACCTATCCAAAGCCAGACACATTTTGCAGAAACCCAAAAGTGTGTTAGTAGATCACACCTTGCTGCCATAGGTCCATCAGTATCATAGCTTTGGTAGATCCCACCAGTGTAGTCTGCCTATCTATTCCTTTATCATGACATCTGTAATTGTGATAATTATTTTTTATATTGTGCATTAGGTAAAGTTAGCTAAAACTCTGCCATTCTTCAGTCAAATGCCTGATGTTCTACATCTCTCCTTGTTCCTTGTCCTGATCGGTTTCCAACAATTACCTAATCGACTCTGCTGAGATTTGTACCGCGCTTCGCCTCTTGACCACCTCAGTATTGTTCTTACAACTCTACTGAGGTGTTTACTGTGTCCATCGTATTACACCGTCTTGTATTGACTTATGCACTAGCCTTTGTCTAGGTACAGAATAATAGTATTGTTCTTACCAGAGCCAGAATCGTGTCCAGCATCTAACCCGACATATGGTGATATCAAGGTGCGGTTGTGATATGAGCATGTCGAGTGCGTTTGCAGGATTGACTTGATCGATGGTGCTTCAGGAGGCATTGTGGATGAAGTGGTTTGTTGGGAAGAAAAACCAAAGTTGAATCATTTGCTCCAGAGTGGTAGAGATCATCTATCTTGCCATTGACAGGACCTGTACGTAGACTCAGTAAACCGACTCAGGAGTAGTTTCGCACATACTGCAGTCACTTTACCCTTGATACTAACAGCCAGCTGAGGATGAAAATTCCCTGTTCCAAACAGGCCAGCTGATGTGGGCCCATCAATGTACTGTTCTGTTAAATACAGGTGGGCCGACGTCAAGTGTTTATCTGATACCAACAGGTGGGCCCATAGTATGTGGTATAGGAAATAAGTGTACACTTTTCTATTGAATTTGGTAGATAGTGTGGTTGTTAGTATATGAAATATGTACCTGATACAAACAGGTGGGCCTATGGTATGCTGGTGTAGGGTGTAATAGATAAGCATAGATATTTCTATTGATTTTGGTTGATAGTGTATGGTAGGTAGTGTATGAAATATGTACCTGATACAAACAGGTGGGCCGGTCAAGGTGTGTTTGTGATACCAACAGGTGGGCCGAGTAGGTCAGGGATCTGATATATCAGATGGGCCAAGGATACTGGTCAGTCAATGGGGGTCAGTCGGTCAATGGGGGTCGGTCAATGGGGGTCGGTAGGTCAATTTGGTAGGTCAATGGGGGTAGGTTAATGGGGGTCAGTAGGTCATTGGGTCGGTCAGTCAATGGGGGTCGGTCGGTCAATGGGTTGGTAAGTCAATGGGTTGGTCGGTCAATGGGTCAGTCGGTCACAAAAACATTGGTTGAGATATGACTGAAGTCAAAAACATCGGTCAAGATATGGCTGAAATTGAAAAAATTGGCCGAGGTATGACTGAAATGGCTGAGGTATGACCGAAATCGAAAACATCAGTCAAGATATGGCCGAAATTGAAAACATTGGCCGAGACATGATTGAAATGGCCAAGATATGACTGAAGTCAAAAACATTGGTTGAGATATGGCTGAAATTGAACACATCGGCTGAGGCATGACTAAAATCAAAAACATTGGTCGGGATATGACTGAAGTCAAAAACATCGGTCAAGATATGGCCAAAATCCAAAACATTGGCCAAGACATGATTGAAATGGCTGAGATATGACTGAAGTCAAAAACATCGGTCGGGATATGACTGACCAAAATCCAAAACATTGGCCGAGGCATGACTGAAATGGCCGAGATATGACAAAAATCAAAAACATCGGTCGGGATATGGCCAAAATCAAAAACATTGGTCGTGATATGACTGAAATCAAAAATATCGGTCTAGATATGGCCGGGATTGAAAACATCGGCCGAGGTATGACTGAAATGGCCGAGATATGTCCAAAATCAAACACATCAGTCAAGATATGACTGAAATCAAAAAACATCGGTCAATATATGGCCAAAATCCAAAACATCGGCCGAGGCATGATTGAAACAGCCGAGATATGACCAAAATCAAAAAGATCGGTCGAGATATGGCCAAGATATGACTGAAATCCATTCCTAAGCTTATTTGGAGTGTATATATTATATAGCCAGCCCAGGACACACATAGGATCCTTCTACAGGAACACAATGATAGAAAATCGCATTTTTGGCATTTTTGATGTTTTTCAGCATCTTACCCTTGCACATCTGATCAACCCTGTTCATATATCATGAGAATAGTATATATACCTCCTTTCATGATGAAGATCAGTTCAAAATAGGTTGTTGGTTTGAGATACTGCATATGCTTGCTATTTCTACTGATAAGAGATCAATACCTTCAAATCATCAAAATTTAATAATCAGAAACTTGGAGTACATTCACAATATATTCAGTATCATATGTATAAATTTACAGAACAATCCAACAAGAATTGAATGCTGAGGAAGTGAAATAGATAAGAAATTGAGTGTGAGAAAGCTCAAGGACCCAAAACATCGAAAATGGTCAGTTGAGCAATAGTAGGGCTTTAATGCTAGGTCAACACACATTTACACTACATCCCTTCCACTCACCCCCTACCCTCAGGGCAGTAGGTAGTATGGGTTCCTTAGGTAGTTTATGGTCTATCCTACATATTTTTAATGAAATCTTCAACTTGAATTATATATAAATGTGACTTTGTGCAGTTGCCTACCTGTTGCAAAAACCAAAAGACCACTCCAGGATCAATTTCAACTGATCATTTTGGACCCAGTTGCCTTCAAATGGGTAGTACTCATCTAGGCGAACACCTTGGTGGTCTAATCTTCAACAATGGTTCAGATCTGAGAAAGTTATGAGCCATAATTCAGATTTCAGTCACATCTCAGCCAGCCGATGTCTTGCATTTATTTAGCTTATATCTCGGTCAGATGATAACCGATTGACATAATAAGACTATGGATATGACCGCCTTTACTGGGGCTACAACTGTTGTTAACAATGTGAAGCATAAAAACAACTTTCGGCCAGCCGATATTTTGGATCTCGGTCATACTACTTAGATCTTGACCGATGTTTCTGACTTCAGTCATGTCTCGGCTGATGTTTTTGATTTTGGTCATATCCCAACCGATGTTTTTGACTTCAGTCATATCTCGGCCATTTCAATCATGTCTCGGCCGATGTTTTGGATTTTTGTCATACTTGGGCCGTTTCAGTCATGCCTCGGCTGATGTTTTCAATCTCGGCCATATCTAGACCGATGTTTTTGATTTTTTTTCATACTTTGGCCATTTCAGTCATGCCTTGGCCGATGTTTTCAATCTCGGCCATATCTAGACCGATGTTTTTGATTTTTGTCATATCTCGGCCATTTCAGTCATGCCTTGGCCGATGTTTTGGATTTTGGCCATATCTTTACCAATGTTTTTGACTTCAGTCATATCCTGGCCGATGTTTTGGATTTCGGTCATATCCCGACCGATGTTTTTCATTTTTGTCATTATCTGTTGCCATCGGCCCATCTGATAGCATCAGGTATTCATTGCCATCGGCCCATTTGATGTTATCAGCTGCTATCGGCCAACCTGATTGCATCAGTCACCACATTCTATTGGCCCATCTGATAACATCGGGAATTTGTTGCCATCAGCCCATTTGATGGTATCAGCTCCTATTGGCCCACCTGATTACATCGGCCAACACATTCTCTCGGCCCACACAATAGTATCGGGAATTCATTGCCATCGGCTCATTTGATAGTATCAGCTCCTATTGGCCCACCTGATTGCATCAGCCAACACATGCTGTCAGCCCATCTGATTGCATCAGGCATTCACTTCCATCAGCCCACATGATGGCATCAGATATTCATTTTCATCGGTCAGCCCATACGATGGCTTCACACCCATCATCGGCCAACTGGTACATACAGCTGCTATATTCCACATCGGCCCAGCTGATAACATCACACACTCCACCATTTTTCCCTGGCCATCGGCCGACATGATAATATCAAGTATCACTACATATGGGCCCACCTGTTAAAATCGACTCCCATTGAGACCACTGGCCGAATGTTAGACACAGGAAAATATTTTCGGTTGGCCTGAGGTCCGCTGGCCTGTTTGGAACAGGGAATTTTCACCCTTGGCTGCCTGTTTTATACAGGGTATGTGACTGAATGGGCTCAGTTTCGAAATACAAAGGATTGAAGAAGGAGATCATGGTGGTGGGAGCCGGAAAAGTACTTATTACTGAGGCATTTTCACAGGGGTGTGGGAATTCGGTGCCTTCGGTTCTTGGACTTACTAAGTGACGTACTTTCAGGAATCAGAATAGGGATGTTCAAAGTTGGGCGCCCAACACCCAACACCCAATGCCCAACGCCCAACCTCATGACCAGAATGAGTATACCTAGAATAAATAGAAGTAAATACCGAGTAAAGTCACCCAAGCCTACATGATGAGATAAGCTACTTACCTAAACCTTGTCGCGCGAAGCGCCGAAACCTTCGCCAAACATCTCCCCCTAATCCTCAGCATTTCTAAACCTTTTCATACTTTTCTCGTACCTAAACCTCGCTGTTCCTAAACCTTTTCATACTCTTCTCTTACCTAAACCTCACCGTTCCTAGCCCTCACCACAACCTTGTCATATATTTGATTGTAGCAACATGTAGCTGCATGTTTTTTTTTCCCAATTTCATTGGAATTCCACAAGGAAAAATTATGTCTGAGCCTCAAAAACAACTCAAATAGTCTGCTGAAGGTTAGGAAAGGATTAGGAATAAAAAGTGAAAGGTCTCCTAAGGCACACAAAGGTTTAGGTACAAAAAAAAAGACTTTAAAAAGGTAGGGGTATGGAAAGGTTTAGGAACAGCGAGGTTTAGGTACGAGAAGAGTATGAAAAGGTTTAGAAATGCTGAGGATTAGGGGGAGATGTTTGGCGAAGGTTTCGGCGCTTCGCGCGACAAGGTTTAGGTAAGTAGCTTATCTCATCATGTAGGCTTGGGTGACTTTACTCGGTATTTACTTCTATTTATTCTAGGTATACTCATTCTGGTCACGAGGTTGGGTGTTGGGCATTGGGTGTTGGGCGTTGGGCGACCAACTTTGAACGTCCCTAATGTCACCCTCCTCCTGCCTTTTATCAGAACCCAAACGTGACCCGTTTCCCACCAAGTGACCTGACTGCATCGATAGCGAAGCCTGTAGTTTTATTCCCACATTTCAACCCGCCTCTTGTTGGCACGCGACAGCGTTTGTACTGGCACAGATCTGGGTTTTACCCTGCGTGGTTCGCGTGCATTTCAAGTCACGTATATCTTCTGATTCCCTTTATCTCTCACACCATTTCCAGTGAGTCGTTCCCTGGCAGAGAGCAGTTATAAGACAACCCAGCCTTCCACTCCAGGTCGCACACGAAAGCTCATAGCGGAGTACTAGAGCAACATTGGGTGGGCACTTCACATCGGTGCTTTTATCGTGTAGTACTTGACGTGTGCACTAATACCAAATGCCATGACGTGTAAGTCAGCATCGTGCACTGTGCTAACTTGACCATACCAGTCCACGGTCATGTGGGTTTCGCCTTCAGGACTGAGCAGTCTCGTCATTGAAAAAAGTGCTCTGCGCGTGTGTTATGACGATCTAATACATCGAGGGAGATCGTTGGTTCATTAACTCGGAAGGAGCGGGATTTACTCAGGCTCATTTTTCGGTAGGGTAAGAATCACCATCCTCTCCTGGTCGAGTACAATATCTCAAACATGGGCATTTGAAACCTTGTTCGTGGACCACCTCCACGAAAGGGAGGTAAGTTAAATCTGCACGTCTGACTCGAGACCTGTTATCGTAGGTTCCCGAATGACCTTGCCGACGCCACGCACCACAGCAGAGGGATTGAATTCGGTCATAATGTTTCGCTGAAAAAGCTCGTCAGAATTAATGTATCATAGAAGAGTCGTAGAAGAGCCTAAGTGATCAGCTTCTACAGTACAGAGTGGAACCAAGCTCGACCGACATAAGGCAATAGACAAGCGGAGCAGAACAAGTAGAGAATACAGTACAATGATGGAGGGTAGAAGAGCTATATATAACTAGATGAGATGATGAAAAATGTCAATGGTGTTCCAGAACGTTTCTTCCCTATAGTTGATTATTTTCGATAGAGATACAACCAATCCAGAGCCAGAACCGCGTCCAGCATCCAGCTCGACGTATGGTGATATCAAGGTGCGAGGTTCCAGTCGCCGCCGTGGTAGTGGAGACTGTAGGAATTGCAGCTGATGTCGTGGCTTGCTGTGATGAGGATGGTGGGGGTGTGCTCTGGGTTGCTCCGCCAGTAGGTTGCTGCATGACATGGATTTTGGGAGGTCGAGAGGAGCTGGCTGCTTTCTTCCCTCTTGCATGATATATCCTCTGCGTGAAAACGTGTCAGTGATAAAAAGAATAGAGGTAGAAAAAAGCGTACAGGCGCGCCTGGGGCGCACGGGACGTCAACTACTACCGGTAGCTCTCGCAACTGGATGTTCGATCCATCTTGTCTGGTTTGTCTGCCGGACGTGATGTTTTTAGCCCAGCTACGAGGGTGGGATCTGGGCGGGGTGTCGTGGTCGGTTGCTGCGCGTGAATTGGAGCGCCGGCGCCAGAGGGAAGGTAAGCGACCGAGGAGTGTGTGTTGATTTGGTGTTGTCGTGACACTTCGTCCTCGGGAGGTAGAGAACTAATAAGATAATGGTCAAAGGAGATCTTAGATTGGAGATGGAGATCACATACGTCGTCGAAAAACCCTGGGGGTCGTCGACTCGGACGAGTGCCTTCGATTTTCGAAGGCCGCGGTCGTGTAGCATTAGCCTAGTATGTAGATATTCAAGGCCGTGAAAAAGGTCAAGAGACACATAACATACATTAATGTCAAATGGCTTCTTGATTGTTTTTTGCGATGAATGAAGATATGAGAAAGGCTGTTGAAGAGACATGATGCAACATACCACCTGAAAGGATCACCCGTTGTCAGTGTGATTGAGGATGAAATGCACACAAGCTTACATTGTCTGATAGAAGGTGACCCAGGCCAGCTTCCTTGACAATAGCAGAGACATCCCATTTGTATATGTTGTTGTCATTGCAGCCAGTGAGGAGCAACCTTCCATCCACAGAAAAGGCTGCACACCTCACCATGTGTTCATGGTAGAAGGGTTGTCCGATGGGCTGATTGGTTTCTAAGTTCCATAGTCGCGCTGTCTTGTCAAATGATACGCTTGCGAGGATGCGTTCATTCGGAGACAGTGAAATAGCAGTGACAAAATGATTGTGTCCCTCCAGAACAGCAGTTTCGGTCCAGGTGGCGGTGTCAATTTTCCTGATTTGATAGCGTGGTGTGCCGGCGATATTGCGGTATGACCCGGCGATAAGTGTCTTTCCGTCCGAGATCCATGCCAGGCACCAAGTTCTGAAGTCGAATGTTTTGAGCAATTGCCCTGTGTTGGCATTCCAGACTTTCAGACGTTTCTCTATGCCCGAAACGCCCGTCGCAATATTGTACATCGGGTGAGTAGCAAACCGCCGACACATTGCGGCCTTCCGCGTCGGCCTTGATTGGTTCAAGGATCATCTTTCCGCTCTCGACGTCCCATACTCTGAATGTCCCAACCGTCGCACCCGCTCACCACTCGTCCTCCCATCTGGACTCCAGCACACAGACCACACTGTCTTTGTGTGCCCCGTCAATTTTTGATGACCTTGCCTGTGTCAATTTCCCACAATCTCACTGTACCATCCCCGCTCCCACTTGCTACTGTTTTGCCGTCCGGCGAAAGTGCTATGTCTGTCATTTGCTCACTTCGTTCGTCCGTCCAGTCCTTCCCGACCTGCATACCGCTCTCCAAGTCCCAGACTCGAAGTGTGCCGTCCAATGAACAGGTGATGATCCGCCGGTTATCGGGCAGCCGTAGGACGCCGAGGACCGAGCTGGTGTGTCCTTGCATCCTTTGGAGAGGCTTTGTCACTGATTTCTCTTGCTTTTCAGGGACTCGTGAAGACATGATATTGGTTCGGAAACTTCACCTAATAGGAGCGGGACAATTTCAGCTCTTGCCCACCAAACAAACGCCATCACTCACTCAGAGGTACTTGGTTTACACAGAACACACCCGCCCAGGACGAATGAAAGCTGAAAAGGAATGGACTTATTGTTTGATGCTCGCTAGAGCTAGAGGGAGGTTGCTGTTCAAGTCCTGTACATGTGCGTCTTCCTTGCTTTATCCTCTTGCGGCTTGCTGTGCCGATCAAGCGCACGACTCACGTTGTCTGACAACCAGTTTCTTCATCGAAATCGACATCTCAGCATCACATCTGGTAGTCTGCTATCAAGCGAGCCCGCATTTCTATCATTCTTCACCCACCCTTATCTCCATCGCCGGCAAGAAATATCTCTGAGACTCGGAGACGTCTATCCGACTCCATCGCGTTGTCTTCTATAGCACGTGTCTCGCAAATCATCTCAGCAAGCAGTTCCCGTATCTCTGCAAACGTCCCCGCTTGACAACCATTTGCCAGTATCGATACCTCAATGACTCGATCGTCAAGCAAGGGGCGCACTAGTACTACTTGTATTCTCGAACATGTTTTCTCGCGCGAATCAGGTATGTGCTCCGCATCATGAGCTCAGGCCATGTCTCACCATAGCATGAAGAAGACAGCCGTCAACTTTAGACTGCATACTGGACTTCAGGAACCTGTCAAGCGCTATCCTTATCCGAGGGTCTATGTGCTACTGAAGAAGACTCTTCCCCTTCCTCGCTTCTCCGCGCGGGGCGGCAGTGCCTTCTCCATGTGCGCAGACTTCCTCCTTTCCGAATCTGCGCCACAGATTAGATCATCACCGATTTACCGCTCTCGCTTCTCTCACATATCGGATGTGATTGTCCGATGTTGAGGCTAGGGGCTGTCGTTGCGATTGTGGTAACTATACTTACTAGAGCAGGCCTGCAGCCTCAACGTGCTGACTTCGAATGGTGATGTTTGCCACTTTCAACAGTGCCATCAAGCTACCGTGCGCTGACTCGCGTAAATTGCAGCTGATCAAGTTCTGAACACAGCCACGTGCAGTCTTCCTAGCTAGTACCACCGTTTGCCACGAACTATATCTAATTGTCTATCCGCACATTCGCGTCTCGTCGCAAATGCTATGGCCGACCCTACTTAAGCTATCAGGACTGAGCACTTAAAACGCTTACAACATTAACACTTGCAGCTTTCTCCTCAAGACATTCTTGCATTGGCATTGGCACCTCTACAAGACGGCCGCTTTAAGGCTTACCGTACCTGTCACACTCGACATGTCTGCCACATCGAGCTACTTGCAGAAACTCGTATACTACTAGTATACTACTCCATTGAAACACCTGAGCTCGTGCAGCAGGTGCGGGAACACCATGCTATCGATACGAATGAAAGGAACGACAAGGACACCTTCCATTTTGCAGTCTAGGTGCGTTGCTCATCCCGAGCTTCCACTAAGTAGCCAACCTAAATTCCGTGCAGGGTGAATCAGCTGTCAACGTCCCGAAGACGCACAGTTGTTAATTCGTACCTCGCCTTTGTAGGTATTTTCCACCCAGTTGCGATCCGAAACGGCTTCCGTCACCAGTCAAACCTCACACCTATCACACGGCTCCCGCAGTGGCACAGTGACCACGCACAGCAAGCCGGGCTTGACTGGCAGCGTGACACTAAGGAGCTCAACACCAACCCGTTCGATGTCGAGGTGCAATATTGCATCATGAAGGCCATCCGCTAGCAAGCAATCATGGAGAACTTGGAACACGTGCTCGACTACCGGCAGGTGTTTGGGTGAGTGACTGTGTTTCAGTGAGTAGTCCAATATTCCAGTGCAGAGATGGGTTCTTATAGACGTAAACTTGATAATGTCTCGTGGTATCAACATTGAACCTGGAGATCATCCAAATTACTGCAGGACGGGCGCGGATCAACGATGTGGTCGAAAAGCCTCTGCACACAACGAGTCTGTGCCAGGTGGAAATGCCACCAAGAGAGCACTATGGAGGTGAGCATTATTTCCACCCTCTCCGTTACACCTCAGCTACCTTATTGTAAGGATTTCCATACCTGTATCGTCGAAGTCTTATGCAGACACATGCTGTTCTATTTGTGAGGGAGTGCACACCTCTCTCGCCGGAGCACTTTGCTATGCAGCCACATCTCTGTTCTATTGTTCATGTTCCACCCACACATTGTCTTCGCTTGGTCGTACAAACACCATCAAGCAGGAATGCGCTACTCGGATCCTCAAGTATCTGTTCCTCTCGCGAATCAGGTACGTGTGCCGCATCTTGAACTCAGGACATGTCTCACCATAGCATAGGGGAAACAGCTTTGGCTCTCGACTGCTTACTTGACTTGAGGAGCTTGTCAAGTACCGTCCATGTCCGAGCAGCTCACATGCTGCTGAAGAAGATTCCGATGTTCGTTTTCCCTATGCTACCTTCTTCATGCGCAAAGAGTCTCTCCTGTCATAATCTGCGCCACCGCAGGTAACGGTCCCCATTCAGCTTCTCTTTCAGAAGCAAACCTTGGAGTTGTGGAACGCGCTAAAGACTGATGCCAACGAAATTTGCTTCTACGTTCTCGACAATAGGTAATTAAGAGGCCTCCAGTTCTGACGGATGGTATGTCTAGATGAGCTTCTCGCCTTCAATCTCCCAATAGTCCCAGATATTTGAAATGTCATCGCCATTGTCGCCAATTGTTGGTTTTGGCGCAGTATTTTAGCGGCTTTCATGAAACGAACATAGCTACCCTCCTTGCTGCAACCGAGCCACTTATGTTCCTCAAGACATGGGTAAGGTCACATTCTCAGCAGCACAGGGCATGTGGACGCCTATGAGCAAATTCTCAAGACAGGGGGCATCATAAGCCATGTTCCCGCTCAGTGCTTTCACTTGCTGGTATGTCCCTTTCGCTTTCGCCTCTGCGTACTCTCGGTGCAACTAACCTCAACTGTCCAACGCTTCCACTGCGCAATTTTGCTTATCAAGAGGAATATTGTGCTCGTCTGTAGGACATTGCAATTTTTTTTATCGGAGTGCCGTTGTCTTCGACTGAAGATCTTCCGGAGATGCCTGTTCCGCTCACGTAGAGTAGTGGACGATGTCATGATTCGAGACGAGTATTGCCAACATTATTAGACGGTTCTTACACTCGACGATCGTGACCTTGTCTACGCTTATGCTTCTTCATAACGGCTATCGGCAGTATTTTCAATCAACCATGATGGTACTGGCTGAATTCTGCGCTCATCAGTGCGTGCATTTGATTGTTTATTTAATCGGCGAAACCAGATTCCAGCCCGTCAGATCTTATAATGACAATACGAGACGAGACTGTTTCATCGAGTTTCAAGAGAGATACGAATCGCGCTGCTCGCTGTGAGTTTCTACAGCAAGCAAATTTGTGTTGTGTGCCCATCTCTTCACACTGTTGCATTTTGCCTATTCCGCCATCACTCGTTAACGTTTTTCATCATCCGCATTTCCTCTCCTTTAATTCCCTTTTCTTTACCTACATCCACTTTACATTTTCCTCAATTACTGCCCTTTCTTCCTATTTTCACCGCATTTTCACCGTATTTTCACCGCCTTTTCGTACTTTACCATTGGACAATGTGATGCCATTTGCTCTATTATGACTACTGTTTTTGCCGGTTAATGCCTGGTAAGTGACTTTTCAAGAGCAGCAAAGTAGAATTAAGAGCGCGAGTGGCCTTTTTCTCAAAATTTTCTGCTGTGTCTTCATGTCATCTGAACGGTTCTGCAAACCCGGTCCAACCCCGAAAAATAAGAATAAATAGACATTCAGAACCGAAAATAGATCTGACATTTTACTGATGTACTGACGTGACATACTCGGTGATGGTATATGTCAAGCTGACACGGTCGTGATGCGGCGCTGAAAAACATTAACGCGGCACAGACGAACCGTGACGGCAGCATAGGTGATGATACAGCGTGGATCGGGCTTGACATGGTACTGACGTGGCACGGGTGAGACTTGAAGCTTGACGCAGCATGGATGGGGCTTGACAATGACAAGGTGAGGAAGACGAGGCTTGGCCCCGGACTGACACAGCCCGAATAACACTTCATGCAGCATCTGAAAACTGGCAACAGACCACCTTTAGAGACAGTACAGGAGGTGTGCTACAATCCTGTGCTCAAGCTGTATGAACGCAGAGTCCGTGCGGCGTGCCTGACAAGCGTTGTAAATGCCGCGTCATTTCCACCAGGCGTCAAGACTGATATCCACGCTGCACGAGAATGCCCGCAGTAGCCTTCTCAAGTTGGAACATGTGAGCAAGGATCAAATATATTTCCTGTAATATAGATTCTTCCTATCGCCATGAAGTTCTGCCATAACAATATAGAAGCAAGCCGTCTTGCAATCATCTCCATCAGATTCATTTGATCACATATCACACTCACAAACAATGCGTTTCTGCTTCGTCTTCGCCATTGTTGCTGCTTTGGCAGCGTCAATATCTGCCAGTCCCGTTGACAGCCGCACTGACACTGACAGCAGCAGTCATAATTGTCCCAAATATTGTCACTGGTCAAACTGCTGCGCTGGTCAGACATGCGTGGCGGAACCCACCTTTGAGAGTGACAATATCGAAATAGGTGTGAGTGGTTTGCGTCCTGGATTTAACCACACGACTCACCGGAGTGGTAGGTGACCTATACATGTAAATCTGTGTGAGTGGCATGTTGCGAAAGTGAACTACAGTGAGTCGTGTTTCTGGTTTCGCATTGGTGCAGGATGGTTGATGGCACGACGCGTGACTTACTAGTGGTTTCTTGCCGAGTTGATCAATCTGCTTGCTTCTGGACAAATTTCACTGCCGCTCGAGTATTGGAGATCTTGGAATGGAGGAAATCTCAAATACTTGAATACATAGTATGTGACCGAAAAACTTGCAACGGAGTTTTGTAGTCTCGTTGTAAGCTTGAACATAGAAGCCTTTGATGACATCGCGACTCTTCCTCCCGTCATAGGCGCTGCTTACTGGGCCTCGTGGGTGCATTTTTGGTCTGGACCGAGCCGCTGGGGTTTATCACAACCCCATTAGATGGTGGATCGTTGCCTAATTGCGAAAGCTCAAGATCCAGCAATAGCACTTGTGACTTGTAGGAGTATGTCATGACTCGGATCCAATAGAACTGCTAGCTTCGATATCCTCGAGAGCATCTAGACGTGAAAGAAGTGGATAGATATAGCAGAGACTTATTTTGTATCGCTCTGAGACAGAATGGAGAGACAATCGACACCGACGAGGGAGACGTTAAGAACGTGACCTGGAGTTCCCATATACCCATGCGATGGCAAGGAGTGCAGAACTTGCTGAGAATAAGGAAATAATTTATCTCATCCAATCTGAAATCTTGATAGTGCCTGCTTCCAGTCCGCCCGAGGTTAAATTGAATGTCCATCGTTATGTAGCCCTGACGAGAGTCGAGACACTGGCATCCGTGCCTAAGAACCATCTTAGGCATGCATGTCGCCGGAGTACACAGCTATACGTGCTGCTACTAAGAATCCACGGAGTTGGTATACCAGGAGGAAGTGGTGTTGATTCTGGTTCTAACTTCTCTCGTGGCCGCACGGGAATACCCGCGGTAGCTTGGACTCTAGATCGTGAGGATGGACTTACATAAATAATGGAGTGCCAGAACAACAGTCTTACCTCCATCCTAGTCACTTGTCGATGCCCCATTGGAGAATATACTTTGGATAATAGAAACTAGTGCTGGTGCCAGTCTTATTCTCAATATTAGCGCCATCCTCTTGTTCAACAAGGACCCACAAACGCGATGTTCCCAACTCCCTGTTCCCAGTTCCACACAGTCAGTGTCCAGCTCCCAGACATCCTCTCTTCGTGTACTCCCTTTGAATTACTAACGCGCAAATGGCAGTCACTGCAGGTCCGTTTCTCAAGTGCCCCAGGCATGACTGCGCCGTAGGATTAGTACGCCTCGAATGGAGAGGACTCAAAGTTGGACTGTGGACTGCTTTGTGTTATCCTGGAGCGGATTGTAAATTGTCGGGGTTGGGGTTGACTGCGAATTTTTTGAGCTTGTTGGTGTATGAGCAGGAGCAGGATAGTGCTGGGGATGAAAAGCAAGTTTTTGATCTGTGAGTCGTCGAATTGTCTGCGGTGGTTGACCTGGTTGACACGATGGGTTGAAAGATATCTGACAGGCTCAGGCCACGTCGCCTATAAAAGCCCGGCGTGGTACATATGTTTTCATCGATCTATGCGCGCATATCACGATACAAGGCAGTGTTTGCTGGATTGCATCTGCATCCCGGATCTCGAAGCAGGGACGTGTCCGGATTTAGGATGATGTTTCACTTGATAGAGTATGCGGAGGGATTGAACCTCCCGGAGCGTGCATCGTCGCACCCATACTGAAGCAGCTAACAGACCAGGCGTGTAATATCATTGCATGGTCGGAGGTACGTATGAAACTACATTGCATACTGAAGTCTATTCTAGGATGGTCTATTTTGTGCAAAAGGCGTAACAGCAATTTCACGTCCCAATATCGTCTCCGTCCTCGTGAAAGAACGGAATCGTTCCTTTGCGATTGCATTCGCATATGTGGGCACGCTTGTAAAGCAGAGCGCGGAGGCGTTCCTTTCTTCTGAGCGTTTCTTCGCTGCGCGGATCCTGCAATGAACGATGATAGAGACGGTATGTGAGGGGGTTAAGAAATTGTATTGCGGGCACTGTGAATTGGCAGTATGAGACGGAGAGGTATTTGGGGAGTTAGGGCGTTTGGATGGGTGTTTGTGCCTGTCTTTGATTGATGTATGCACTGCTAGATGTTTTTTTTCGATTGGTAAATGATTGGACGATCTGAATATGCGGCGTTCTGGGACTTTGTGGTTCATATGAGTTCGACAGTCGGAGTACGATTGATAGATAAGTACGTACTGTAACCATTTGACTCGGTTAACCCCTGATCAAGTTCGTGAGGACCGGAGTGCACAACTTGTTGAGTGAACGGGTTTCCAAGGGAAAGGAATTGCGTCTGGAACCGAGACCGTTATAGTAGTGCATTCCATTTGGACTTGAAGTATGACATGACATTCCAATGGTGATTAACGAGTGGAGTAGGTTCCGTCGGGCGGAACTCTCGACCTTTCCTACAATATGCATCTCCGTCACTCAGGCTCTGTTTATTTCTACAGTTTGTTCGTCCGCCGACCGTCAACTTATTCTACTAGCTAGTAGGTTTTGCCTAGATTCTTGCTGGCATGTGAGCAAAACGTTTGAGTCCTGCCCACAACACAATTTTCAGCGTGTGAATGTGAGCCGTCTTCAGCGCCTCCCCCCCTCAGAAATATTCTCACTGATAAATCTCGTGTAACCTCGCACACATAATGTGCTATGCCTGTCAGTGCATGCAGTGATCTCGAACAAGACTCTTACCGTATCGGAGGCGATAAGGGGGTTTGGTAATTAGTACTAGTACTAGTAGTCACGTCGCGAACTAAGTTACGGTTGGACCGTCCATATAACCGTGCGTGAACTAAGTTCACAAGATCTTAGGAACACGCGAGGAAGGATATTTTCCGTAAGATAAGTTCTTCTCCCATCGTCATGGAGTTCTGCCAGCACAATACTATTCAGCACATAAAAGCAAGCCGTCTGCCTACCATCCCCTTCAGATTTATTTGATCACATATCGCATCATCACAAAGGATGCGTTTCTCCTTCGTCCTCGCCGTCGTTGCTGCTGTGATAGCGTCAATATCTGCCAGTCCCGTTGACAGCCGCAGTGACGCTGAGAGCAGTGGTCCTTATTGTCCCAGTTATTGCACGTGGTTAACCTGCTGCCTTGGCTTCAAATGCGAGTGGGTAGCCATATTTAATGACCAGGTTGAAGAGGTCGGAGTGAGTATGAGTAGTTTGCATCCTGGATTTAACCACATGACTCACTGGCGTGGTAGAAGGTGCAGGTATGTTTACCTGACAAGCACAGTGAACTACAGTGAACTACAGTGAGTCGCGTTTCTGGTTTCGCATTGGTGCAGGATGGTTGATGGCACGACGCGTGACTTACTAGCGGTTTCTTGCCGAGTTGATCAATCTGCTTGCTTCTGAACAAATTTCACTGCCGCTCGAGCAATAGAAATCTTGGAATAGAGAAAATTTCAAATACTTGGATACATAGCTCAAGATCCAGAAATAGCATTTGTGACTTGTGGCCCGTAGTGCTGCCGTGGTCCGGTTCGGTCCGGTTCAGAGGGTCCTGGACGAGAACCAAGAACCGAACCATGGTCCGGTTCTACAAAACCTTCGAACCCAGAACCGGACCACAGAGAACCGTTCTCTGTGGTCCAGTTCGGTTTTTTTCTGGTCCGAACTCGAACCGAACCCGAAAATTTTCAGTAAGGAGTGCGAAAAAAAACATTTACAGAGTCTCTGGAGCTTCAGCAGAAGATCTTATCCATCCCAGGATGTTCTGCACCATCCCCATTGATGATGTGGACGGTTTTCAGTTCCAAGCGCTATCATTTACAGAATTCTGTTTAGGTTCACGATCGCACGAGCCGTGAAGGTCTCTCGTGATTTGCAGATGGATCAATTAATGCAGCGTCTGGTACGAGGGTGAGTCCCATTCCATAAGCAGTATCCTTAGCACACTCACCAATTATTCAGTGGTGGTCTTGTCTTCTTCGTTTTGATGGGTGAATATGAGTATTTCATCCACCCATCAGCACGCTAAACAGCACACAGCCTCGGCCACATTTTCTGTAGTTAGTGCTCGTTTAACCACAGATCCTGTCGTAAGTTACCCATATTTCTCTTCGCTTATGTGGGACCAGGCTAGGACGCGGTTGAGGATGGATACGTAGCGGAGCTCAAGTTTGGTGGAAGGCTGGAGTGAGGTGTTTTGTCACCTGATGTTGGGGGTTGGATATATCACTTTGGGCTATAGGCCTAAAATAGGGATACATCTTTTGTGGTAATTATCCACGGACCACCATCCAGATTGATATATCCACAGGGTGAATCACATTTTCGCAATTTTGGCTTCCAAAAGCAGAAATTCTCTTGTTTTATCATGTTCCCTCATGTCAGGCCTGTGCACATTATTCCCACACTCCGCATTTTCGCATTTTCAGCCACCTGCTGTGGGAATTACCCCACAACACCCAAAACATCGTCCATTTTGGGAATCTCCACAATATCAATTATTCCTACACCCTTCCCACTTCACTGTAGTTTCACCACCACACCACAATAGCTCCTTCTATATATATGAGTAGTAGGTTGGTATATATGTACATAATATGATATAATAGACCGCTTTTTTGTCTATCTATGTGCCTGGTCCTCCTCTAGGGACCATTCAACATAGGATAGGATAAAGAACACGTTTATGAGTATATATGAATAGATTCCCATCTTTATTTGACCCCCTGAAGCGCCCTACATCAATAGCTACAGTGTATGTATAACAAAACACAAAACAGGTTCGCATTTTTTGGTTTCTAGCTATATGGACTTGAACAAATTGTCCCTAACATCTATTCAGTAGTAGGAATAATGTATCAGGAGTTCAGGACCACAGGAAAAGATCTTAATGTGTAGTGCATCCCTCCTCTGCTGGTGGTTTGCCTCCTGTGAATTTTTTTGGTGGAGGACCGGACCTCAATTGAGGTAGGGGGTCTATTATTATGTATATTTAGAGTAGATGTATCATATAGCTAGCCCAGGACACACATAGGATCTTTCTACAGGAACAAAAACATAGAAAATCGCATTTTTGACATTTTTGATATGTTTCAGTATCTTACCCTTGCATATCTAGTCAACCCTGTTCATATATCATCAGTAGTACATTCAAATATGTGTCTCATGTTAAGGATCAGCTAGATATAGGGTGAAAATGTGAGATATAATGTAAAGAGGTAATTCTACTGATTAGAAGCCTATATGACAGTAAAGCCTGTGATAAGTGATCAGAGACCTGGGATACATCTCATATATGTCCCTCATGATATGACTAAAATTCTAGAAAGATCCATGAATGATTGACTGAATGACAGGCAAAATGACATGTGTATGAAAAGTGACAATTGACATTTTTTATACAAAGTCACATTCATATCTGATACTGCTTGAAAATTTCATTAAAAATATATAGGATGGATAGTAAGCTATACAAGAAACATATGCTACAGACTGCCCTGAGGATAGAGGTGGGTGGAAGGGATGTAGTGTAAATCTAAGTTCATCAAGCATAAAAGTCCAACAACTCCTGAACTGACCATTTTCAATGTTTTAGGTCTTTGAAGTTTCCCACACTCAATTTCTTATCTATTTCACTTCCTCAGCACTCAATCCTTCTTAGATTGTTCTATAATTCTAGGGATATGATACTGAATGTTTTTAAAATGTACTCCAAGTTTCTGATCATTAAAGTTCGATGTTTTGAAGGTATAGGCCCCTTATCAGTAGAAATAGCAAGTATATACACTGGCTCAAACCTCTGGCCTATTCTAAGCTGATCCTGGTTCTCAAAAGCAAGTATTTATGATATTATGTTCATATATGAACAGGTTGGACCAGAGATGCAGAAGTAAGATACTCAAACATATCAAAAATGTCAAAAATGCGATTTTCTATGTTTTGTTCCTGTAGAAGGATCCTATGTGTGTCATGGGCTTGCTATATGATACATCTACTCTAAATATACATAATAATAGACCCCCTACCTCAATTGAGGTCCGGTCCTCCACCAAAAAAATTCACAGGAGGTAAACCACCAGCAGAGGAGGGATGCACTACACATTAAGATCTTTTCCTGTGGTCCTGAACTCCTGATACATTATTCCTACTACTGAATAGATGTTAGGGACAATTTGTTCAAGTCCATATAGCTAGAAACCAAAAAATGCGAACCTGTTTTGTGTTTTGTTATATATACACTGTACCTATTGATGTAGGGCGCTTCAGGGGGTCAAAAAAAGATGGGGATATATTCATATATACTCATAAACATGTTCTGTGTACCCTAGAACACTTCCCTGCCAAAGGGGCAAAAATGCGAAACTATTCTGTATCCTACCATACAGTGGCTCAAAAAAGTGTCTCGATGTTTGCACATATTCATATAATTGCATCATTGTGAGCCAGGGTGTAGGGATATAATATGGCTATAGGGACATGTCTGAATCCGTCGTATCCAGGCTTGAATCTGAGATATGCAGCGTGGGAAAGTGATGTCATGGAGCGGAGATATGGCTATTCTAGTTTAGTGACTCATTGAGACACTTATTTGACTTTATATCAAAATCATAGAATTAGACCACCTACACATGATGTGATCAATGACACATGTCTTAGAATATCATATGGGATGTGAAAGTATAAAAATAATAAAAATAAAGCCAAACATCAAC